TAGCAATATCTTAACTTCACAGCTTGGTTCTGAATAAACAGTTATAAAATCCTTGGAGACGATGGGGAAGTTGCATTGGGTCAGGGTATCCGATGGCATTAGGGTGCTGGTGCCAGTGTGCTGAGGACAAGGGTTCGGAGGACAAGGGTTAGTCTGAGGAGGTGACACGTCATGATAGCTCTGACTGGCTTATAAAATAAAACTTTTGGCTGGCTTTTCTAAATAAAACTTTTTATTTAGAAAGAACTTCAAGTTTACAGAAAGTTTACAATACTCACACAAAGAAACTCTATTCTTTACCAGATTTGCCATTTATGAAAATCTGTGATTTACACTAAACAATTCAGCCCTTTTTATATCCATAGAAGTGTAAACATAAAACAAATAAAATGTTGACAACTGTTGAAAAAAGATGCCAGACATATGGATGTTTGTGGTAACAGTCTTCTCAGGTTTTCATTGTTTGAAAACTTTTGTAGTAAAAAGTTGGAGAGAAGAGCTGAAGAGGGGTCCTGCTTCAAATGTTGAAAGATCTTCAGGAGATACTGTGAAGTGAAAAAGCCGAATGTGCATCAGGATACATTATGTTTCTTACTGCTTAAAAAGGGGGTGACTGAAATAATAAAATAGGTTGGTGATTTGTTCATGACAATAGCAAGGGAAAGAAAAGCAAAAAAAATGGGATTAACTCATATTAAAAGACTTTTACACAGGGCCTCCCCGGTGGCGCAGCGGTTGAGTGCTGGGTTGCGAAGCTGCCCGCAGCCTCTGCAGCACCGGTTCGATCCCCGGCTGCTCCCCGGCCACCAGAGGAGGGTCCCACATGGCGCGCAGACCTCTCCTGCCGCCCGCTGCTCCCCTCAGCAGTGTACTTCGCTCCTTCTGCCTGCTCTGCTCCCCGCTCTGGCTCTGGTGAATTCTCTCACCCTCCCACACTTCTGACTGTACCCAGCGCTTGTATAAACAAAAAACAAACAAACAAACAAACAAATAAATAAATAAAACATGCCTCTATTAAAAAAAAAAAAAGACTTTTACACAGCAAAAGAAAATATTACTAGTTTAAAAAGATATCCTATTGAATGGGAGAAAATAGTTTCACACCCCATAACTGACAAAAGGTTAATATTAAAAATGTGTACAACTCAACAGTAGAAAAAAAGACAACCCAAGTAATAAGTGGACAGCAATAGGAATAGGCAGTTCATCAAAAAGGGTATCTGTTAAGACCAAGGGATGTATGGACAGTTGTGGATTATTGCTTCCAATAAGAGTGGCGCAGATTAAAATCACAGTATCATCTCACACCCGAGAGAATGGTACATATTAGAAAGGCCCCCAACAACCAGTGGATGCAGACAGAGAGAGGAGCCCATTTACACTGTTATTGGGAATGGAAACGGGTAAAGCCATTATGGAAAAGGTTCAGGATTTACCTTGAAAAAGTAAAAATGGAAATGCCACCCACGCCAGCATTCCCACTCTTGGGCATCTATTCAAGGGACTTGAAACCGTCAACTCAAAAAATCCTTATGTTCTACCGTGTTTATTGTTCTACATTATTTATTGCAGCACTGTAGATAAGGCATGGAAATCATCCAGGTACCCATGGATAGAACACTGGGTTAAGAAGATGTGGTTATCCACATTCTGGAATACTATTCCGCCACAAGGGAAGATGAAATACTGGCATTTAAGCAAAATGGAGGGAGCTTGAGGGGATTATGTGTAGCAAAGCACATCAGAATGACAAATATTGACAAAGATTAGACATTTATTTACATAGCAGACATTCAACAACATAAAATATTCGTTAAAACTAGCAGACACAGAAGCACGAAGTGAGGTTTCTGAGGTTAAGCGGCTGGGGAAGGAAGAAGGGTCATGACGATGTAAGGAGTGGTGGTGGGGAAAAATAAAAATAAACATTCAAGAAGAGAAACTAAGATTTTGACTACACAGATAAAGCGGAAAAGAGCTTTACACAGACCCTGCACTCTGGTTAGTACAGGTGCGGGGGGCAGGAGCAGGGGGCCGGGGGCGTGGGCAGGTGGTGGTGAAATCAGAATCTAAGGAGGCCCTGGAGGGAGCCGAGACATTCTGCAAACTTAGGGAAGAAAGAAGCATGTGTGGGAAGCTCAGTGTTCAGTGTATCCTAAAACCACTTTGATTTGTGAACTGTGTGAGTGAATTCTCCTTTAAAATGTGATTTTTGAAATAAAAAATTGATGGGTGAAGGCAGTACAAAAGAAATCAGCCAGGGAAAGGAGACAAGAAAGGCAGTTGGCAAGGTGGGGGAGAGCCAAGTCCACTTCCCGGGGCACCCCAAGGCCTGTCGACCAAGATGGCATGGGGCGCCCCGTAGCCCGAGGGAGCCAGAACCCAGAGGAGTGAAGATGGAGAAAAGGCCTTTGGATGTAGCTGGGCAAGAGGCGGGGGAGATGGGGGGACCTGGCCAGGTTGGAGAAAGGGTGGTCGGGGAAGAGTATGCGTCTCTCTAAGACTGAGGGGAAAGGGAGAAAGAAGTGGTGGCTGAGCTGGAGGATGGAGGAGGGAAGAATTTATTGATCCCCTGGAGAGAGGAGACCAGCCCAGCCAGGAGAGAGAGGGAGAAAGGAAGAGCTGGGCCAGGAGTGACAAGGATCAGGAAAAATCAGCCTCAGTCAGAGGGAAACCCTGCAAGAGCCTGAGGCTGCAGGACGCTTCTAGGAAAGGGGGGGATCCTGAGGAAGGTCAGGTTGGATGGACCCGTATTTCCAGCATTACTTGCTTGGACTCGAGGTAGGATCACCAGTTTGGGAAGAATGGAGATGTTTGCAATTGGTCTGGGGTGGAGTCCGCTGAAGAGGCGCCGGTCCCCAGATGGCCCTGGTGTGGCGCCCGGCTCTCAGGCGCGCGCTCCCCCAGGCCTTCAGGGAACCGCTGGCAGGGCCGCTGTGGCTGTGCTAAGGCTACTCCATGTCGAAACTCGGGGTCATGCCCCCAAACACTAAACAGAATTACCCTGTAATCAACAATACCACTTTGGGGTTTTCACCCCAAAGAAATGAAAATGGGAACTTGAACAGATATTTGCACACCCGTGTTCACAGCACATTAATCATAATCACCAAAAGGGGAAGCAGTCGAGGGGCCATCGGGGTGAGGGGAACAGCGGACTGTGCTCTGCGCGTGCGACGCGGTCTTGCCCAGGCTTGGAAAGCGAGGGAAGCCCCACACTACTACAATATGGGGGAGACTTGAGGACACTCAGCCAAGTGACCAGTGCTGTACTGGGCTCCCCTACCGTACGACCCGCTTACGCGGAGACTTAGAGGAGTGCTCGGGAGAGGGCGGTAGGATGGCGGCAGCCAGCGGCTGACGGGGAAGGGGCTGGGGTGGTGGTTTCACGCCGTGTTCCCTGGCTCGGGCCGCCCTGACACAGCGCCACAGCCGGGGCTGCTGTCCCGGTGGGTGTTCTTTGCCTCGCAGTCTGGGCGTGGAGATCTGAGATCAGGGCGCTGCTTTCTCTGGAGGGCTGTCTCCCCGGCGGGTAGGTGTGTCTCTCCTCGTGCGTGCTTCCCGCCGTGGGGGCCCGTGTCTTCATCTCCTCTTCCTGTAAGGACGCTGGTCACGCGGAGTAGGGCCGCCCACCTCACTGTCACTTGACTGCATCTTGAAAGAGCCCATCTCCAAATACAGCCACGTTCTGGACTAGAGGGGACGAGGACTTTAACACACAGCGTGGAGGGGGATTTGGTTCCGTCCATAGCAGTGAGCGTGGCGTTGCAGCCGGGAGAGACGCGAAAGCTCCCCAGCTGGATGGTGGTGTTTGCACGGTGTCCGTTCGCTTCGTACTGCTGAGCTGGACACTGAGAACAATGGTTAAGAAGGGTGACTTTGTGTAATAGTTTATCATGATAAAAAGTAAAAATAAATTTAATCAGGGAAAAGAATCTTCAGAGGATTCCTCACAGGGGAAGTGAGGGTGCATCCGAGAGGGACCCCTGGCTTTTGTGCAGTGGTCAGAGAGGCCAGTGGAGCTGGCAGTGGGCGAAGGGGGGCAGTCGGGGTGCAGTTTGTGATCTGGCCACAGTGAGTTTCTGAGGCTGAGGTCTGGGCAGCAGCCAGGTCCAGGCAGGCGGGAGCCTCACCCTTTCCATCTGTGAAGTGAGTGCCATTACCAGCATTTCTGGTAACTGAGTCCTTGAGGAGGTGGCAGGAGGGGGCTGGGAGATGCTCGCCCTGTGGGCCCTGTTCTGTAGGCGCTCTTGCCATTGTGCGATTTTTAAACCGGCACATCATCTGCTCTCAGGCAGGCTCTGGAAGCGGCAGCCGGCATGTTGTTTCTATAGTGACTGATGTCCTTCAGAGAGGGAAAAGTGGAGAGACGCTAAGGAAAGAACAAGGGAAATGAACAGCATGGCGAGGTGACAGATAATAAACTCCGGGAAGGATAGAACGTGACCTAATTTTATTGCTGCTTCAATGAGAAGATTCCTGGCATGCTCTCTTGGCTGCTCTTTAAAAAATGTCATATTATTGTCACTAAACCTGGAAAGCGAGGTCATGATGCAACAGTTTGCCCCATGAAAGGCTAGCATGAAACCCATCTGTTGGGTCCGGGAGCTGGGGAAACCCAGGGAAATCCCGAGCCTCAGCAGCCCGCTCCAGCAGAAAGTCAGCTGCGGAGACTCTGCGCCTGTCCGCTCTGTCTTCCTCGAATGTGGCCTCAAGGAGGATCCCTGGCTGTGTGGCTGGGCTTGGCAGTATGTACATGCTGATTCATCACTCCTTGGCTGTGTGATCGTGGACATTGTCCTTAACCGCTGTTCCACAGCCCCCTGACCTACAAGATGGAGGAAGGGCGAACTCCCATGTTCAAGAGTTGCAAGGGGTTAGGTGAGGTGTGCCTTCAGGTCTTTCATAAGCACATCTGGTCATAAGGAGGAGGGAACCTCGGAGCTTGGGCAGGACTCGGCCTCCTGTAATGGCAACTCTCATCTCCCTTTCCCTTCCAGTTGGCCATGGACAGAGCGAAGGAGAGAGGATGGTAGTGTCAGACTTCAGCGTTTTCATCAGGGATGTGTTGCAGCACGTGGATGTCATGCAGAAAGACTATCCGGGGCTTCCTGTCTTCCTGCTGGGCCACTCCATGGTAAGTAGACCACAGAGACCCCCGTGAGGCCTGGTCTCCAGCCTGCTGTTGGAACCCCCTGATGGAGAAGGGGCCCTTCTTGCTGCCCACCTGTTTTCAGCCAGCCTGGCACACCCCCTGCACGTTCTACACTTGCACTTTTAGGCAACTTAGAGCTTAGGAAACGGCCAGGTGCAGTCCCGGAGGCAGCCTCAGAGAGAGTGCAGAGCCACGGCCATTCCTTTCCGTCAGGGCCCGAGGTGCTGAGAGGTTGTCCCCGCGCCCTGGTCCTTTCTGAGGAATTCCCATGTGGAGCCTCTGGGGAAACATCTATTTTTCATGCCCGGGGCCTATCGGTGCTGTTTCCTGGTAAGGCTCCCAAGGCCACTTCTGTCCCCTGCAGAGCCATGTCTCAGAGTGGGGTGGTCCTCGTCAGTGAGAAGCCCAGGAGACATCCCAGCTCTACAGGGACAAAGGCTCCCCATAGAAAAAGTCCTTACAGGTCATTCAACATATAAAATCCTCTAAGAATCAACCAAGTGTAATCTTTAAATCTGAGGTCCTCAGACTGACTTCCCCCAGGGCAGATCTACCTAGGACACCTGCAGACTCTCCCAACTGCTTGAATTTGAGTGCCCAGGAAGCTTTACACTCAGACCAGGTCTCCACCTCCTTTATCCCCCAACCTGACTCTGACTGACTCCTTTATCCCCCTGGCCAACATTTTTCTAACTTGCCTGGCCCCTGTAAGCATTTGCAGCTTCCACCCCTGTTTCACATTACCTTCTGGTTAGCAAACATCCAAGGCCTCCTTGAATGCCTTTAGCACCATCCACATTCACTGTTTCTTGGAACCTAAATTTCTGTAATCTCTAATGATACCAGGAAAAAAGTATAGCAATCTCTCATTATCATCATATTATAAAAAATATATAATAAGTTTGATGGAATGGATGAATTGGGGGTCTGCCAGCTTTGGGCTTGAAATGAAGTAGGAATGTGTTATTGTTTAACTTGCAGCCCACAGGCAGGAACCTTATTTATATCTCTCTGAAATATTTGCTCTCGGAAAACCCAGAGAAAAAAAATGTGTAATAAAATAATTGCAGAGCCAGTTTATCCAACATTCGAAGGTGTCGATTCCAAGGTAAACCTTCTCAGGGCGCTCGGCCAGGACCACAGCTTAGAAGCTCATTGATGGTGCCTGCTAGAAACTGGAGTTCTGGTGGGGCTTCCCCAGTGGCACAGCGGGTTGAGCGCCGCGCTGTGAAGCTGTTTGCAGCCTCTGCAGTGTGGGTTCAATCCCGGCCAGCTGGGGAGAATCCCACATGGTGAGGCAGACCTCTCCTGTTGCGCCTGCTGCCCCCCCCCCCAGCAGTGTATTTTGGTCGTCTGCCTGTTCTGCTCCCCGCTCTGTCTCTGGTGAGTCCTCTCACCCTCCCATGCCTCTGGCCTGTACCCAGCTCTTGTATTTAAAAGAAAAAAAAAAAAAGAAAAGAAAGAAAGAAAGAAATTGGAATTCTGGTGAAAGCCAGCACGCAGCAACTCTGCTCTTCTTGCCTTGCAGGGAGGTGCCATCGCCATCCTTACGGCTGCGGAGAGGCCTGGCCACTTCTCTGGCATGGTCCTAATTTCGCCTTTGGTCATCGCCAATCCTGAGTCCGCAACAACTTTTAAGGTAAACTGACTTCCAGTTCTGTGAAACTCCCAGACCCTGAGCATCCACCCACCGTCGCTAGATCTGGGTAAAAGGGCCAAAGTTCATTCTTGGACCTCTGCACAATTGTGTTAAGATTTGAACAAATATCAAATATTGTTGCCACCAGGGTTCTGTAATTCCAAAAGTCGGGTGTTTCCCCCCCCCCACCCAAAGACAAAAGGAAAAGATGACTTCCTGCTTGTGCCTACTTAACTGATGAATGTTAAAAGGAGAAAAGGTCACACATGTTAGGAATCCAGCAAAGTAACCTTTAACAAGTCACATGCAAGGCTTGTGCTGTGTGTCATTGATTGTTTGTCTACTTAGCAACAGCAACAGCTCCGGGCGAGCGAGTGGCGTTGTAGGCAATTTGTAGGTGCAGCCTGGAGTGGAATCCTCGGCGGTCCTCCTCCACCCCGCGGTGGTCCTCCAGCCCTGGGTGGTCCCCCTCCACCCCTCGGTGGTCCCTCTCTACCCCTTCTTCACTTTCCCCTTTGCTTTTCCGGGTGTGGTAGTGCATGATAGCGCCTCTGTTCATCCTTGGGTGCCAGGGCTTTGAGCTACTTTCATGAGGCAAAAGAGAAGAGCAGATGCTGCCTAGAAGCAGCATGGGTGCCTGGCTCCTTGAGGAAGGAAATGAACCCAGCCACCTTCTCAGGGCGGCGTGGTTGTAGGTGTGGGTGCTGGCCTGTTGTGGGTGTGGACTCTCCTTGGGGGATATCAGGTTTAAGAGAACCCGGAACTGAGTGAAGGTGGCAAATCCCCACCTCTGTATCCCTGTTCCCTCTCTCCCAAGGCCGGGTGAGGTGTCACAGGTCCACGGGGGACTGGATAGCCCATGGGCTTGCCCTCCTTTCCTTAGCCTCACCATCAGATAACATCAGGGCCATTTAAATAATGACACTAGGTGTGCTCCCCCAGTGGTATTCTCCTCGAACAGGGGAGCACAGTACAGGATGAAACTTTATTAAAAAACCTAAAAGTTTTCCGTCAGCCCGCGGCCACAAATTTAATCCCGACCCTCAACATGGACAGGGGACACCCAGTTAGAATCAGGAAACTTGCTGATTTGAACTGGGGACAAGCTGGGCAAACGTGAAACCTGGAGTAAAATCTGGAGCTATCTGCTCGTTTAACCAAAGAACACGATACACTTAATTTGCTAAAGAATGAAAACAGGTAGCCCCTTTGAGCTATATGCTATTTTGCGGAAATCACCACTGACGTACTGCAATCGACTGTCGTCAGTAAATCTCAGCCCTGCGTTGGCCAGTAGTGGGGCTGGGAGCACCACGCAAGGTCGTTCACAGCCACAGGTAACGCACAACAGCTCTGCTTCTTGGTCATTTAAATGTGCGAAAGGAGGCACAATCTGGTCATCTCTCGTCATGGTTGTGATTATATGACAAGAGGCAGAATCTTTCAGAGGGTCTCCTCTTGCAGAAGAAGCAAGGCCAGGGTCATGAGGAGAGGGATGATCCCCCGAGAGCCGTGTGCTTTGATCGTGGGGATTTATTTGGCTGGGAGCGCCCTGGGCCTGTGCTGTGCTTTCAATGCATTTCCTGGCTTCCCTGCCATCATCACCCCGGAAGAGGCCGCAGCCTGCATTTTATGGACAAGAACTCTGAGACGGGCATGGGCGACGCGCCAGCATGGCTGGACCTGTGTGATGGGATGTTTCCCTAATGAAAATGCACACTTTCTGCAGATGATGTTTCCCTTAGAGAAAAGCCAGGGACTGTGGTGGGATTTTTCAGAGAAAGTGTACCAGGGGCATCGTGGCAGCTGGGCCCAGAGGTGGAGCCAACAAGGTCTCCTCCCAGGCCCTCGAGGCTCCTGGCAGAGGCAGGGCTTCTGGGCAAGCCACCAACGTGACCTTTCCAAGCCCTGTGCTCATAGATCACCTTGTCAAATCAGGAGCCAGCTGTCCCTGGGGTGGGGGGTGTGCAGGTCTCCTCTTATTAACCAAGACAAATTAGATTTCCTGTTGTCCCCAGACCCGGGGATCTCTCCCCCTCACCCCTGCCCCAAAAATCTGTTGCTGCCCCCTGGGTCTTAGGCAATTTTGACTGACAGTGTCTGTGATTCCTTTGTCTGCGCTGACTTGATTACCCTCCACGCATCTGCTAGTCGTGTCTGACAACCTTTCTCAAAGAGTCTCACAGAATCTTGTTTAAATTTAATTTTAACATTGGAAGAATAATTCATTTTATGGTTCAAAATTCAAAAGAAAGAAGAGGGCGCAGAGTGACAAGCGTCTCTCCCGGCGGGGGTGGACGGCAGTGTCAGCCGAGCTTCCCGTAGCTGCCGCCCCTCCACTTCACACACGGCACGTGCGCGCTGCAGTTCTGCTTGTTCTTGGCCTTTTGGTTGGCTTGTTTGTTTTTCAGAATTTGGGTTTAATTGGGTCCATTTGCTCAGCGAGTCCGCTAGGTGCTCCTCCCCCATCAGGACTGTCGGGGTCCTGTGTGGGGTGGGGCCTGGGTTACACGAGATCCTGCTGCCCAGCCTTTGGGTCATTGCCACTTGTTTGCACTCACGTACCTAAAGATGGACGGACTCCTAGAAACCACCTCTGGCTGAGAAAGCTGAGGCCAAGAAGGGGGCCTCCCTGGGTCATCAGGCTGTCAGGGTTCCCAGCTGCGGAATGCAGATTCCAGGCCTGGCCTCTGACTCCCCCACCAGAGCTCTGCACATCAACTGTTGGACAGTTTCATGGCACCAAGTCCCTGGGAGAGGGAGCCCTGGAGTCACTGGAGTGGACAGCGTGGGATTCCCAGACCTTGAGGAGACAGACGTGTGAAAGGTGCGCCCCTCGGCCCCTGAAATCTGAGCAGAGAGATCCTCTCTGCATCCCGCACAAGTCTGCTTCTTAGCTCTACCCTGTATTTTCAATGAGCTGAGATATATTTAGTCTAGAAAAGAGACAAGAGGGACAGAGGCTTCTGGTCCCTAAACACTGTGCTAAGAATGTGGTTGCTCAAGAGGATGACAGTGGGAGAAATTTAGAATCAAAAATCCAATACAGTTTATAAGGCCATTTCATGGGGATTAGCTCAGTGCCCCATGCCTGGGAAAGGCAGGGCCGCAGCAAACCCTGGTTCAGAGGGGAAGCCCTTGGTCGCCCAGCTAGTGGGTTGTCAGGCTCCCACCCAACTGGACTCCATCCCTGGGAAACACTCAGAACTGCAGACTGCAGAAACCCTTTCTCTGCCAGCTGTGGGAAGGGCACGACCCGAAATCCTCCTGGGCAGAGCCTGATAGGAGGGAAATCCTCTAAATGACCTTCTCCGGCTGTTGCCCAGAGGCGTCCCCTGGACTCCAGAGTTCCAGATGGAGCAGCCAACCCAGTGCTTCCAGATGCTTCCACTCCCGGCAACCAGGGCACCTTGCCAAGTAGGGAGAAGGAGGTGGCCACTCTCAGAACCTAGCACTCCGTGCGTGACACACATTGTCTCAGTTCCTCTCCCTCCCCACTCTCTAAGGAAGGAAAGTTATTCCCAATTTGCGGAGAAGGAAATGAGGCCAATTATCTTGTTCAAGGTCAACTTGAGCTGCAGGTGGGCTGGTGAACATGGCAGGACAGTCCCTTTCACCCTGAAACAGCCCCAAGTTCAATTGCCCTTGACTTTAGCTCACTTCCTGTCTGAATGTCGTTCATCTGTGTTCAGCACCCAGATCTACAATAGAAGGCCCTTGGAGCTGTGTGTGTGTGTGTGTGTGTGTGTGTGTGTGTATGGGGGTGGGGGGTGCGGACATGGTGGGAACATGGGGAATTGCCATTCTTCCCAACTTGGGTAAAGTTAGACCCAGGAGCTTGGACTTAGCTGTGATCATGAACTGGCCCATTTGGCAGCAACAGTGTTACCTCTGACCTTCAGGCACATGCTTCCAGACATTTAGGAGTCTAGAAACAAATCATCACCCCAATACGTTTTGGGGAGCTTTGGCTACGTGTCAGGCACTGAGCATGCATCGGCAACAAGTGCCCAGCCTTCCCGGGGCAGGCTACATCTGTCTGAGGGGGCACTCTGCCCTCGCCCCAGCAAATCTGGGTTGACTGTTGACCCCTGCACAGCTGCTGCCCGCACAGATGGTGTGAACTTGGAGCCGCCCCTTGCACAGGTCAACTGGCTCGAGCCACTTTAGAAGAGAGGGGTTGTAATTACCTCCTTCATGTCAAGTCTTTCTCTGGCAGAAGCTTAAAAATGATCTTAGGGAGCCATTAAGACCATTCTGATCAATAAAGGCATTTGTGCGAGTCTCTAGTATTTAAAGTGATGGCACTGCAGTTAATCCAGGAGTGCCCCAAGGGCACGGCAAGGACAGACGCGCTCGGATGGTCTCTGCTCCACAGGAGACAGACCTCACTTGTGGAGCAGTTGTCCTGTTTGGTGGGTGAAATACTTTGGGTTTCTAACTGTCACGGTGACATCTGTTTGAAAGCTGCAGATCACACGCTTTCCACTGGTGTTTGCCCACTTGGTCACTCGGCCGGTGCCTGTTCGTGAGCTGGAGCTGAAAGGGCAGCTCATTGGGACGAGCAGTGTGGGGACTAGGTCGTATGTAACCTTCCCAGCAATGCCTCGAGGTTTGTCTTATTTCCACCATTTTAGAGATGAAGAAACTGAGCACCAGAGACTTTCTCAGGGATTCAGAACCAGAGTTTGAGTCCCATGTTGCTGGGTGTAGCGATTGTCCTTCTGTGGTGAGATCTGTCCCTGTCGAGTGCGCCTCACTAAGCACTAAGGTTGCCCAAAGCTGACTGAACCCTTTGGGGTCTTAATGAGGGTAGAGGTCTCTCTTCAAGGGGGGTTCATACCAGCTCACCCCTCTCCTGAGCTGGATCCAAGGCTCTCTTCACACTCCCACAGGATTATTCGAAGATTTTGAAAAACTTGATGGAACCAGCATTCAGAGTGGTAAATACTTGGAGTCCACGTCCTTTATGGGTGAGCCTCCCCCTCCCTCACACCTCTACCTGCTTCCTTTGTCTTCCTGTGGAATTAGCTAGGGGAGCGCTCACTGCTGATGGTGGAGGCAGAGGGAGGTGATGACAGGAAGCAGCCACTTGGGCAACCTGGACAAAATTGATCTTTCTGGTGTGGGGTTACCCAGGTTCTTGGTGTCCCCCGGCCTCCTGGCTTTTGGCCCTTCTGTCCTTGGCCACAGCCATCTCCTGTTCCTGTGTCCTGCTTCCTTCTCCAATCCTACCCTTTCCTCCTCCTAATGCAATAAGCAAACCCTAAACAGCAGAGAAAGGGAATGCCTTTGGTAACTGTTCAAAGTGCCCTGCCCCTCCTGAGGACTCACTGGGGTCTTTTGTGGGGAAGAGGCCAAGCTCCTGGGTTTTTTTATAGGTCATAACATTATTGTCATCAAAAGATTTCCCTTTAACCAACTGAGTCTTGTCAGAAATGTGGTTTGGAACCTACCCTGCAGGTTTAGAAAAAAAGAACAGGAGGGTCAGGGAGGGCCGAACATCCCTATCATGGCCCCTCTCCACCCACGTCCTGTCTCCAGCGTCAGGAGCACTGTCTCTTCGTTGGCTGCACATGGAAATCACCTCAGGAGCTTTGAAAAATGCTGACATCGGGGTGCTACCTCAGACAATTCAGTTATTCTTTCTCAGGGTTAAGAGGTAATCAGAGAACCTGTGTCTGAGACACACACACACACACGACTTCATGGCACACAACTAAGTCCTGGGGGTTCTGTGAAAATGAAGATCCTAACCCCACAGGCCCCAGTGTCCCCAAGAGCTCCTGGTGCTGCTGCTTGTCTGAGGAGCACATGAGGACAGGGAGACCTTAGAATATCCGGAAGAGGTGAGGCTGGATGGGTGTGCTGTGTACCCTGCTAATATACTACCTGGGTAGAAGGAACAGTGTTGAAATGAAGGGTTGTCTTCCTGGGAAGAAGGAGGGGCCACAGGCCAAAAGGACTCCCTGGATTTAAGAAGTTACCTTTACAGTTTTCTCTTCCTGTGACTGGTGTGTCTTCCATGTGCCTCTCTGCACACTCTGGCATTAACTCACACTCAGGGCTTAGCACCCACCTCCCTGTAAAACCTCGGGAGGACATCCCACAGCATTTAGTGCCAGGATATGGCCATGCAGAACAAAGGAAAGGCTGCAGGATCTGCACGCTGCATTCCTGGTGGGGTCTGAGGCCTTGTCTATATTTGTGGTTGGACAGCCAGTTCTAGTTGCTAGGACACCAGTGTCTTCCATAAAGTGTATTGTTGGGAGCTGATCCTTTAGGGCACAGTCACGCATCCTGAACCCACCAGCACCAGGAGTGAGAACAGCTATACCCTGTGAGTCCTCTTGGTGGGAAGTACCTCGCTGGACACATGCAGAGGCCTAGGCACCTGCCATCTCCAGTCCTGAGCCTCCTGCGTCCTTGCCATGTCTCTTGTTTGTGCTTTGGGGGGTTGGACATTGGCAGAGTAGGGTGAGTCCTCACTAGGACTTGGCTGGTGGTCAGCTGCCTTTAATTATTTAGTTCCTTTAGGGACCAAATCCTTGCACCACTCATTTTATGAAGCAAATGCTTCTCTGGAAATTGCTGTCCTCTTTGATTTTGCCTGTGAAGCTTTCTTCTTGAAAGCTCCCTTTCACTGCAGAAATTTCCCCAGTTAATTAATGGAGGAAGAAAAGCCTGCTTTCTGAGAGAGAACACAACAAGTTTTTTCTCTGAGATTTTCTTCTGGAGGTAGAGTCCTTCTGGGTTTCCCAGCCCCATGAAACCTGAGCAAGGATGGTTTGAGCCACAGCACTGTTTTTTGGTTTGTTTGTTTGTTTTGTTTTATTTTTTTGGTCATTGCTAAGCCTAAGTTTTGAGTGGAAATAGAGGCCTTGACATTTTGGGTAAAAATGTTTTGGTTTAAGAGGTGCCAATGGCAAGAGCATAAATTCAAGAACAAAGGTAACTGTCTCTTCACAAACAACTGGCACCTAAGAGCTCAAGTCCATGCAAAAATCGGGTGATTGGCAGCAAACCATAAGTTGTTGGCAAATGAGCACATCTCTGTGCTGTCTCCTTCACCCTGTTGCAGGGCAAGTGCTGGGGTGAGATGTGCCTGTGCCTTTTTCTGGCTCTGGACTATCAAATCAAGGAATGGGTGGGAAGCTGACTGGTGGGAAGCAACCGTGTCCTTGGGAAGGGCATGGCAGTGTCACATTCAGAGTCCACTGTCAGGTCCCAGGTTCATTCAGAGAACAAACTTTGAAATACACATTAATTTTCTCCTGAATAATAGCACCCTTGAACCACTACTGCTTGAAGAGATAAGTTCATAAAGACCACCTTCCTTGTGCGGTTGGAACCCTGTGAAACCCCGGGGGGCCAAGCCCATTGCCTCTGTGCCTCAGCAGTGCATGCCTTACATGCGCTGTTTCTTGTCATTCCTACACGGCTTACTCTTTGAAAGCAGATCCCGACTTCTGAATTCAGGCTCCGAGAGGAGCCCCAGTTCCTCTGGAACGTGCAGACATTTGACCCATGTTTGGAAACCCCCAAATCCTTCATTTCCATACAATTCCTAGAGTTCCAAGCCATTCCAGTCCAGTGCTCGCCCGCAGAGCTATTCCACACCACCACCTTGACCTTGCCTAACACCGTGTCCATCCCACGAGGCTTCTGATGCTGTGGACTGACTTGAGGTGCTTCACGTTAGATTTCCTTGTGTTTCTATACTAGGCCTGCCACATTGAGGGCCGCATATCCACATGAATGGGGTCTGCTGTGCCTAGACTCCAAGCTCGGGGTGCAGTGAGTGCTAAGTCTCAGAGGGGTACCATTTGGCCCTGAGTACTGTTGACCCTACAGAATAGGTTCCTGTGTAGTGTGTTCTTGGAGGAGCAAAACCCTTTCTGAGCTCTGCCTCAGCCCCGTGGCCTGGGAACCAGGTCTGTTGTCAGGCTGCATCCTGCCTGTGCAAGTCAGAGAAGCTTTCTGCAGCCCTCAGTCTAATGGGAGGTGGCAGGGGGGCGGGCAGGACAGCAATGTCACCAGCAACTGCTGTTTCTGATCATCTGCAGGAAAGGTCAGGCCCCTCAGTTGCACTCATACATGCAGGGAGCGAACCATGAAGGTGGTGGCATGGAGGAAACAAGGGCCTCAACTGGGCCTTCTCCCTCTTTCAGCTGACCATGTTGGTATGGTGCTGAGCCTTTTTTCTTGTCTGTTAAATTAGGATAAAACCTCACCCTGGCATTTGTATCACGATTAAAACACTGAGCACCTGTGACTGTGCCTGACCCCCCAAAAGATTGCAACCAGGAATAAGTTCATGCCACGAAGGGTGCCAAGGGGACATCACATCTTTGCCGCGTGATGTGTGCCCTCAGCGTGGACTGAGATCTCACTGCTCACCACCTTCCATATGATTCTAATTTCAGTATTTCACAGCTCACTTGTGAAATAGCATCTTTCGTCCCCGAGTGTCTGTGCACAAGCAGAAATGAGAGCAGCCCCCCGGGTAGACACCAGGCCAACAGGAGACATGGGGTGGGGTGGGAAGGCTTGTACCTGAATCAGGACCAAGTTCAAGGAGCATGGGTTAAGTTCCTACTGTGTGTCTGCTTCTACACACAGTGATCCCCATTGGCAGCTAAGGAAACGTGTTCAAATGTCACATCCAAGTGCACAAGCAGCACAGCCAGGAATCAAATCAGGTCTCTCTCCCTCTGCCACACATCCTTTAATCAGACTGGTGACTATTGCTGACTCCCACCAAGAAAAACCGGGACAATCAACAGATGCTTTCTGATCACAGCAGGCTCCTAGGGGTCCTTCCAAGCTGTCCTGCTTCACTCTCAGGTGATCGGGTGATTCTGCTCCTGCCGTGTATTTTTACCATCCCCAGAAGAGTGGCTTGTGCACAGGAGCTTAACTAGGCAGCCTCTGCAAGTAATCAACGTTACAACCGATGGGGGATTACTGGGAGGGCGACAGCACAGAGTCCAGAGCAGGCAAAAAACAGACATCGCATCCCCACCATCAGCCATGGCGGCCCACCCCATGCGGAGCCAAGCCAGCCCGGCTAGAGGCTGCCTGAATCAGAGCAGGGAGAGTCATTGGGTGTTCAGCCTTGGGAAGGGAACCTGGCTGATGTTCAGTTTGGGTGTCACTTTCCTAAATTTACTGTAAACTGTCCCGTGGGCAGAGCTGGGCATGGATCCCACTGCGTTCACACCCCTTGTTTTCCTTCCCTGCTAGGTCCTTGCTGCAAAAGTTCTCAACCTGGTCATGCCAAACATGTCCCTGGGCCCGATCGACTCCAGCGTGCTTTCTCGGAATAAGGCAGAGGTAAGAGTCTTTCTGAAAATGCAGGGTAGTCAGTGGCTGGTGGGAGAGCAGCCCTCGTGGGAGATTCGAGTCTTAGCCCTTTGTCTGCCATGTTCTGTGCCCGAGGACCTGCGTGAAGTGAGGGGGCTGTGAAGATGTGGAGGTATCGTTTGGCTTCAGGACTGAGTGGGAAAGGCTGATGGTTGTGATGTCTGAGTGTTCCCTAAACATGGAAAGGAGTTAGCCAGAGTAGGGTCTGTAAATCTGCTTGGTCTCCTTTGGTTACAAGTAGCAGAAACCTAACTCAAAGTGATTTCAGTGAAAAGCGAGTTTTCTTGGTGAGTATAACTAAGACTTCAGATATGGCTGGGATCAACTTCAGGCACCACCTCTCTCTTCCCAGCTCTCATATTCCCTGGTTTGACTTCATTCCCAGCCAGACTTGCCCCAAGTGGAGGCCAAAATTGCCAGCAGCAGCTTTACCTAAACAACCCCAGCAGAAAGAATTTAACCCCATCTCACAGATGAAGAAACTGAGGCTCAAAGGTTAAATGCCTTGTCCAAGTCGCACAACTTGTCAGAGCTGAACCATTTGATTCAGAAGTCCACGAGTGGGTGCCTCCTTCCAGTTAGTATCTGCAATCATGAAGCCTTTTCCCCGGCTTTGCGGTCCCAGGTCTGTGTGACAGGTTCGCTCAGAGAGAAAGAGGTTCCTCCTCTTTCCGCGCAGGGTTTCCTTGACCTCCACGAGGCAATTTTCTACAGAATGGCTCCCCTGGATTCTTGAATGTGCAATTTCTAGTGAAATCCAGTATCTTTGTGGCAGCTGTGGGAGGGTGACAATGGAGAGAGAGAGAAACAAAGAGCCAGAGAGAGCTAGCGCCCTTTGAGATCTTTTAGAATGAAACACCCAGGGTCCAATCTGAGTTGTGTATCTTACCACCTGAAAATATCTGGGCAAAAGGGAAGGAAAGAAGAGATAACAAAATGATTCCAAATCCCCTTTGTTCAAAAGTAGCAGATTTTAGAACTTTTACCTCATTTTCTGAAATAATGGAGCATTCCATTGTAAAATAGAAGAATTGGGGGACCATGCAGCACGCAGGCTCCCCACCTCCTGCCCACCTGCCCGCCAGCACCCCACGGTCACTCTCCCTCACCGGGGTGGGGTGGTTTCTGACTGCCCAGGTAACTCAGGTGGTCTGTAGAAACACTCATCAGCGTGCCTGCTGGGAAAAGCAGGAGGTAGGAGGCGGTTGGCTGGCCTGAAGGCTGGACTCCTGCTGGAAGAAATAGGAGCCAGGGTTTCCACTCCAAGCCACAGCCTGGCGGAAGGAGCGCCTCTCCCTTCGCTCTCCGTCTCCCTTTGAACATTCCACCAAGCTTTAAAAATAGCAACGCCGCCGGGGGAAATCTGTTCGGAAAAGGCACCCCCCCCCCCCCCCCCCCCCCTGGTTCTAACATCAGGGTGTCTTAATGCCCGTCCTTAGCTAAGATATTTCCTATGATGCCCTGCAGCTATAAAAGCCTCCAAAGGATAAGCGATGTTTGCCTAACAAGCTTACTAAAGTGGGGCCGTGGAGGAAGGGACCACAGACTCAGGCTGTCAGGGAAGTCTGCAGTTGTCTCTGGGGAAGCAGCCCTGCTATTCCAATGTCAAAAGCAGGGGTTTGCTTGGGGTTTGCTGTGGTGAGGGTTCTCACAAGCCACCCAGTCTTGTTAGTGTGACACCTTTGTTAGCATCAGGCTGCCTGCTTACAGCTCACTTTCTCCTGCCTGTGTGAAGTTTCCAGGCGGAAAAAACCTTGCCTGGTCTCAGCGCCAGGCCACGCAAGAGCATTGTGCCCCCCTTTATGTGTCAGACGCCATAGTCCTTTTGTCTTGCCACAGCTCCTGAAAGTTAGTCTTATTACCAGTGTTTGCATTGATGGAAGCTTGGGCCCAGAAAGGGCAAATCACTTGCCCAAGGACACAGAGCGACTAAGTAAGGCCTTGAGCCCAGATCTCTCTACTCTGATCCAAGCGCTCTTGGCACTAAAATCTTGGTTAACAAAGTTGCCAGTTGGGCCTTTTTTTCTGTGCGTCTACACATTTGCAGTCCCTGATCAGAACACTGGAGTACTGACAGGCTAACCGTTCCACCCTCCACAATGGGTTTTTCAGAATGTAATGAACCCCTCCCACTCTGAAAAGCCTGGAATGTTCTAAATATTTCCCTGGCTAAGGACACTGGGGAAGATGTGAGGAGGGCATCACTGAGACTCTCTTCGTGCCCTCAAGTCATGGGTGACCCTCCAGTGACTCACAACCAGAAGGCACTGCTTGCTTTCTGGAATCCAGTTTTCAACCCTATGAGCTGGGTAGAGGCAGGGAGGAGGGTGCCCCGCAGTTCTGAGAAGACATCTACCAGGGACATCACTCTTCAGAGTGAGGCTGCTTGCCTTCTAGAACCAAGGCTCTGTTCTCTATAAATACTCTGGGAGGGCCTCCAAGCACATCCTGGCTAGTTTAGATTCACGCTGGCAGGCCATATGGCGAGTTCTGCACGCCCTCCCCCAGCCCCCGGAGCTGCGAGAGTGGCCTACTCTGCTTCCTTTCATTTCTCTAGGTGGGTGCTGCTCCTCACCCCCACCCAGCATTTCAGATGTGCCCAGCTCCCCTGCTCCCTGCGCTTCTTCCACCCACGCTGCCAGGAGGCCACATCTGCCCTGGCCCTCTGAGATCCTGCTGGGTCTGGGAAAACACGGCCATACTGAGGCTTTTGACTAATTGAAACCACAGCTAAAGATAGGCCCCAGCTTCCCACTCTATCCCCAGGCCCCAGCCTCCCTGTCTGTCCCTCGGCCCCAGCCTCCCACAGAAGTCCCCTCTCAGGATGGGTTATTCACTTCCTCGTAAGCCCAGTTGGGTGATTTTATTCTGCGAGTCTCCATCACTCATATCTTATATTCCCCACAGAAGACTTGTGTGTTTGAGGCAGCTTTTACCAAGGCCTTAAAAAAAAATAATGAGCCATTAGACCATCTCTTGGAGCTTATTGCTGTAAGAGGGCAGCTGTCGGGGAGAACGTGAGTGGGCCTCCCTCTCTCAGGCCCTGCACACGCGGGGTGTGGGGCTCCACCTGCCGTGGCTGGCTCCTGCTCCAGCCCTCCTCAGCCCACGCACACAGGCCCATCCTGGAAGTCAGCGCCTTCAATGGCAGCAGAAAAGCCAGTGACTCAGAGACTTCTGGGGGTAGTCCCAGGTGTAAGGGTGAGGCTCCCAGAGGAAAGGGGAGAAGATTCAAGGGAAGGAAGACCCTCCTCCCCCACTCTCAAGATGGAAGTGAGGTTGACTTCCCGTGTCACTTCTGGTTGTGGAGGATCCTCGGCCCTCTAGAAGGACACTCCAGGACCTTTGTGTAAACCACTGTTCCACGTGCACAGGGCCGTGATCTCCAGTCCAGCTCTTCACTCAAAAAAGCAGATACCAGAGTGTCTGGAGTTCAACTTTAATAGCAAAAAGTAATTTTGGAAAAGAACAATCGTACACCTGTCCTTGATTGAGTGGCAACTCATACATACAGGCGCATCCTGGTTGCTCCCGTGTAGTCCTTATTTCCCGTGGCTCTTGTCTGGCTCAGGAATTTCATCCCCAGAGGTTGACTGGCAGGCCAGGGGGAGTAGATGTCAGAGAGGGCGCTCGCTTGGGCCTCCTAGTGCTTAGGCAAAATAGGGGAGATTTGAGTCAAGCGGCCCCATTATCTCCCCTCTGCCATCCGGTAGCAGGCAGCACTCAAGTCAACAGACTTTCATGGAGCTCCTGCTCTGGGCCAAGTGCCTGACTGGGGAGGCTGGAAACACCTGATGAGTTTCCCTGTTTTCAAGGGGGAAAGGCCATCGCCCCTTCTGTTACGGAGGACAAGAGGCAGAGGGCTCAGTGGAAGGGCACACAATTCCCAGCACCGCGCCCAAGCCCAGACCCAGCTCTCCAGCTCCAGCTCTTGGTGCTGCCATGTGATGTCAGAAACCGCGCTCTATGTCAGTGCCCTCAGGTCTCTTGAGGGTCTCACAGTGGCCTGGAGCAGTGTGGGGAGCTGTTGTTATCACAGCTATTTTTAGAGTAGTTTTGTTGAAAATACTGGCGATCTGGGGAGAGAAATGCCAGCTTCCCCAGTGCTGTCAGGACACCATCAGTAGGGGAAATGCTGGAACTGGATCTTAAAGAGGGGACAGGCTTGCTGGCTGAGGAGAGAAAAGGTGTGGGAAAGGAGCATTCTGAAAACTAGGAAGGTCAGGGCCAGTCTGTAGGTACAGAGATGAGTGCAGGAAGAAAGGAGCAGAGCTGGATGTGGCTCCTGCCGTGTGCGGGGAGGGCACTGGGGGAGGATGGAGGGCTTCTGGGAGGAAGGGGCAGCTGAACTGAGTGTCCAATAAAAGACTCTACAGGCATCCAAGAAAAGGGTCTGAAGGCTGGACGGACAGCCATGCCAGCCCCCAGGGGTACAAAGCGGGGAGGGAGTGATGAGGGAAGAGGCAGTGGGGCATTTGGAGTCCATCACTTGTGGCCTCAAAAGCCGTGAACTTGGCCCTTGTGAGGGTGAGTCGGGGGGAAGAACGGCAGAGTTCTTAGGAGCAGGGAGTTTGGCAGAATGTGGGTGCTGAGTGCAAGGGGCTGGTTGAGTACTGCAAACCAGCTGTAGGGAGCTGGTCAGGCCCAAGCGGGGCGTGGGGAGAGTGGCAGCATGCACGGGCCCTGGGCTGTTTTCCCTGTGCGGTGTGTTCTGTATCCAGGCTGATTTCTATGATCAACTCTTATTTGCATTTAGAATAGTCTGTAGCTTGGCATTCATGAGAGCACAGCCCCGTGGCCAAGGGAGAGCTATACCAAGCAACCTCGGGCATTTTCCACGTTCATGCCAGTCATTCTTTGTCTAGGGAAGTAATGAAGGACCTTTTCTTCTAAGGCCCGTGGGTGTCATTGCATTTGTGAACAGCCCCTTTGCCAGCTGTTGGCCAGCCAGCCCAGGGCAGGGTTCGGATCTGCACCAGGCTCAGTGTGCCGAGGTGTGTTAGAGAAAGGTTAGCTCGGTGCTTCAACCAGTGTTACCAAAGGCCCCTGTGCCAGGACATAGCAAAGACCAGCATGAACAGAGCCCCGCCCTAGGGGTCACGCCATAGTGGGGAGGAGATAGGCATGCGGTCTGGAGTCTGGAAGGCTTCCTGAAAGGGTGAAAGCTGAGCTACGTGATTGACATCACCTAGGGAGGGCACGAGCCTGCCTGTGCCCAGAAAGGCGCCCCCACCCTCTTGGGCCACCTCGGGACCCACAGAGTCACTTCGCCTGCTGTCATGTCCAGATGTTTTTTTCTCTGAGGGACCCACCACTTTTTCTCGGAGGAGCACCACCTCCCCTGCTCCCGGGAGGACTCACCTTGACTTTCTCTAGACAGGAAGCATCGTATAGTGAGGCAATAGAATGCTGATGGGAGAGCCCGACTGCTAAAGTTCTCTTCTGGCTCTGTTCTTTACTTGCTGTGTGACTTGGGGTGAGTTTCCTAGCCTCTCTGAGCCTTAGTCTCCTCAAGTGTAAGAGGGTGGTAAAAATAATGGTCCCTGTACAGGGTTCCTGTGAACAACAAGTACAAGTAAAATGTTTAACACAGCACAGAGTACAAGGGTCACTGTGTTACTTATTGTTAATATGATACTAATTAAAAATGTACTTTTCGTTCCAGTTCTTAAAAATAGATTTGGACATTTGACTTAGGGGTGGTGCCTAGGTTTTGCTCAACCAAAAGCTTAAGAAACTCCCCACTGTGGATTGCAGCTATATTTACTGTGCTTCGGGGCAAAGTGTCTTCCCACAGAGGGACAGTGTTCAAAAGGTGGAAGCCCCAGTTGGCATGTTCTTGGTTGTCAAGTTCAACCTTGCTGAGAGCCCTCAGAGCTCCCCAAAACAGCACAGTTTCTAGAGGATCACTGAAACACACCAAGGCTCTGAGAATATCCACAGATTGTAAAACTTAAAACCCAAGGGGAACCTTCCAGGTCCCCTAGATGGAGACACAGGCCCAGGAAGGGGCTTGGGGTTCTCTGAGGCAACCCAGTGCATCTTGGACACTACTGTGGGCTCAACGGCGGGCTTGTCACTGCAGCTACATCATCTCCTTGCACCTGCTCCCCCAGCATTGTCCAGGGACTTCCACTATCATACCCATTTCACAGATTCAGCAAATTGAATCTAGGAGTGAAGAACCTCGTCCAGATCACACAGCTAGAAAATGTCAGGGCTGAGTGGTCCTCGCTGCTCCAGTCTCCCCCTATGATTCAGTCAGACCCCCAAGGAAAAAGCTTGATGTCTCAGTGTACGTACCCCCAGGGGTCAGTCATCTGAGCAGAGACTCAGCACTTGGACCTGATGCATGGCCTGCAGCCAGTGTGTCCCCAGGACTCATAGCTCCTAGCCCACAGGAGCAGCAGGGGTACCAAAGGCTGGGGCTTTGCTGTGTGCTTTCAATTAAACAGCTTTGGAGATAAATGTGATCCACATGCAGTTATGAGAAATAACACAGGGGCCCACGTGTCCCCTCCAAGTTTCCCCCAGGATGATATCAAGACCTTGGGATGCTATCACAGCCAGTCAGGACTCCGACTCGGCACAGTCAGGATACAGAACATTTCTCTACCACGAAGATCCCTCCCACTGTCCTCTCCCTCCTGCTCCGTCCCCTCCTTGGCCCTGCCAACCTTTCCTCTAATTTTGCCATTCAGGGATGTCATTGTACTGGAACCATACACTAAGACTGTCTTTCTGGTCTTTGGTCTTGAAGCGACTCTTCCTGGACCTGGGCATGGTCTCCGAGGGAGGGAGCACTTCTTTGCCCGCTGCCTGTGGCAACAAGCCACCGCCCTCCTCCAGCAAGGAGGACTTTTGGTGGATTTAGATCTTCAGCTTTCAAAAAGCAAAGGTCACTGTGATTGGGCCAGAATGGTTACTTGAGGGGAGGGTTTGGGCCCTCTGAACCTCAGTTTCCCCATGTGGTATCACCCTCCTGTTCCCCCCGCCCCCCGGTCCCAGTTTCTCTTTGTCCCTTGCTTCCCACTGTGGCTTAAACTAGGGGCCTGCCCTTTCTCCCACACATCTGGCAGCTCTTCCCATGCCCAGAATAGGCCTTGTGTAAACAGACCTACGTGATCAAGACCTTGACAAAGAAGCCAAGAGCAGGAAGCCACTTGGCTGCCAGAGGATTTAAACCCAGTGCAGACTCCCCAAGGGGCCTCTCATGTTCAGGGTCAGCAGGGAAAGACGTCAGGCCACTTTGGGAAGGAGGTGGGCTAATGGGCTCTGGCCCTGGGCGTTCATAAGGAACTCCGGCCCTGCAGCATGCCATGGGGTGCCGTCAGTCTGCCGACACCCAGAACCCCAGCAGAGGTTGCTTAAACAGAAGAGAAGCTTATTTTTCCAGGTGATGCCTTATCAGTGTAAACCATGTTGTAGCCATTTCCAGGGTGCACCCACCTCCCTGTGGCCCCAGCGGTCTCCCTGTTCTTCCCATGCCCTGGCAGGAAGGGGGAGGGGAAAAAGCAAAGTGAGGACAAACCTTGACCAAAGGGTGAACAGGAGCACTGGTGCCCACTTCCTGTTCATGTGACCACTCTGGCGCAAGGGAGGCTGGGAAATGTAGTCTTTATTCTGATTGTGCCACACTAAACATTCAGGGTTCTCTGGGGAGAATAGGAATTGGGGTAATTTTTTTTTTAAATAATAAATTTTATTTTTATATTCCCCATACAATTGCAGCCCCCCCCCATTGGAATTGGGGTAATTAATAGCAAGCCAGCATGTTCCTCTGTAGAATGGAGAGCCAGACCCTGAGAGGATGCTTATGAAGGTCATGAAGGTCAAGATGGCTGAACCCCTCGTGTCAAGCCCATGAAAAGAGTTCCAAAGTGTCCATTATTCTTATTCTTTTTGCTAAATGAGATCCTCCCCGTGGTCCCTGGCTTCATGGTGTGCAGCGAGCCCTTGTGTGGTCCGCAGTAGCTGTTACTCTCACCGTTAGCATCGGTCCTCCGTGTATTCCAATCCCAGGGCTCTCATGGGCCACACACAGCTTTCTTCCTAAACGGGGCTCCTTGCAGACCCCACTAAGCTCCTGCTGTGGCCATGCCCTGCCCATGCCAGTCTCAAGCTTCTCAGCCCCCCAAACAGATGGCCTGGCCCTGCAGGATTCCTGCCAGCTCAGCTGCAGGAAGTGGCTAATCCACCTCGTGCGGCTTTTCACAAATGGTCTGGCCATCCCGAGCTCGGTCCCCAACATGGGAGGAATCAGAGATGGCAGGGGTGACCCAAGACAGCCTGTCCCCTCCTAGAGTGAATCCAGCATTCTGGCCAAGGCCCTGTTAGCAGTGGTAACAAAAGGGGCAGTGCGAGCCCCCCACCCGAGAATGCAAGTAGAACACAGAGGACACTCTGCTGCCCCTGGGTTGAGGTGTCCCTGTGCTCCCTCTGCCAGTCTCAACACCACGTGGCACCCCTCCAACCAGCCAAGAACCCTTTGGCAAGGATGAGGAAAGTGAGTGAAGGGGTGGCATGGCCTCATACCTGCCCATATGCACTTGAGAGAGTTCTAGAAACTTCTCACCCAGATTCTGTGTGGTAGATGCCCCATCTTGGATCACAGTGAACTGGCACCTCTTTCCCTTGAAGGTGAGTAGAGTAAAGCCAGAAGCCAATTTGGGCCAAAGAGAGCAGGGACAGGGTTCCAGGACAGCCCCACAAAAGCTGGTTGGATTCTGAGCCTCACACCCCAGCACCTGGGCGTGTCCCGTGGAGGGACAGCCATGGCCACCCAGAGGACACAGGGCCACCTGCGCTGACCTGCTGAGCCCTGCTCCTCCTGAAGCCCATGGGCAGTGCCAAAGCACCTTCCGGGCACTCTCACATGCCCCATGCAGGGCCCCTTCCCTCCTCTGCAGCCTGTGTATGCCCACCACCCGCTCTAGCCGAGTAGGCACCAGGTCAGGGAGAGAGAAAGGAAAAGCCTCACAGACTAACAGCAAACCCCTTTGGAGCTCTTCTTGTGTGAAATAATCCATGCGAAGACTATGGTGCTGCTTATATTTTCAAAACCACAAATCAATACTTGAAACAGTCTACAGTCATAGCATGAGTGTGGACTACACAGAACAGAGCCTGGGCGGAGAGGCTCCGAGTACAGCACCCCACCCAGCTCCATCCCATACAAACAACCCTTTGGGCAAAGCCGAAGGAGAGCTGACGGGAGCTAGGTCTGGGCCTCTGAAGGCGAGGCTACCCAGGAGCTGGTGGTACCCACCTCTCGCTCTTTCCTTCCAGGTGGACATTTACAACTCAGACCCCCTCATCTGCCGGGCAGGACTGAAAGTGTGCTTCGGCATCCAGCTCCTCAATGCCGTCTCAAGGGTGGAGCGGGCCCTCCCCAAGCTAACCTTGCCCTTCCTGCTGCTCCAGGGCTCCGCTGACCGCCTGTGCGACAGCAAAGGGGCCTACCTGCTTATGGAGTCCGCCAAGAGCCAGGACAAGACACTCAAGGTGAGCCACTGCCCCTCCTCACTTCCCCTGAGGACGCCAGGGAAGGTGGTCTCCCTTCCTGACAGTCTACCCAGACCCCCAGCGGGCCATCCCCAGGCGAGGTGTCTCAGGATAGGGGCAGCCTGGCCCTGCCAGGGAAGAGTACCAGAAAGAGAGGCATCTTTTAAATCTGAGAGAGCACACGAGTGATTAGCTGATTGTTGTGCATGAAAGAGCTTGAAAGGAAGGAGATCTCACAGTCAGCAAAAGAAACCCCCAAGCAGGCATGGAGCAAAAACAGTCTCCCAAGAGACTTGTCATGTCCAAGGGCATGGGCGTGCCTGGCCTCCTAGGGACTGGCTTTCTGCACCAGCAGCAGCGCCTCTGCCACCACCACCAGGGCCTCTGGGCACAAAGGGGCAGTGAAGTGAGACTTGGCAGAATGTGATCTGCAAGGGAATCTTCAAGATTATGTCCAGAAGAGTGGATCGTACCTGCAGCTTAGCCATGTGGTGTATTAGGCAGAACAGACCATGGTAGACCCACTTGGAGGGCTTTTGAGATGGAAATGCTATTTGGGGGTCATTTTGTTTGCCTGATTGACCTGGGAAGAGCCCCAGCTGGAGGGATAGATAGGAAGGGAGGAGAAGCACCCACTGTGTGCCTGTCAAGGGCCCATTGGCCCTGAACAGCCTCAGGTGCATTCCGGAATGAACAAGTCCCCTACAGTGGAGGCCCCCACAGCCTGTGCATAGACAGCTGGAGGCCCTGGGTCCAGGGCCCCTCTGTTAGAAAGCAAGCAGGCAAGTCACTGCAGCTCCAACCCCACAAGTGGTGAGTCAGGATTCCAACTCAGGCCCCCCAACCTAAGCCCACTGCCCCTTCCACCCCACACTGTGTGGACTAAGACTCACAGCTTTGCAAGCTGTGCCTCACACCACTGTGAATTGCAGAGCCTGGCCCACTCCAACTGCCAGATAGAGTCACAGATGAAGAAAAAGAAGAAAAAAGAAAACTGGCTGACCCTGTCATGAGAGAGAGTGAAAACTCAGAGGGGCATTTTTTAGTTTGGGTGAAGGCATCACACAGGCATCCCCTGACACTGACCTGGAGCCTGTGGTCCCCGAGAAAGGGTGAAGAACACTGTTGCTCCTTTATTCACTCGCTCTCCACTCATTTGTTCCTTCTTTAATCCTAGTATTCACTGGGTGCCTACCTTGGGCCAGGCCCAAAGAGCAAAACAGGCAAAGTCCTGACCTCCCTAATGGAATAGTCCCAGAGGGGTGAGCAGTAAACAGATAATGTAAGGAGATGATGAAGGAGAGGGCCGGCATCCCAAGGGGAACTGAGTGGGAAATTGGGGTGGGGGAGCAGAGGAAGCACCGACTTCAGGGCTTAAGGTCTGACAGTGATAAGAACAATAGAAGAACATTCTAGAACAAGGGAGGAGCCAGTGTGAAGGCCCAAGATCAGAAGGGGGAGGACCAAGAGAGAGTGGACCATAGGGAGTGAAATCAGAGCAATGAAGGATGAGCCCTGGGTTCTGAACTTGAGCAGACTGGGAGAGAGACAGATTTGGGAAATACCAAAAGTTCTGTTTTGATCGCTATTAGTGAGTCCCATTAGAAATGGAAAGCAGGATCTGCAAAAAATGTTGCAACCTGTGCTTACAGAAGTATCATCCACAAGAGCTAAAAGATAGAAGCCACCTACCATTGACAGATGAAGAAAATGTGATCTGTACAATGGCATATTATGCAGTCATAAAAAGGAAGGGAATTCTGACTCATGCTGCAACATGGGTGAACCTTGGGAAACGAACCAGTCAAAAAAGAGTAAACATATGATCGCACTCAAATGAAGTATCTAAAAGTAGTCAAAAATCATAGATAGAGAAAAAAGAAGGGTAGCTTAGGACTTGGGGAAGAAGGCAGAAAGAGGGGTAATATATAAGGGGTCGTTTCATTTTCAAAAGATGGAAAGTTCTAGAGAGAGAGCTGTTGTGTACCAGTGTGAAGAGGCTGACACTGTTGAACTGTATACTTAGAAATGGTAATTTAATATTACTTTTTTTTTAACCATACTTTAAAAAAATAACCAAGACATTTGGAGATTAGAAATTCGACTGGAAATGGCAGTAGTTAGTTGGGTGTCCACATCTAGAGTTTACAAGAAGGTGCCAATGCTCGGGTCACCAGCACAGACTTTATCAAGCTTCGGAACTGGACATGACGACTAGGAAGCAAGAGAACAAGGGCCGTGGCCGTGCCCTTGGCCACCAGCCCGGTCATAGGCGGCAGGGCACAGCCTAGACTGAGAGGCAGGAAGAAGCCCACACAGGTAGAATGCCCTGGAAACCCAGGAGGAATGTGTTTCTACATGATTAACCAAGATCAACTTTTGAATGATGCCAAGAAGTCGAGTCATCCTAGAGCAGAAAGTGTGCCCAGGCAAGGGTGGTCTGAAGGTCACCGGGGTCAGGCCAGGAAGGTCACCTGTGGGCTGATGGAATGGGAAACAGGAGCAGATGGGGATGAGCCAATGTCCGCAGGAGGGGAGGGCCGTGGAGACGGGCTGTCGATGGAGATGACGCCTGGACCAGTCCCAGTGGGCCGGAGAAGTGGGATCAATGGGAGGTGCTAGAACACGAGGGGACATTTTTATTCATTTGAACCAGGCCATGTTCAGAGGCGCTGGCCTGGGCTTCAAGGGCTCCCTCCATAGCCTTGACTTCCTGCCTCTCCTAATTGCAGATTTACGAAGGTGCCTACCATGTTCTCCACAAAGAACTTCCTGAAGTAACCAACTCTGTCTTCCAAGAAATAAACCTATGGTTCTCTCAAAGGACAGCGGCAGCGAGAAAGGTGTCCCCGCCCTGAGCGCACTGGCCAGGCGGCTGTCCCACAGTCGGGGAAGCGGGCAGAGGAAGGGCAGAAGCTGGCTTTGCAGATGTGGTTTGCAAAAAAAAAAAAAAAAAAAACACACAAAACAAAACTATAAATTGGAGGATTCCCTAGTGCAATTTACTTTAAAAAGAAAAAAAGAGAAAAAACCGACTGTTGTCCTATGTTAGGCTGTCCGCCCTTGAGTCTACCTTAACTAAGGGTAGACACTTTATGCAAAAACAGAGGAAGATTCGGGTAGTTTCCCAGTGAGGGCATGGGCTGAAATGCCCTTCAAGCACGCAAAGCCTCTGCCCCACCTCTCCCGGCTCCCACAAAGGTGCCCAGGAATTCCTGGTGTTCCGGGGACCCCTGACTGCAATAATTGGAGGAGTTTCCCCTCCTGCCCACTCCTCCACCCCGAGCCCAGCACCCCTCTCCCACCAGCCTTGCTCGGTGGCCTTTTACTGGCTGTGGGATGAGGTGGCCAGCGCCGGCTCCCCCAGGCGGCCTCACATGCCCTCCAAGGCCCAGAAAATGCCCAGTACTTCCTCAAAGGCCATGACCCACGTCAGGCCTTGTCCACCCAGAGCTGGGTGTTGGTGTGGGCTGCAGCTTGGTCCACAAGAGACCAGGCAGGAAGATGTTCCTTCCTGCAGGGGGCTGAGGCCGCCGCCCAAGCGCTGTATATATTCGGGGGCTGCCTTTCCTCCTGTGACTGATTTTACCTGACACCACAAGAGGACAGTTGTATTGCAGATGAAATATCTAATATATAATGTATATTCTAAAGCAGAGACTATTTTGGGGGGGGGCGGGTGGGTGGGATCGAAGGGGGCTTAAAGGCATGGAAGCCTGATGCCCCGGCACAGGAGGGGCCGCTGGCCGGGGAGCTGGGCCCACAGCACCCAGAAGCCTCGGGGCTGGCAGTACAGCTACCTCTGGTGGCAGAAGAGGGTCCCAACAAGGCAACCCTGTGCGGGGTCATGGGAGGGGAGCAGACTGGGGAGCGGCTGATGGAGGGGAGCCAACTTTTCCCAGCCCGGGCCCCAGCAGCGCCTGACCTGCCTTCCTCAGGTGCCAACCCCACCCTTACCTGCCCTTGACCCTCACTTAGTGCCAGCAATAAATGGGGACAGCAGAAAATTTTCACTTTCCAGTGGGACCCACTGTTACCTCATGGGCTCCCAAGTGCAAACATGACCCTGGGTGGGGCAGGGCCGCTGGGGTCACCAGCTGGCCTGAGAGTGCAAGTCCAGGAGCCCTGTGGCCCACACTGCAGGCGGCTGCTCCCCCGTTGGGCCCTCTGACAGGGAGGCTGGGAGTGGGGACTCCCACCCCACTTCTTCCAGCGGTGAGATCCACTGCCCCTCACCCACAGGCTATTCTTCCCAGATGCATTCTGGTCCCCAGAGAGGGCATCTCCTTTGTCCTTCCAGAAACCCCGCCCACAATGGTGGACGCCAGAGCTCCCTCCACTGGGCACCCACTCCCACTGAAGGTCACACTTGCCTGGGGCTCAAATGTGTTCTCCTGCCCAGCCCTGGAGGGCAAGCACCCAGGCACCCACTCTCCGGGGGACAGGGCCCAGGGGCCCACAGAGAGCGGCTTCCATTGCCCCTCTTATTTTTCTGGCTTCTCTATGGAGGAGAAAAGGTAGAATGTGTGCTGACGGCGAAGGTCGGCCCCGACCTCTCAGCGCAGACGTCCTCCCATAAAGCCCCAGGCCTGGAGCTTGAGAGGTCGGCCACAGTCTGCGCCCTCCACCCTCCTCCTCGCCCAGAAAATGGAGGCCCGCGGCATTTCCCGGATTACCAGTCGGGCCCACGGTTTGACTGGGAATCCCTCAGATGCATGAGTATATTCACATGCGCGCTCTTGCAGAGGTAACCTCCGTCACATCTACACATCCAGTTACAGAATCACCTGCACTAAAAAGAAAAAATATTAATTGAAACCGGACTGTCTCCTCATCCACAGAGAGGGCGGGAATTCGGCCCATCAGGCACCTGAGCCTCACGTGAGCCGGCTGGGCCCTGCCGTCCCGGGAAGCCGCGCGAGTCTTGAATTGAGTTCAGCCTCAGTGGTGACGGCTCGTGCCAACCCTTCTGGGCCTTGGCGCTTCGAGGTCCCGCCCTTGCTGCAGGGTGGTGGAGCCGGGTTTCCGCGGGCCAGGTCGCTCAACGACAAGGGAGGGCAGAGACTGGGGGAGCCTGGAGAGGCAGCTCATCCAAACCCGCCCGAGGTCCTGCTGCTCTTTCGAGGAAGAGACGCTGAGGCCAAGCTCTGACTTCACACAGCAGCGTCCTGGGAAGTGGAGGCCCCGCCTGGCCCTCATAGAAACGGGGTTCACACTTGAAAATCTTTCTAGGAAAACATGCCACCTGCAGCCTGTGGGGGTCCCAACCTCACAGGCCCTGTTCCTTTGCAGGGATGGGAGCAGGAGACACAGGTCACTTCCCTGCTGCCCTTCAGTGTCCCCAGCTCTCCCCTCAGTGTCTGGGGGCTCACGGTGAGCACATGAAGGACACGCGAGCGCCCTCCCAGCTCCGCTCGGCACGACGGCAGGACCCACGCGCCTTTCTCTCTCGCCCGCGGCTGACATAAGCCTCTAGGAGCAGTGATTTCCCCAGTGACTGACTGGGTTGTCGTTGTCGCTGCAGCTCAGCCACATCCTACATGTATACTGTAGCGGGGACACGCGCATCAGTTTAGAACTGTTAGAGGAACCAGTGTATGCCACAGCTAATCCTAATAAACCAGATGTTTTCGGAACGTGTCTTCTTGTCTCTCTGTCACGGGTGGGGCTCGGATCCCTGGCTCTACCCCTCCTCCACACTCCTTCGCTCTTTCCACACAGCGGCCTGAGGGGCTATTAAATGAGGCCCTTCACTGCTCAGAGTCCTCCCATGGCTCCCAGCGCCACTCAGGTCAGACCACGGTACTTATCCAGCTGAGCGACCCAGGCCCGTGGCCTCCTCGCTACCCACCTTCTTGGTGAGGCAGCCCTGAGGGAGCAGGAAATGAACAGAAGTGGGGTGCTGGGCCTGCAGCAGAGGGGGCTCATGAAGCTTTGGGGGCAGAGGGAGCACTGGTGGGTCCTAGAAGTGAGACTTTCAGGATGGCCGCAGGAAGCCCAGGACCCCCCAAGAATGGTGTAGCCCCAGGAAAGTCAGTAGAAGATGCAGTACCAGGAGTAGCCACAGGGGGACGCTGGCAGCCCGACTGGAGGAGTGTGGCTGCAACTCAGAGCAGACCGCTGGTCAGGCCACAGCCTTGACCAAAATGGAAGCTAGCAGGGAAGGGACAGCCATGACTCTTTCTCTCCCCATCTTGCCCCTGCTTCCTAGGGTTAGGGTTAGGGTTGGATTAGGGTTAAGACCAGCAGTCCCCACCACCTGGCTTCCTCCAGCCCATGGTCCAAATTGGCTGCTCCAGCTCCTGCCTCCATATCTTTGTTCCAGCTCACAGGAGGGAAGATGTGAAAGGAAGGAGGTCGCCTCTAGTCTTTCAGCTCACATCTAGAATCTGGTGGCACGGCCACAACTAAACACAGGCAGGCTGGGAAATAGCCAGGTAGTCGGAGAAGAGGAGAGGGGCTCCTCTCAGGAGCAGCCGGAAGCCTGTGCCTGAAAATGAAGTGCTCGTGCCAAGGCGTTCCCTGAGAGGAGAACCAGGCTCCAGGTCTGCCTGGAAGAAGCCCCCAAGGCAGGTGAGGTGTGAGAATGGGCTGGGGGTGGGGGGGGGGGGAGAGGCCTAGAGGGCGGGAGGCCCTGACGAAGGCTGAGGTGGTGGGGATGGACCAGGAGGGGGCACTGAACCAGCAGTTACTGAAGCGTAACTAAAGGCTTGGCGGCTGCCCACAGCTGAGGGCCCAGGAACCCGGAGGAACAGGAGGATCAGGTATAATTCTTTGGAAAATGCGCAGACAAGTTTTAAAAATATGCCCAAATTACTTGTTTTATCTTTCAGAAAAGAATGGAAATCCATATTGGAACCCCCACTCCGACAGGAGCAGGAGTGACACCCCAATTCATTTTCACACCAGCTGTGGGTGATTGGTGGTATTGCCTCCATGTAGCTCGGTAAGCAAGCAGGGGCTCAGGGATTCCTCGTTTGCTGAGCTCTGCCCAGGTCGAGGCCCCATCTCAGACCCGCAGGGAGCAGTATTGCCTGAGGGCAGCTTCCTGGCTCAGAAGAAGAAACTCCCTGAGGTTGGAGGTCCCAGGGCCTTCCCATCGTAAATCCTCCGAGGTCAGTGGTACACTTTTCCGAATGTGACAGTTTATGCCTTCAGACTGCCTGCTCCTTGAACTGGGGCTGCCCTGGGCCCTGGCGAGGGCACTCCTGACTTGGAGGCCAAAGGCAGCCCCCCTTCCCTGGGCTTCCTCTGTCTGCGGTGGTGGGAGGGCACTGGCAGCTGTGTAGGCGTTTTCCAGGTAGAGGAAAGAAAAGACCAAAGGCTTTTTTTTTCCCCCAGGTGGGGAGGATACAGGATAAGTGGGGAGAAGTTAACTCTTTTCTGTAGACTTAGACTTAGCTCATCATGCAACTGGATCAGGGCCAGGACTAGGGTGAGGCAAGGGAGGCACTGACCTTGATACAAAATGTCAGTGTGCACCCCAAGACTCAGTAATTAAGTCCTATTTTAATGAATCAAAAACCTTGCTGTGGGCTGGAACTATTTTTTAAATTGAATTTAATGCAAAACATTTACAATGAACCAAATTGCAACATACTAAGACAGACGCAAGACTGCCGGCTTCCTTTTGCTTCCAGTCCCAGCATGACTCAGCTTTGCGCTGTTGCTCACTTGCTTCCTTGTCCCCATCCCGCCCCCCGACTCATTTTCCTCTTTTGTGGGGTGCAACAAGCTATCCCCAAATTACATTTTTGATATGCAAGTTGTTTATTCCCTTTCAATTGTCCAGTTGATGTATTTTTCCATCCGTGAAAAGTGGGGGGCTCTCTTGAGTTGGGATAGAATGCATGTATTTCCCAGTCCATGATATGAAAATAGTCTTTCATTCAACAGTTTTACAGAGAGGCTGGATGAGTGAAAGCCGTTAAGTGAGGGACAGAAGTTTGGTTTGTTAAATTAAAAGTGGGATAACCACTTTCTGACTTCTCAAGAGAAGTCTGATGAAATCCAACTCTTAGCCAAATCTGTTCCTTCTGGGGGCTCCCCCGTTTGTGGGCCTGGAGGGTTGGGGTGCCAGGAGGCAGCCTGAATGGCCCCTCATGCACAGAAGCTGAGTGACCATCTTCAGGCCCCAGGAAGCACCCCCACATCTATCTACTGTAACTTCCTTCCTGCTTACCACTGACAGCGCAGTTGCTTCCTGTTAATATTTATGACACTGCCGTAAACACCTGGGACAGAAAGCCCGTCCTTGGTCTAAAAAGCAGCCGAAACTGCAGGAGGGCATGGTGTGGCCGGGTGTGCCTGCCTTGCTGCTGGGGGTGGGCAGTTCTGGGGGTGTCAATCCTGGACTGTGAGCCTGCCATGTGCTTTCTATCAGGGAACTAAAGAGCTATCAGTTTAAGGGATATTTTTCCTTAAACCTACACTTGTGTTTTTACTTGAAATCTGTGGCAAAATTTCAAGTATCCGTAAAAAAAAAAAAAAAAAAAAAAAAAAAAAAAAAAAAGGTGGGTTTTGATGTAGTTCCCCCCCAATGCCTACTAAAAGACACACCAGTGATTTAGAATGTTTTAACGTCTAAACGTGTCATATGTTGGCTCCTTCGGGTGGAGCCCAGCATTTCACAGACACCCAGGCTCCCTGCAGTCCAGCTGGTGCTGTGGTGACTCACTGGACGCCCAAGCGAGGAGTGGCAACCATAGACATCCCCAATTTACAGATGGGCAAACTGAGGCTTAGAGCGGTGACCAGGCAGTAGATGGCACAGCTGGCTGCTGGCCTCAGGGCCCAAGCAGTGGGGGATCCGAAGGGCATCTTGAGAAAGCACCCCAGACTGCCCCCAACCATGCCACAGCCCCTGTGGCGAGGCCAGGGAGGCACCTGACCCTGGGCTGAGGGAGATGGTGGCTTCAGTCCTCAGTCCCTCAGCCATAACAAGATCGACTTGGCCTGTGGCCAGTGCAGTGGGGTGAGATGGGCGGCAAGCTGGGCCCGGGTGGGGCAGGGTCAGCAGCCTCCTCCCCGCCCTCCCACTCCGCACCCACTGCTGCGGCCGGGCTGGCTGGGCCTCTGTCCCTGGCACCGCTGCCCTCTGTGCTGTGGGGCGCAGGAGGTCAGTCACACCACACGGCTGCGGGGCTAGCCTTTGATGGACAGCTGTGCCTAGCGAGTATGTCCAGAGCCAGTCCTGGCTGTCTGCGGGGGAGCAGCTGCTGGCCCTGTAGTCAGCCATACTCCGCCACAGCTCCCAGGGCCACCAAGAGGAACCGAGGGGAGTCCCACTAGCTCCTGCCGTGCACTCAAGCCCCCCTTCTTACTCTGAATGAGGGGCCTCAACTCCAGAGTGCTCCCCTGGGCCCCTCCCCAATTCCTGCCCTAAACGCTGGGGCACAGGCCAACTTCCACCCCCTCCCCGGGCTGCCAGGACACAGGCCCAGGCTCCCACAGTGAACTCAAGCTTTATTGCCGCGCAGACACTCCTGCTGCCTCCCAGCTGGCCCTGCACACAGGAGGAGACAGTGGGTTTGGGGAAGCAGCCAACCAGGGCCAGGAGGGCCAGGATAGAGGGGTGCTGAAGGGGGCCCTAAGATACCCCCACCCCAGGTTTCCCTGAGTGGACCAGCCCCAGGACCTGGGGGCTGGCCTATGCCTTGGGGGAGGGGGCTCATCCCAAGGTGACACACCCCCAGAACTGCCCAGGCACAGGGGCCGGGGTACTCCACTGAGACCCCGCAGTCCGCCATGCACCCATGGGTGCAAGGAGCAGGAAGAGCGGCTGTGCACAAGCAGCCACGGGTGCAGTCCCGGGAGCCTGGGTGATTCAGGTCAGCAGTCCAGGCCGATGGACACCAGCAGGTCCTCGAGAGCCCGCAGCCGCTGCTGTGCCTCCTCGATGGCGCTGTACGTCTGTACCGTGCTGGCCACATGGAAGCGGATGTCGTCCACCAGGGGGATGGAGTCCGTCTCCTGCCGGGCCGCCACGGCCGCCGCCTCCTCCCTCACGGCCTCGGCAAAGTCCTCCCGCTCCACCAGCTGCGGACAGGCCAGCTCAGGGCACGTCCACTACCACCTCAGCCCCCGCCCGCCACAGTGTCCCGGCCCACCTTCTCGATGACCTTGGCCATGTACTCCGTGCACTGGTCCTCGAGCCGCGCCAGGCGGAACAGCTTGGCCACGCGCCACACGCCCACCACGCTGTCCTCGTCCAGCAGCTGGGCCAGGCTGCGGCCGCACAGCCGCTTCAGGCCCGGCAACAGGTACATGTCGGCCACGCTCAGCACATCATAGGCTGCTTCAGGCGGCAGCTGCCGTGAGGGAAGAGGTGAGGGGGGGCGCTAGGTCCCTAAGGTCTTGCAGGGGCCCAGAGGCCAAGGCTGGAGGCAGAGGAGCCCGGGAGTCCTGTGTTCCCGGCATATCTGTGGGCCAGGCAGCAGGCAGGGCCTTTCCCGGGAACATGCCGGGACCTGAACCGCACAACAGGCCTGTGATCTCGGAGTGAGACCCTGGCCCAGTCACTCCACTCTCCGTGCCGGTTTCCTCTGTGAGGAGCAGAGAACCAGGCTGACCTTGAAGACAGGAGGTATCTAGTTCCTGCTCTTTCTACCCCCACGGTGTACCCTGAACCCAAGAGGCCATATGCCCAGCTCCTGTCCAGACTGTGGAGGCCCAGGGAGCGGGCTACAGACAGACTGGCAGGACCTTTGCCGCCACATCATAGGCTGTGAGCACCAAGCCTGTGACATGCACATTCATCTGCTCAAGATGTCAGGAGTAACAACTATAAGGCCCCCATTTTATAAAGGGGGACACTGAGGCATGGAGCAGTTGCATAACTAGCCCAGGATCACACAGCTTGTGAGGGGCTGAATCCACCCTCAAAGAGGCTTAGGGCCACTGTGAAGCTGCCTGCAAGGGGGCAAAGCTCCTTCAGGAGCTGACGGGGCGGGTAAAGGAGGGCACCTGGTGGCAGGGGCAGAGACTGGACAGAGCTGCAGCAGGAATGCGGTTAAGGAGGTGAGGGCTGGGCCAAGGAGGAAGCCCATCAGAGGCCGAGGGAACAGCCCGGCACTTAGAACGGAGGGGAGGTGACCGTCACAGCCGGGCTGGCCCCTGGCTGCCGCCCTTCTCCCAGTGACAGAAGCCCCTTCCCCAGCTCGCCTCATTGGCAGCTATGACACCAACCCGGCTCCCTCTGGTGCCGCTGCCACCGGCTCACAGCCAGAGAGCAGCAGGTGAGCCAGCGCTCCAGCCTCATGGAAGACCCCGCCATGCAGCCACCCACCCTGGTCAGCGCCCCACTGGCCCAGGCCCGCACCTCCGTGTGGTCGCTGTAGATGTAGTAGAGCACGTGGGTGAAGACGTCGGGCGAGATGCCGTGCAGGGTGATGGCCGGGAGGCCGCCCGACGCCTCTAGCTCCTCGTTCTCGCAGAAGTGGTCATCTAGCAGGGCCCGGAAGTAGTCGCTGCGGCCGCAGAAGAAGGCCTGGGGGAGGCTGGGCTCAGGAGGGACCAGGCCAGGGCTGTGCCCGGGTGAGCTGGCCCAGGGCTTAAGGTGGGGACTAGGGGCTGCGGGGGCGGGGCGGCACCTTGTGGCAGAGGAAGCTGCAGTCGTCCACCCGGAAGCAGACATCAGGGCAGCTGTTGAAGCCATCGGGGCAAGGGAAGGGCAGCTCCCCGAGATCACCCTGGGGCCAGGAGAAGAGGCGCCATCAGTGCAGGCAAAAGGAGGGTGACGGGCTCCAGCCAGGACCCTGTTCTAGTTTGAGTCCCAGAGGACAACTGAGACCCCACTTGCAGATTGAAACACAAAAGCCAACGCCTAAGCTCAGAAAAAGAGGACAGGCTCAAGGTCACACAGGAACTGAGCCCTGCGTGCGGGACCTAATCCCGCAGCCTGGTCCGCAGGCCCCACACAGGCCTCCCGCCTCCAGGCCCAGGCTGCGGTGCTTACGCGGAGCTCGGGGGGCAGGGCACAGTCGGCCAGCAGGGCCAGGTCCTCCCGGAGCCGGGGGTCCAGGGGTGGCGGCTCGATGGTCAGCACCTTCACGCACGTGCCTGGCTTGGATGCCACTGCAGTGGGGAGAGCACCGCTTCAGGGAGCCGGGTCGCCCCACCAGCTCCCGCCTAAGGCCCTGGACCCCGAAGCCTGGACACACCGAACTCAGACACCTTCTCGCACTTGGCCTCCAGGTCACTGAGCAGGTCCCACAGCTGGCACTGCTTGGCCAGGCGCTCGCAGTCGCTGACGTGTTCCACACCCACGTCCAGGCGGCCTGAGTGGGGCGGGAGGCTCAGGGCCTGAGGGGTGCTTGGCTGTCCCCAGGCACAGCTTCATAGCACGGTCCCTCCCGCCAGCCACTCGGCTCCAGGCCTGGGACTCCCAGGCCTACTTGGTGCCGTGGTTTCCCCATCAGAGCCTACACCCAAGGTCCACAGGCCCAGAAGAGCGCAGAGGGGCTCAGTCTTTGGCGGAACATGCAGCTCCTGAGCAGGCGCACCAGCCCCGTCGTCATAACCCACCCCGGGGGCAGCCGGACAGACCCCACACTATAGGAGACGAAGCACCCAGAGGTGAAAGTCGGCCCAAGGCCACACCTGGGTCTGCTGCCAGAGAGAAATACACCCCCCTCCCGGGCCCCACCCCGGTCCTGGGGTCACCTGTGTACAGGTACTGTAGCAGGGCCCCAAAGGCCACAGGATTGATCTATGGGCAGAGACAGAGAGAAGGTCAGAGGCAGCTGCCCAGCACACCCCCTGCTGTCCCCGGGCAGCCAGCTGACCCTCCTGCACCCAGGGCCGCACCAATGGGTGCCTGAGGACCACAACGCTCTTGCCCTTCCATTTGGTGTCCAGCATGTTGGCGAAGTATGTGCTGCGCGCACCCAGGACACAGCGGTGTGCCCGGAAGGGCTTCCCATGCACCACGAAGACCACGTCGCTGTGGATGCCCTGCTCCAGAAGGCTGGGGGGCAGAAGGGGGGGTGCTCGGCTGTGCTGAATCTGACCACTTCGGCCCCATTCTACCCCACAGGAGAACCCTCAACCCCACGAGGCCACGTGCACAGGCCCACCCTGCACCCCAGCTCACCGCTGCAGGAAGTCGTCATAGTAATCCCGCCTCCGGCAAGAGGCCGTCACCTGCTTGTAGTCCCGCAGGGCCCGGCGGATGCCATCGCTCAGCGCCCCGTAGAGGCAGCGCTCACCGTCAAAGGTATTGGCCTCACAGCGGGCTCCTGGGGGCGGCAAGGCTCCCCGGTCAGCAGGGTCCTGGGGCTGCTTGCTGCAGCTGGGGAGGGGCCGCAGGGAAATTCTAATCTCCTTCACCTCCTCCCCTCTTCCCACCAGCTGTAAGCGCTGGAGACCCTTCCCAAATTCCTCTGGGCCCACTTGGACCCCGGCATCCTCCCTGCCTGGGCCCAGTGACACAGACACACTCGTGTTCACGCACACACACACATCCGCGCACGGAGACAGCCTACACTAAGCTGAGCGCAGGCCTGTTCTATGTACTAGGGACACAGTCGTGAACGGACTAGCCTGTCCTCACCGAGTGGACATTCCTGTGGGACAGAATAGTAAGTGGGTTCACAAATTGTGCCGGGCGCTACTAAGAAAAACAAAGCAATATAAAGGGTGACAAGGTGGCAGCTGCCACACGGGGGTCGTGGAAGGTCACCGTGGCAGTGACAACATGCAGAGACCTATGACGTAAAGAAGCTGGCCATGCAGAGATCTGGGGAAGGGTGGGCTAAGCAGGAGGAACAGTGAGTGCAAAGGTCCTGAGGCAGGGGCGAGCCTGGAGTGCTGGAGCACCGGGTGGCACCAGTGTGGCTGCTCAGTGGGCACAAGGCACCTGAGCTCCGACCAGAGGGCAGTGGGAAGTCACTGGGGTGAGACTCCCTGGCTGCAATACGGAGAACAGACTGTAGGGGAGGCAAAGGCGGCAGCATCAAGACCAGAGGCTGGCACGGGGCTCCAGGGAGAGAGGCTGTCGGTGGGCTGGGTGGTAGCAGTGAAGATGGGGAGGGGGTCACATGACAAGTTTCTGACAGTCAGTTGACTACTCTCTGGCTGGATGCAGGACGCAAGGGAAAGACATACACACAGGGGCCATGTGTGCAAATATGGACATGTGCCCTCAAGCCCACACAGCCTCTGCCCGACTCTCACCATTAGCCAGAAGGTAGAGCACCAGTTCCTCGTGCCCACACAGGCAGGCGTAATACCTGAGGGGGGAGGAAGGCGCACACAAGAGGCGCTGTCAGAGCTGCAGGGGCCCTCCCGCCGCCCCTGCCACCCTCCCACCTGGCACTCACAAGGGGGTGCTGTCCCACTTGTCCCGCACATTCACTTCCACATCTCGCTGCTCCAGCAGGTACCTGGGAGGGAGGAGGTCAGGGCCCGTCAGACAGGTGCAAGGTCTGGGAGGGGGGAGACCACCCAGGGGACGGCAGGCGCCAGGGAGGTCAGAGCAGAGGCGGAGCCCACGGGGGTGCACGTGGGACAGCCCCTGCCTGGGCTGAGGAGGCCGAGTGGCCCGAAGGCGCTGGAAGAAAGATGGGGCATCCGTCCCTTCCAGAACCCGCTGGCTCCCTGGGGCGCAGGGCTGGCTGGGGCCAGTGGAGGCGGGAGCCGGGAGAAGCTACAGCAGGCGTTCTAGCGGTGTGGAAGTGTCAGGCGAAGTGGCCGGATTCTAGAAGGTGGAAGCTGTGAGATCTGGTGGCTCCTGGGACGGGGCAGGCGGGGAGCAGGGTCAGCGCGGGTGTTGGAGGCGGCGCGGCTGAGGGGCAGCCTGGGGGGACGTCCCGGTTGATCTCGGGAGTGCTGAGCGGCATTTAGCTTTGGGGGCAGCAACTAACTCCTAAGGGGCACGAGATGCCCGGAAAGGCCTCAGGAAACGGGTGGGGTCGGGGCACAGCGAAGCCGCGCCCGCCCGGGAGTGCCAGTGGTGGGCAGGGGCCGAGGCAGAGCCCCGCACGCCAAAAGGGCCCCCCTCCCCCCGCAGCCTGGCCATTGAGACGGCGACGTCAGCATCAAGCTCGCATTTGGGAGTTGCGGGGCCCCGGGGACCGGAGGGCCATTCCGGGTCCCAGGCAGGCCGAGCCCAGGCCGCCCGAGGGGCCCCCGGGCCGCCCCTCCCCGGCCCCCAGTCAGAAGGCGGCCCCCCCTCCCCGCGCCTCTCCCCGGTGCGCGCGGAGCGTCCTCTCCCGCAGGAGGGCTCCGGACCCCCGAAAGTGAAACACCGCCCAGGCCTCCCGCCCGGGGGCGCGGGGGGCTGAGGCCCCGGGGGGCCCCCGTCTCGGCGCCCAGGAGCCCGCTGGGGGGTCCGCGCCGGCTGGGGCGCCCACCCCGCACCCTCCGGGCCGCCGGCTCCGGGCGCCGCCCGCTCCCCTCCCGCGCCCCCGCGGCCGCCTCACCGCACGCGGCCCACGTCCCCTTTCCTGCAGCTGGCGAAGAGGTCGCTGGTGTCCATGGCGCGGCGGCCGGGGCCCGAGGGGAGACTCCGCGGCCGAGGCCCCGGCGGATGTAAACACGCGGGCCCCGCCCTCGCGCTCCGCAGCGGCGCCTGGCGCCCGGAGGACCGCCCCGCCCGCCCGCCCCGCGGACCCCCCCGCGCCCCGCCCGCCCGCCCCGCGGACCCCCCGCGCCCCGCCCGCCCGCCCCGCGCGCCCCCCCGCCCCGCGCGCCCCCCCGCCCCGCGCCCGGGCAAGAACGAGTCGGGCAGGCGGCCGCGCTGGGCCCGGCGAGGTCTCCGGGCGGGTTTAATGGGGGTCCCGGGGCGCGGGCGCCGGCCCCGGGGGCGTCGGGGGAGTGGGGCGGGCGGCGCCGAGGCTGCCCCGCGGGCGGCGGGAAGCGAGCGGAGCCCGGCCGGGGCCGGGGCCGGGGCCGGGGCCGGGCCGGGGGGAGGGAGGCGCGAGCGTCCGCTCCGGGGCCGCCTGCTCGTCCGGCGCAGCCCCGCGGGCGGGCGGGCGGGGGCGCGGCGGCCCGGGCGCCCTCACAGGTGCGTGTCCTCCTCGAACACGTCCGAGTCCTCCGGGTCCCGCTTGCCCGCCATGAGCGCGCTCCAGCCCCCCGGGCCGTTGACGGCGCCGCCGCCGTTGAGGCTGGGCTGCTTCTCCTGCAGCTCCGACTGGCTGTCGCTGGCCACGTCCAGCGTGGGGTTGTCGTGGCAGCCGTTCTCCACGAAGCGCAGCTCCTCGCCGTGCGACTGCGGGGGGAGCGGGGGGCTGCTGGGGGGCTGCGGCCACCCGGGCCCCGCCCGCCCCAACGGCTGGGCACCGCGGCGCTTGCCCCGGCCAGTGGCCTGTGACCCTGAAGGAGTCACTTAAAGGTTCCTTCCCGCCTCTGGAAAGCCCTACGGGGAACCCTGGCAGGCAGTTCCCTGCTGTGCTGTGCCCCAGCTCGGCGCCCTCCCTCCGTAAGTGCACGGAGCCCTGGCCCTAAGCGCCCGGCCCCTCACGCCACCCGGTCGCTCCCAGCAGGAGCCTGGCACTTAGGACCTGCCCCTGCCCCCTCCCTTAGGGGTAAACCACCAGGTCGCTGGAGCCTCTTCTTGACCCTCTAGGCACCAAGGCCCTTCTCTGTGGCATCCACGTGAGCCCAGGGCCGCGGGGCCACCGGCCCCAGGAGGAGCTGGTGCCCTGTTCCATGGCCCTCTCCCCCTGCCAGCAGTGGTGCCCTGCAGAGGGGGCAACTCGGTGCCCAGCTTCCCTTCCCATCCCAGGACATTTACTGCAAGCCCCCCACCCCACAGATGGGGACCCTGACTCTGAGGTGGCTGAGCCTGCCACATACCACCCCAGCCCAGGCCCCAGGCCTCGCGCCCTCAGGCTCACCACGTGTTTCAGCTTGGGCAGCCGGCGCTGCCAGCAGTTGTAGAGCAGGCCCAGCACGATGATGACGACGCAGATGGCACCGATGACCACCAGCACCACAAAAAGTGTCCCGTAGTCGCTGCGCACCTGGCTGGCCCGCGCCTGGCAGCTGCTTGTGGTAGAGTAGTTCTGGATGCCAATCTGGGGTGGGGAAGGGTCCAGGTTCCTAGGTGCCAGGGCTCCACGGGGCTGATGGGGTGGGGGCTCAGACACGGGTCAGGCTTTAAGCTGGCATGACCCTGGCTCCTGATGCCCCCTCAGAGGCCTCTCACCTCCATTGCCAGCCTCCCCTCACCTCCCACCGTGGTTCTGCCCTCACCCTGACCCTGGTGGAGCAGAAGTTCAGCACTAAACCCCCTGGCTGTGTCCCAGGCTGCTGGTCGTGACCCAGACTAGAGAGTACCCCACACCTGTCCTCACCGTTACACACAAGACTATGGGGGCGCGGTGAGCCCCTCTCCAGTCACCTTCCAGGGATCAGGCCCCTGAAGCACTGGGGCACCTTGACGGCAGGGGCAGCTGGGGTCACTCTATCCATGATGGACCAGAAGACAGTGCAGGGGTGACAGAGACATGCAGGGGTGCCGGGGACGGCTGTGTCATGGGTCCCCCCTAACCTTCCAGCTCCCTCACCCCACTGCAGTGGTCCCCGAGGCCATCAGCTGCCCAGCACCCCCTCCCATACTACAGCTCATCTTGGGTGGGCCTGAGATAACTGCTGTGTCCCTGCTGGGCCAGGCGCTCTCTCCACAAAGCAGCAGCTCGGGCAGAAGGCAGTGGGGCAGCGCAGGGCCATCATCAAATGACAGGTGACAGGGTGAGGGTGCAGTTACTGGCTCCTGGCAGAGACCTGAGAGCTCCCCTTTCTGCCTTGGGCACCCCTGTCTAAGACCAGGTATTCGGCTCTTCTTTGGCTTCTGTGAAGCACACGTGCATTTCCGGTGCTTTTTCTCTATTGACTGTTTCAGTTATGGAGGGTCAGTTTTTCTTACTAGAACTTGCTAAATTTACCTCTAATGTACTTCTGAAGGCCCAGCTTGCCTTTTGGACAAATCAGCCTTAGTTTAATGTCCAGAATGTCCAGTAAAGCCAGAATAACCAGGGGTCAGGAGAAGAGGCAGGAGGGTCTGCATAAAAAGATCAAGGCCAGCCCAAGCTGCCCTCCCTGCCCCCGCCAGGTACCCAGAATTTCACAACTGGAACGGCCCACAGTGGCCATCAGGTGGTTTCAAGAGAGCATCACGGAGAAAGGCCCAGGCTCTGGATGGCGCCTGCCTAGTCACAGCCTGGCTCTCCTCGCCTGTTTACTAGTTGAGCATCTCAGGCACATCCCCTTCCTTGTTGGCTTCAGCTTTCATCGTAAATGGGGTGCCAGGTGCACTGAGGAGGAAGCAGGGAGTTCACCATTCGGGTGGCACTGAGGGCTGTGAGAACCCAGCAGTGTGGTGGGCAGCAAGCACTCAATATGCTTATCAGAAAGCCAACCACCACAGAAAACACCTCAGCCTGGCGGGTGTCAGATAAGGAGGGGCCTCTCATCGCGGCCAGCAAATAGGGCTGCGCCCGAGGAGGGGACTGATGCCTCCCCAGCAGGCCCCCGGGACAGCAAAGGGAAGGGAGAATGCAGAGCCGGTCTCAGGGGGAACGGCTGGCCAGCCTGTATCCACAGCCCCAGGCTCAGAGGGGCCCGGCTGCCAGCCTGCCGCTGGTTCAGGGGCACCTCTCAAGAGGGGAGGGCCCTCTGCTGGCCCCGAGCCCCGGGGCCCCCAGCTGGGGGAGCACTGGCGACACCGGTCAGGAGGGCCTGGTGGATGGTTCCCGCACGTGCACCCGTCTTCCAGGCACCGAGGTTTCTGGAACAGGCAGCGTGTTCTGCCACCCCGCTAGGCTCCTGCACTATTCCATGTCAGACATGGCATTTTTTCCATTATCTGCCCAGAAAACCCCCCTCTGAGACCCCTCCCCGGTCCTTTCCTGACCACACCTCCGCAGCCCCTCCTGTCCCCGGCCACTGCTTGCACTCCAGCTGGTGTAGGGTTTACACATGCCTCATGTCTCCACTGTGGACCTATCTGAGGGGGCCTGAGGAGGACCCTGCTCCAGGGCTTGAGGACAGAGAAGGCCCTGCACTCTTACCTCCACCAGGCTCCTGCGGATATCACCCAGCATGGAGAGGACATCTTGCGTGGGCACCACCCCTGGGGGAGACACCGACCATGATGAGCACTGCTGTGGCTGCTGAGGTACTTCCCCGCGGGCTCCCAGCCCCTCGGCCACTCCCCGCCTGAGTGTCCACGGCCAGCTGCACGCATGGCCCTCGTGGGACACTCGCATGCTTCCTGTTACTGGTGCTTTGCCAAGAACACCACAGTGCGACGGTGTGGCGCTCGCCGGCTCTCTTCCACACTGCTGCCTCTCACCTCACACCTACGCTCCGCTGCACCCTCCCTCCTAGTCCCTGTTCACCCTCCTCCCCTTGTATGTTCATACTCCTCCCCCTGCTCTGTGTTCACCCCTTCTCCCCTCCTCTGGACTCCAGCTGTCAGTACTCCTGACCTTAAAAGAGGGAGTCCCAGTAGCACCTCTTCCTGCCGCCCTAGAGGTCCCCACCCCAAGGCCCTGCCTGTGAGCCCCCCCGCTGATGTGGCGCTGCTTCCTGCTGCCCTCCTTGGCCCTTGCTCCAGACGTACAGTGCCCGCCCGCCCACCTGTGCACCGCCCTGGCTCACCCTGTTCGCCCACCAGGGTCATCAGAAGGTGCTGCTCCTTCTCACTGGGCTTGCTCAGGGAGATGTGCCAGTCCCCATGGTGGCCACTGCCGTGGCGGGGCAGCACCTCCTCCACCAGGGCCAGGAGCTGCAGGCCCCGATGCTGCCGGAACACCTCCTGCAGGGCAGAGAGAGCCTGGAGGCTTGGTGAAGGAGAGGGGTCTGCTGGCCACTGCCTCCGGGCCTAATCCCCACTCCAACCCCGTTTGCTGCCATACTCCAGAACAGGCCAGCTGCTTCTTCCAGAGGAGAGCTGGCTGGTAGCTCTGGGATGGCTGGAGAGGCTGTGAGCTTGGCCTTTGGGCAGGACTGTGGGAACACTGAGACTGGCAATCATTTGTTCCCTTCAGGCATCCAGATGCTCTTCCTGCCCTGGCCTCTCACCACAAGGACTCTGAGCGGCCCACCCACAGGTAAGCCTGGGGACAGGTACACCACAGACCAAGACGAGCCCCAGTCCAGGAAGCAAGGAGCGTAGAATGTGCAGCACTGGGAGAACTGGGCTGCTGATGGGGCCCAGGTGTTCAAGTGTACGGCTGGAGGGGAGCTGGGGGGAATGACAATATAGCCCCCAAAACTCAGAAGGAGAGGTGGGACGCGTTCTAGCCTCCAGGGCTCCCGGCCAGTACCCCTCTCAGCTGCTCGGCTCGCCCAAGCACCCTGTGGAGATGGAGCCGGGGCTGCCCACAGGCACAGGCATCTCCCCAGGCCCCCCTCTGGGTCCCTACAATGCCAATTTTATTTCTTCTAGAGCCCAAGCCATGGGCTGTGCTGGTCGCCGCACCTAAAGTCCAGCAGGGTAGTAAGGGACCAGCTCAGGCGCCAGCCTTGGCATTTGCTGGCCCAATAGGAAACCAAGTCAATTGTAAATCTGGTCAAAGGTTGGTACCTGGAGATAGCCAGGAACAGCCAGGGAAGCCCTAGTTCCTGAAACGGCTCTTACAGCACAATCGTGCGCGTGCACGTGGGAAGCGGTGCACACCTGCACCTGCCTGAGTCGATCAAGGTGCATATACTGTGACCCAGCAGCCCCGGTGCTGGCGAGAGAAAACCCTTCCTGCCGCAGTCTCCCCATACCCTCGCCCTGCGCCCCAGCACGTGTGCATGCCCCGCCTTTCCCGGGGTGGGGTAGGGGCTCATGTCTATTTCACACCATTTGTTTTGTCGATGGGAACCGAGTGGCAGTGGCGGGGTGGAGCGGCGACGCCCTGGTTTTGGAATCAAAACTGGGTTCAAAACTTGGTTCTGCCATTTGCCGGCTCCGTGATTATTAGCAAAATACTGCACCTCTCTGAGCCCTTGTTTTCCCATCTAAAAATGTAGGCATTGGTCTTAACATCCTGGGCTTACTGTGAGAATTAAAGGAAAAATAGTTATTCATTCCACTGGTGGGACAGCTGGATATCCCCCAGCAAAAAGAAAAGCATACCCGACTCATACCTCACACCACATGCCAAATCAGTTCCAAGCAATCCAAAGCTTTTAGAAATAAGCACAAGAAGCTATCTTCAGGGCCTTGGGTAAAGTCCAGGTTAAAAAGAAAGATGTAAAACCCAAAAGAAAGGAGAGCGAGTTCAGGCAATTATCAGAAATACAGGCGGTGACAAGTGTGCTCGAGGACGCAGACTGTGGCGCCCTGCTCGCTGCTGGGAGCAGCCGCGGAGACAGTGGGATGGTTCCTGACAAATGAAACACAGATTTACCTGATGACCCATCACCCCACTCCTGGGCGTGTACTCTAAAGAACTGAAAGCGGGCGTCGAAGAGGTATTCGCATAGCCACATTCACAGCAGCACGGTCCCAGCAGCCGGAGTGGGAGCCAGCCAGAGGCCTACTGGCAGCTGAACAGCTAACTAAGATGTGGTCCAAACATTGGGGGGAATAGTATTCCGCCTTGAAAAGGAAGGCAAGTCTGACACCTGTGAAACACGGGCGAACCCTGAAGATATTATGCCAAGTGAAATACTGTCACCAAAAGACAAACACCGGGTGACTCATCCCCACGAGGCTCCTAGGGTGGTCAGAGTCAAAGAGAAAGCTAGAACGGCGGCTACCAGAGGCTAAAGGAGACCAAAAAGGAGTGTTTTAATCTGGCAAGATGAAAAGTTCTGGAGATCTGTTTCACAACGAAGTGAATATACTTAGCACAAGTGAATATTTAAGGATGGTTAAGAAGGTAAATGTGAAGTTAGATGGCTTTGCCATAATAAAAATAATCCACCATGAAAAACAATAGTGACTAGTTAGGTAGATATTAAATGAGCATCACGGAGCAGACATAAACAGAGGGAGCAGCATAAAAGCATCTTAATATGAACATGCTACCTGGAGGGAAAGCGGCGGTAACTCTCCATTCCCCGCCTGAGCCTGCGCGCCACCCCCCAGCAGGGCCCAAGCGCCCGCGCAGCGGCTCCGTCTCCAACGCCGGTTCCCGGTACAAGGAATGGGGCTTCTTGGAGGAAGGTGCCAGATGAGCCTGGAACTTCCACTTGCCCCAGAAAGCCAGGAAACGATGGAACATCAGTAGACTGCTCAGAAGGAATCAGAAGCCAATTCGAAGGGGCTTTCACTGGCCAAAGATGGGCCCGAGAGCATCCATGAGAATCACAGCCGCAGCGGGTGAAGATGCAAAAATTGTGTTCAAATTCACCTGTTTATCATGATGCTGGGAAAGAGAAAACTACCTCATTGGCCACATTTAGATTAAATAAGCATATGCATTTCTCTCAAATCCACCATAGGAAAGTATAGAATTTTTATAAGGTTTAAAGCCAGAGACAAAAAAAAAAAAAAAAGAAAAAGCAGAAGAGGAGATAAAAGTAACAAAACGTGGACCCTGGAAGCAGATGGATGCGTCAGAATTTCCTCCCTTAGTCGGCCCCAGAGAGAAGACCGAAGCCAAAGTGGGGAGGCCGAGAAGCAATCAGACTTACTGAGTGGCGCTCCCAAAACGCTCTGGAAGCAGCAGAGCCGGCTACCTTTGGAAGAGAGCTGAAAACGGCCCTAAAAATAGGAAAGCTGTTTGACAGTCTATTCAGGGAGCAGCTGGATCCCTAGTTCTCCTCCCAGGCTGCACAGCTGACACGTCCCTTCTCCCGGGCGGGGACAGAAGCTCATTCTTCAGAGGATACAGGAGAGGGTCTCTGGCCTCGAGGACACAGAACAAGCGTGGGAGGGGCTCACGCTGCAAACAGGAGCCACGGGACACCTACGTACAGGAACAGGTTCTGATGCTGAGACGCCAGCGCTGGCCCCCCTTGGAGCCCAGAGTGCTGGCAACTGGCCCGTTCCCCCAGCGGGACAGAAGCGCCTTTCTCTGTCGCGTCACCCCAGAGGAAGAACCTAAGGGTGAGGACATTGAAGACGGTCCGCAGAATGGGCTGGCCAGGCCACCTCCTGGGAAGCCACAGGCAGCAAGCCCCCTGCCAAGCTCAGCGCCTCCAGCCAGCGTCCTGACGTCTCCCCAGCAGCCCGAAGGGGCCCAGCAGATGGGGTAGGGGAGTGCACGTGAGCACACAGCCTGGACGGGTCAGTGGGGAAGGCCGGCTACCCAGGGAGAGAACAGCTTCTTGAAAACCTGTATCTGCATCCTCAGAGATGAGGTACTGCACACAGGAACGAAATTCTTTTAAATGAGAAACAGTGGGGAGCAAGAACGAACGAGCCCCTAGAAATGGAGGAAGGAGAATGGCATCTTTTCTTAGACATGGTGGGAGCTGCTACCCTCCCGGGCGAGGCGGCACCCTCTGACCTAAGAGCTAAGTCTTCTGTCAGTCAACGGCCTGCTCCCAGCAACCCCCTCGCCCCCTCGGCCCCCCGCCCCACCTCCACCTGCGGCCCCAGCCCCCCAGCACTCACACAGTCTATGTTCTCCGTCATGTTCAGAATGATGTAGTTTTTCCCGGCCAGGTTGCTCCAGTCCTTGCAGATGACCTGGGCCGTGGGCAACGAGAAAGGCGATGTTACAGAGGTACAGGGACGGGCACCGGAGAGCAGAAGCTCTGAGAGGCTGGGAGGTGAAGGCCGGGGTAGCTCAGCGGCCGCCAGGTGGGAGCTGCCGGCCTCTGCACAGTGACGTGCCAAGGATCCAGCCCGAGGTGTCAGGGACCGAGCAGAGGATGTCTGGGGAGAGTAGGCCAGGCGTGGCACACGGGAAGTGGGGTGTGTGTGAGGGGCCAGACTGCAGAGGGCTCGTCCGGCTGCAGGTTTTCAGGGGCAAACTTATTTTTAATGTTCTGTGGGGCAGATGCTTGCGCTGACGATGGGGGACCCCTTTCCTTTCACGGGGTGCCAGTGAACGTGAGCACTGAGGTGGGTCTGGTCCGTGTGCACGTGTGTGCTGGCTGGGAGGGGAGTGGAGCCGGAGCTGAAGGCATGTATGGCAGGGGCGCGGAGGGGGAGGAGCACAGGTCACTATTACACGCGGCAGGGAGGCTGCCTGAGCAAGTGGGAACCACAGGCCAGGGCACCCTACTCTCCAGAGTTTTTGACTTTGCTTGTAAGGACAGTGAGAATGCCTGCTGCTAGGGGCCCGGGGCACACCCCTGAGGGCTACAGGAGCGGCCTGCTGTGCGGGCAGACCCTCCAGCTCCTGCAGCCTGCGGGTGACAGTGGCCACATGCACCTGCACCTTACCTGAGTAGAATCCCAGGGTATTCTGGATTGGGCTTCGGCGGCCTGCCCCTCCCGGGACTGCTGGCTGAGGTCTTCTTGCCCCAAAGTAGCTGAGGAGGGTGTTAGGTCCATGTCTCGGGGGGCCAGTGGGACAGAGGCTGAGGCTCCAGGATAAAGGGGGTCTTCATCTGGGGTCTCAGCCCCATTGGGAGCTTCTGTTTGAGGGAGTGAAGCCAAGGACGGCGCCTCCCCTTGCTTGCCAGCCAACCCAGCTGCTCCCATAGTGACCTCTTCACTCGCCTCCTGAGGGGCCTCAAACTCTACCCCATGCCCTGCAGCTGGCAGCACCGTGGCCCCTGCCTCCTGGCGGGTGAAGTCCTGACCCCCCAGGGTCACTGCACTTGGGGTGACTGAGGGCGGTGACAGGCTTGGCTCCATGCTGCTTCCCACCTCCACGCCAGAGGAGGCCTGGTCCCCAGAATCTTCATGCCTGTGTCTGGGGGTCCCTGAGGTCTGGCTGCTGGTGGTGGAAGAAAAGTCGTGGACCTCAGTTTGGGTTTCCTCGTGGGAGCCATTCACGGGCAGCAGCTCCTCCTCCTCGGCCTCCTCCTCCTCCTCGGCCTCCTCCTCCTCCTGGGCCTCCTCCTGCTCGGTCTCCTCCTCCTCCGCCTCCTCCTCCTCGTCTTCAGGAGCCATGTGCCAGGGTGGCTCTACCAGATTCATCTTGGGCAAGGGAGAGGGAAGGCTTGGCACCTCTTGACCCTGGCTGGTGTCTTCTACAGGACCTGCCTTCTCAGTTAAGTCTGGAAAAACGTAGTCTAAGAACAGAGACGGAAAGTTCATTCACTACTTTCATCACGCACTGACCTGATCAGTATTTGCTGAGCAGATACCGACGAGCATGAGACCCTTGGGGGCACAGTGGGGACCTGGACCACTGTCTTGTTGTAAAGTGTGGGAGACAGGCTGCATACGAGGAAGGCGCAAGACTGCAGGGGAAACGAGGGCCAGGCTGGTTGCATTTCCTTTATGATAATGAAAAAAATATAAATTTGCCACTAAAAGTCCACTGGCACAGGGACATTTAAAGTAGAAGTAAAGGCTTGTCGGACTGCACCCCTCAAGGTAGCTATTGCTAAGTATGGCGTGTATCTTCTCTATCGCTTGTACAATGGTTTGGGTTTCCTCATCCGGGGATTTCAGCCCTTCTATGATATTCTGCGCCAAATGCACAGCCTGAATCAAACCACAGGAAAATATCAGACAAGCCAAACTTGAGGGGTATTCTACAAAATGAATGGCCTATCTCCTTCAAACATATCAAGGTCATGAGGGACACAGGCTGGAGAATCTTCCAGAATGAAAGAGACAAAAGAGACAAGACCTTGGTCAATGCCCCCACCCTCCTGCACTGTAAGGTTGCTCAAACCCCTGGAGGCTTTAACAGGAAACTGCTCCTTGCCTAGAGTGCTTGGGAAAAGCAGGTCTCCTCATTGAACTCTGGGAATTTTATAAAGCTAGGACCCTTGGTCCTACTTTTACAAAAGCTCAGATGGGAGGATAATTGCTCGAAATTGTGATGCTAGACTTGTCACATCGTAAAGCTATAAGACTCAGGTTCCCCAGGTGGTTAAAGCCACTTTTCAAAGATACTTCCTGGTCAATCCAGCCAGCACCCACTTGGCTCAAGAGGGCCAGAAGGGAGCAAGGTGACAGCAGTAGCATTACCTGTCCCTGTCCATCTGCACATCTGGCCACAGCCAATTGCTTTAAAGCAGAACTTAAATCACCAGACTGGATGACACATTCAGAGCTCAAAGCCAAGCTTCAAAATTGACAGGGGTTGGGATTTTCCTCCACCCTACCCAACCCTTGCCTTGGCAAAGCAGCTGGCTTCAAGGCAGGGCACACCCGCCCCTCTGGCACGAGGCTAAGATGATATGACATGAAAAATGCAAAACATCTGGCCCCTAGAATGCACTTTTCTCCCCAAGACCATCTCTTAAAGTCACACTCCAGAACACTCACAGCGGGGGGTGTCAGGGTCATGTGTGACTATAATGAGATTCAGAGGAGCCAAGTGTCCTAGAGCCAGAGGGGCCTAGATGGTCAGGTGACTGGAAGGTGAGGAAAGATGTGCTGGCAAAGTGCTTCCAGAACACGTCTTGGCCTCCTTGGAGAGGCATGTGTGTGTCGTTAACTCAACTGTGATGGTTGGTTTAAGCCCATTTCTGTTTCATGTCCTAAGTAAGGAACACCCGAGAAGCTTCCTCCCCAGGAAAAAGCCCTACCCTTTCTCTTAGTTTTTCTAATTTAGCCTTCTTTACCTGGGGTTACACAAGTGTAATTATTCCTTATTTTTGACCCTTCCCACTGTCATTATTTTCTTTGGAAAACATTGGGTATACCATACTTAAGAATGGTTACAAAATCAACAGAGTAGGTGTATAATATTTTCAAAACATTGAGTGAACTAAACAAGATTCACTAACTCAAGGCCAACTGGTGTAAACTGTAAAGTCAGACTCTTGACTCCTGTGATATCATTTGAATTCATCACAGCATTTAACTGTGTCCTCCCCACATGACGTAACAGCTTGGAGGCAGCAGAAGTCACTTTGATGAAACTCTTGGGTTCTGGACAACTGAGGTTCTCCAGGCCTCTGTCCCCCCTTATTCTCACGATGGTGCTGGCTTTTGCTCCCTGAACGTACCACATTGCACTTTCTCCTCCCATATTCCACCACAGTATTGTGGGTCTTTCCCCAATGTATCAAGCTCACACTGGACTTTATATCTCCCAGGGTGGCCACGATCTCATGAATGACCTTCATCAGCTGCTGAAATATTAATGACCTGATTCTTCTTTTTATGTGGAAATTAAAACAGGCATCAGGACCAGTGGCCTTGAAAGATCACTTTAAATGTCCCTTTAGGTTAATGTCAAATCACTGAAAATTGTCCCTTGAGTGCAACTCTGAAGCCAGTTATTCAACCAAGTATTAATGAAAAGACACACAATTCAAAAATCATTTGTATAAAACAGAGCTGCAAGGGAAGAACCTCTCGTCAGCATGATGAAAAACTACTCAATGATCAACCTCAATATGTAAATTAAATGATGACAAATTTTTTGGACTACGAACTTGACATATGTCTATGCTTAAAGATCATTGTCCGGTATTAGACAAGGCAGGAAACAGGCCTCCATCCACTGCTGAGAGGAATGGAAATCGGGACCCATTCTGGAGGGCTACTGGGCGATCTGAATGAAAAGCTTTAAAGACAAACATTCTGGATCTACAGTTTCAGAAATGCACCCTGAGGAGGCAATTAAGGATGTTCACAGCAGCGTGGTTTTCAGCATCCCCTCCAGGAGCAGTCCACCTTACCAGAGACTGCAAACAGTCTGGCTTTCACAGCGCAGGGGACCCACTGAAGAAATGGGAGCCCATCCACATATTTTATGTATTTCCCATACGGGAAAAGAGTCCAGAAAGATAAATGCTAAAGTGTTAACATTTGGTAACTCTGGGTGATGGGATCGTGAGCTGGTTTTGTTTTTTTCTTTTAACCTATTTGCATTTTCTAGTCCTCACATGATGATAAATTACTTAGCATAAACTGAAAACACAGGGCTTTTTCTTCCCTTTTTTGGAGGCTAGGTGACGATGCTTCTGGTAGCTACTGGTAGCTACTCTCCTCCTCTTAGTAGCCATGTTACTTTTAGTTAGCCTTAGTGATCCAGCAGGTCAAATCTTTCTGTAGCAGATACCATCGCTGCAAGGATTCACCCAGTAGAAACCACGTCCAGATACTAGCAGCCAGCTGCAGTGATGATCTGGCCCGCAAAATTCATTACAGGCAACAGTAATTACAATAGTGTAATGAATGATTTCCTATGGCAAAGGAACAGATCTTGAAGTAGAAATTTCAGATTTGAAATTTAGCTCTGCCACTTATTACCCGAGTGATTCTGTGCCACTTTTAAATCTCCCTAAGCCAGTTTCTTTAGCCATAAAACAGCAATACTAGGAAATGACGGCTTTTCACAGATTTCATTAGGTTGCTGTGAAGTTTTTTGAAATTATATGAAAAAGATTCTTAAAATGTAAGCACTTCATGACTGTTCCTTACTCAAGTGCAATGTGGTTTATGCCAGCCATCATTTCATGCCCCTCTTTCCATTAATGGCAACTCAATTCTTTTTTTGTGTGGCACCTTGCCCCTCTTCTGGATCCAGGAATGTGAAGCCCTACCCTCTGGCTTCAGAGGGCCCTCTAGACCCATTCTTAGCCAGTTAAAGGACTCTGTCCTCAGGACTTTAAGATTGGTTTTGAGGTGTGCTCATGACCCAGGCCGGACTAATGAACTAATACGCAGACTTTCCTGGAAGCACTGGGAAAGCAGAGTTCTCGCCCTGCTAGGGTTGCAGCAGGGAAGGAGGATGAAGCTGGAGTTACTGGGGGTTTTCTAAGCTTCCACACAGGAACAGCCTGCCTAAAAATGAAGCCAAGAATGGGGGTGAAGCTCCATGGAGCAAGGCAGTTCTCACAGTTTCAATAACTGAACCCCCCAACCCCCGCGCCCCCGCCAGCTAGCTCCAGAAACCTGTCCCTGGACCCTGCAGCTACTGACCCAATAAAATCCCTATTTCCCACGGGCCTGGAAGCCTGAATCCTGTTTCTAGAACTTGCTGTCCCCCAAGAGTTTTCTTTTTTCTCGTAGTTCATTCACTAGAAAACTTACAACTGCATGCAAGGATCATTTTATTAAGGATGTTGGGAAATGAAAGGGGTGGAGGGCGACAGCAAGAACAGTCTTGGGATGAAAAGGTAACCTGGGTAACAGTTTTGCGAGAATGAGCTGATCAGGCTTTCCGAAGGCCCAGGGCGAGCTGGTGGAGTGGCCATCCATATTCCATTTCCCCCCTACTTTGTTGGGGCCATGTTTTTCCCCTGTGATGTCACAGAATCATATTTTAAAGATGGAAGGGCTTCAGTGTATCATTTCCATGGTCTTACTCTGCAGATGAAGAACGTGCAGCTGGGGTATTAAGAAGAATGGGTGCAACGTGCCTTTGTACAGCTTGCGTTCCTGAATGGCAGCTGCTTTTAGTCTTAAGGGACTGATGGGAGAAGAAGCGAGATGAAATGAGGCTATCAGAAGGGTGGCAGGGCAAATCTGAGCTAATCAAAGCATGAGGGGGTCCCACGTGTCCTCAGGAAGGTCTAGGTGTACAGCCATCTCTCTCGACCGAGGCTGAGTGATGCTTATCTTAGACTGGAACCCCAGCGATCTGAGCAGACGGAAAGGCCCAGGATGTCTAAGGGCATATAATTGTCTGGTACAAAGTAAAAGATCACCTATGTGGGGAAAATGCATTTGATCTCTGTCGTACATCATACCCCAAAATAAATTAGAGCTAGAATTAAAAAGAAGGAAAAAATGAAGCAAATGGGCTCCTGCTGGGCAAGAACACTGGCACAGCCGCTCTGGCCAGGGGCACAAACATGCTTCGTCCTCTCTGTAATCAGCCCAAGGCTTGGGACATTCTGGCTGCATCCCAGGCCTCAGGCTTGCTTCGGGCCCTAAATACTCTCCAAGTTTGGGAATCCCTGAACCCAGCTCAGGCACAGGACCAAGGGACGGGCATTAGAATGCCTTGACCAGGGTCAGGGAGCCCTAAGGAGGAGCAGCATCGGCCCACCTCTGGGACACGTCACCAGGGAGAAGACAGCAGCGTGGGAGGAGAAGCACACACAGAGCCCTGGGTGCTGTGAAGGCCTGTGCTGACATCTGAACAGCGAGCTCGGAACTTCTCTAAGCCGTTATTTCCTTGCGTGGGGGGGCGGGCAGGGGAATTTCCTTCTCTCACAGGCTGTAAGCACTGCCTGAAGGACACAAGCACAGACCACAGCTCACCGACAAGTGTTGAATCGTAGAGAGAAGGGCCTTCTGCGCCAACAGGCCCGCGGAGACCCAGAGAGCGGGCTCTGAAGCACAGAGACAGCAGGACAGGGAGAGCAGCGCGGGACAGAGAGATGCAGTGCGGGCGAGGGGACGGCTGTCTGGCTGTCGCCCGCCGCCTCCCGCCTAGGGGCCATCACACGCCCGCCCGTTGGGTGGGAAGCGCTACCTGCGGTGGGTCCCAGGTCCAGGCTTGAGTCATTCAGCTCCTCCTCCTCTTCCCAGAAGTACTGCGGCGGCTGCAGAATGCGGGACTCCTCGCTCTCCTCGCTGGGGAAGCCCGAGCCAGGGGCTCCCAGGCCCGCGCCCAGGCCCACGGCCTCACTGGGCTCCTCCGAGTCCAGCGGCTCCAGGCCAGTGGGCAGCAGCAGGTCCAACAGGGAGGTGGAGGTGAGGCCCTCTGGGCCGGGCTCATCTGACGCGGCCGTACACGCGCCCGGGGATGCGCCTGCGGACGAAAGCCAGTTGTGACGGGAGGCCAGGGGACGGACTGGCACAGGGTTAAAAGGGCTCAGCGCCCCTACGCCAGGGGCAAAAGGGAGCCAGACGGAGAGCAGAGAGAGGAACCAACTGACCCAGCATCCACAGGGCATTTGTCAGCACAGAAACCTGCACTGTGCTAGGTACGGGGGCACGGATGCAGAGAAGGATGGGTCCTTGCTTTTTTTTTTTTTTTTGTGGGACCCTCGCTGGCAGCCAGGGATCGAACCGGCGCTGCAGAGTCTGCGGGCAGCCTCGCAGCCCAGCGCTCAACCGCTGCGCCACCAGGGGAGGCCCTGGCAGGGGTTCTTGTTTTAAGGACCTAGCTACATGGTCGTCAGGCTTCTATCCTGGGCTGAAATTTTTCCAAAAATAGATTAAGAAGGCGATCAGTATTTCAGCAACATCCCGAACAGTCTTTAAAAAAACATGCGCCATCCCAGGTCAGGCTCACCCAGTGCTGGTCATGGCCAGCCTGGCTAGAGTCTTGGCTCCTTCTCACCTGACTTATCCAAACAAACAAATAAATGAGCAAAGGCAACAAATTAAAGGACACCCACACACTATTTCACTAGGAATAGGAACACAGCTCTTTTGGCCAGTCTGTACACCTTCATTACTAACTTGTTTACACATATATTACTAATTTGCCATATGTCTTCTGGACAGTTGTTTAAAACCCCTGGGTCTTAGTTTTCTCATCTAAAAAGTGAGGAAGGCAGATGAAATGACCTCCAAATTCTTTCCCGTGATTAACATTCAATGATGCAGGGAAAGGGAACTTCAGGAGCAATTTCCTACACTGCCTCTGTTGAACACCATGACCTGGCTTGACAGAAGTTCATGGAAATTCTTAGTGATGCTTATAATAAAAATAAGAGTTAATACTATTGGTGCATGTGAATTGTAATCTTTATAACCACCTCATGAGGCAGCAGGTCCTAAGCTTGGCATCCCAGCACAGGATGGGCCACTGAAGAAAACAAGAGCATTTCAGACCATTCTACTGGAAACAGCATCTGGAGGGTCAGGGAGGCCACATGCTCTGTGCCAGTGGGACAGCCAGGACCACAGTGACATCCAGTGTGAGGGAAGCATTCGGGCTTGGGGTGAAAGAGTCTTAAGTTCAAAGTGTGCAGAAGAGGGCAGGTAGGCGCTGAAATCGGACAAGAAGGATGTTCCAGTGGAGAGAACATGGTGCCAGGAAAGCAGTTTGCTTCCCGTAGCTGAGCGGCTCTGGGTAAGCTACTTCACCAGCTGCAGCCAAGTGTCCTCATCTGTAAAGCAAGGGCAAAAATTCCTCAGCCCTCACGGAGGCAGGGCCATCCAAGGAGGCCAGCGCCGCACAGAGTGTATAAACCATGCCGCAAGGAGCAGACTGCAGAGTCCTGCAAATGTCCGCAGTATTGTCCTGGGTAAAGAGCAGAGAAATGGACGTTCTTGGCCTGGAAAAGAGAACATCTGAGAGAGACCATGGTCAGTATTTTCAACTGTCTTAAAATGAAGGGGTGATGTGAAGAATAAAGATCAGAGTTACTCTACGTGGCTTCAAAGACACCACCAGGACACATGGGTGGAAGCACGGAATGGCAGCAGAGCCTCAAAAGATTGACCCAGACGCTAGCAATGTCTGTCCTCCCTCCCCCCACCTGCCTAATCCTACGCTTGCCTCTTGAGATGGAGCTTCTCTGAGCTTCTGGAACAGGTGCCTGGTCCCGGCTGGTGAGGTGTCGAGCCTCCATGTTACTGTAGTCTTTTGCACAAGTCACTGTTGCTGCACTTTCCTCACTGACTTGCAGCATCTTCCCTGACCACACAGTGATCACCCGGGGTGTCCCGAGTGTCTATTCCACTTTCTCATTCCAGGGCCTTCACCGCCTCTGAATATAATTGGGTCTTGATGAATATTTGATTAAGTGAACAAATGAATGAATAAATAATCTGATCGAACCTTCTTGTTTTACAGATGAAATAACTGAGGTCTCTTGAGATTAAGGTCAAATAGCTCAGCTAATAGAAAAGCTGCAATTAGTTGGTTTCTCTTCACAAAAAGGTCTTATAGATGCTCTGCAAAGAAAAATTTGTGAGGTTGGGTACCCTCCTCCAAAGGATACATAAAGGAAGAGAATATCTCAGATAGTGCAAATATTTTATGTGTGAATTTTTTTTAAAGATTTATTTATTTATACAAGAACCAGAGTACAGGCCAGATGTGTGGGAGGGTGAGAGGATTCACCAGAGACAGAGCAGGGAGCAGAACAGGCAGACTGACTGAAATACACTGCTGAGGGGAGCAGTGGGTGAGTCAGGAGAGGTCTGCTGTGCCATGTGGGTTGTTCCCTGGCCGGCCGGGGATCGAACTCGTGCTGCAGAGGCTGCAGATTGCTTCATACTGCGGTGCTTAACCCCTTGCACCACCAGGGAGGCCTTATGTGTGAATTTAAGAGCCAAGGAGAGAAGTCAGGGGTGAAGACTAAAAGGCACTATGCTCATCTCAGTGTGCCCGTGGCTCAGGGTCCCATGGCAAATCCAAATCACGGCGTGGCTCGGAGCCAGGACACGCCCCTCCTCTTGCAAAAAATCTAGTCAGTCAAGCATCCCCATCTATCTTCACCATCAAGAATCCCCTTTATTAACATTTCTGTGTGGACTCTGGAAATACCTCATTTATAGACTACACTCAGTGGATAGTTCTTTTCTAATTTTTGACAAGTCAATCAGAATCATTTACACTGCCAATCAGATAGGACGCCAGTTAGAATCAAACTTTGGTTTTAGGCTGTAGTCTTACTGGAGAGAAAATTTGCATTAGATTTTCAGTTGCACAGAAAAAAGTGGTCACCCTGAGCTTCTATTCTGTGCCATGTATTGTGCTAGGCCCTCCCTGGAGATGCAAGACACAAGACAGCTTCTGCCCTCAGAGAAATGACCATTGTTTGGAAAATGGAACCCAAATTTTATATAAAATGCCAGCTGATAGAACAGCCCGACTTTGCAGGTACAGTATTCCTTAGCACTGGGGAAACCAAATGTGAGAAAATGACCTGGGAGAAGTTTAGGTAGGAATGAAGTCCACTGATGAGACATGCTTGTGATAATTAAAAAACAAACAAACAAGCAAACAAAAAAAGATACAAAAACCACGTTACAGGCTCCAGGGTCCCTCAGCAGACCATCTTTGAGGAGGTCATGTCGTGAGCAACTTCATACACACCAGTATCTAGCAGGTATGTGGAGACATTGGTCCTGCCTTTTTGAAAAAGGGCAAACTGAACTCTTGGAATTCCATCTTCTACAAAAGTACTACAGGATCAAACATGTGTTGGTTGCCTCTTCAAAACCCTAGAACCTTCTCTCAGAGCTTGTGGGAGAGAAGTCATTGCCCAGGTGGCCTTGGTCCCACTCTCCAAACAGCTCGGAGCTTCAGAAATCTGCCTCTGCCCACTGAAGGCAAGCTGGCCTGGGAGTCCTGTCCACCAGTCAGAGAAGCTCTCTGTGCCAAGGACCTGCACCCGGTGACTTCAGGGGTCTGCTGCATTTCCATGAGGAGGGTGAGCCCCTCCATTCGCAGAGCCTCTCCTCCACTGCCCAGGTGGGTAACTCGCAGCTCCCTCTCACACCTCTCCCTTTCCCGACAGTCTTCAAAAATCATCTGAAAAGCTGTGTGGAAAAAGGAATCTGGCATTCTCCTGGCGTTTCATGCCTTCTCCAGTAAGCAGTTCCATTTTCTTGAAGTTATTTTTCCCTATGATGATGACTTCTTCTTTATATAGGCCTTGATATTTTCAAAAGCCTTGGCAATGGGTAATTATTTAGGCAATTACGAGAGGTTACTTATTTTCAAACTTGCCCACCAAAATAGTAGCTGAGACCCAGCCATTGTGTACAGTCACTTTTGCACTTAATAATTACCCTGTCTGAATTGAGACCCCACCTGATGTAAACTTTCAGAATTACATTCGGTGTGATTGACTTTCTTCCTCTTTTTCCTCTAGCACCTATAATTTTGTTATTACATCACTGGAAATAGGGGGGAGAAAAAGAAGGCACATGAAAAGGACTCAGGGATGAGCCTCAAAGAATTGAAAATGTAACCCAAAATACTCAGGAAAAAAAAGGCAATGAAGGAGGTTTACATCTTGGGGATGAAAAACAAGGCCCCAGTAATCCCTGTGTTTTATCTCTCCTGCAATCTGCTGCTGATCCGGACAGTCTTTTCTGATTGCCACCGTCAGCTACACCCCCACCCTTCCCTAATCAGCAGCTTTGAAGTCCAGATCTCCCCAAGTCCCTGCCAGACACCAATACAGGAGCTGCCCAGCAGCATCTGTCACTCAGCCCCCACACCCGTGAGTGTCAGCTACAACAGAAACTGTCTGGCGCTGTCACCTACCACTCGCACACTTACACTCCCGCGTGTGTCTATATGTGTCTGCGGAACAATGCACACGGGTCCTTGTAGGTTTTCCACACAGAAGTGTGTAAGAAAGAGACACTGCTAGACACACACACGCTGCCCAAGCACAGGGTAATAATTTGCATCATGACGAGTGTGTAACAGGAGAGAGGAGGAGGGAGAAAGTAGATGGGCACAAAGCTGCTGACAGTAATCCGAGGCTCGTCACGTACGGGCAGTGGCAGCTACAGCTGGGCATGGGTCCTGGCAGACTTTGCTGGTCAATGCTGGTGTGGCTGTCACACAGAGATAGCAGACTAATCAATAGTTAATTGTTGAGCCTCACCTTCGCCCAAAGAGGGTTGAAAGTGTGCAGGGAGAGAAGCAGGGTGTGTGAGTGTCTGAGATAAACACTGATGGTCATTTTTTCTGTGCACACAAAATAGGCCCTTATCCATCCCTGGACTGACAGCAGAGAAAATGCACCTTCTTGGACTGAGCCTTCCGGGAAAACAGCGGCCCCTCTCCCCTCCCAGCTGTTTTCCCTGAGATTTATCACCATGGCCCCAATGCAATGAGCACTACCACCATCAAGCAAATATGGCTCGGCCCTTGGGGAGAGACCTCTTTACAAGTCTCCCCTTCACTCGCACACACATGCACCCCGGTGCCCATGGGTTACCTGCATGGGAAGTGCTTATAGCCAGTGGCCCACACAAGATCCTCCACACACATGCACGTTAGACTCTTGTGTGGACTGGAAGTGGACTCACTCAAGGCTCTTACACACCGGCAGGTACACACACACACACACACACACACACACACTTCATTCCAGTACACCTCTCCACCAACACCAATTACCAATCAATCACACCTGAATAAATCCTCATGCAACCTCTGCCCTCTGAGAAACTGTCACTTATTTGACACACTCTTGCGGGGCCCACCTTCCTCTCCACCCCCATTCCCGCCGGTCTCCTAGACTGTCACATACCCTGTGCCCATCCCCCACGCACACACCTAGATCCTGAGTCTGCGGGCGGGGAGCTGTTCCGCAGGCTGTCTCTTTCTCTCCCAGGCACATCCATTCCACACCTGCTCCCCCGCCCCCCAACCAGCCATCGCCCACACACCCCTGTGCCCTTGGGTGTTTCGGAGGGTCCTTCATAATCACCCCTGCGTGTCAGCGTGCAGGAGCGAGCCGGCCCTGTCACCGGCACGGAGACCTTTCCGCTGCCCTCACACCTTTTTCATCAGCTCTTCACAAAGTTGCCGGCCCGTCTAGGGCGCACATTCACGGTGCCACACACCCCCTCCTGCCCAGTCACAGCGCGCACGTAAACACACCCCCACTGCCGCAGCAGCTGTGTGTAGAGGCTCTTTGGCAGTTTCCCTCTCGCAGCACAGACACCCCCGCTCCACGCTCAATAGTGGCCCGGGGGGCCCTCGGGGGGCCGCCTCTCCTCCCCGGGCACGGCGCCGGCGGCCGGAGCGGGGTCGGCCCCGCGCCCCTGCTTCCCCCCGCCCCCCCGCCCCCCCCGCCCCCCCGCGCGGAGCCCCGGGAGCCGAGCCGGCTGCGCCCCTGCGTGTGCGTGGCGCTCGGCCGCGGGGCCCGCTCGCGCTCGAGGCGCTCGGGTCGCCCCACGCCCCCCACGGCCCGGGGCGCGCGTGTCGCGGGCGGCGCCGCAGCCCCGCCAGCCCGCGCTCCCGCGCCCCGCGCGCCGGCCCTTTGTTGGCGGCTCGGGAGCTGTCCAGCACCGCGCCCGGCCCGCCGCCCGCCGCCCGCCGCCCGCCGCCCGCCGCCCGCGCGCGCACTCACCCGCGGCCAGCAGCAGCAGCAGCAGCGGCGGCAGCCGGGCGGCCCGCAGCAGCCGGCCCATGGTGCAGCCGTCGCCGCCCGCAGCCGCAGCGGCGCGGCGCCTCTACCCGCGTCAGGGGCCGCGCGGGCGGCGGCGGCGGCGCGCGCTCGCCCCATTGGCCCGCGCGGCCGTCACTCACCCCCGGGCCCGCCTGGCCGCGTGCCGCGGGCGCGCCCCCGCGGAGACGAGGCGGGCGCGCGGGCGGGCGCCCCTCCGCCGGGCGCCCCTCGCCCCGCCGACCAATCAGCGCCGCGGAGGCCTCGGGGGCGGGGCCGCGGCGCAGCCGACCTGGAGCCGCGACCTCGCACCTCGCGCCTCGCGCCTGGGCCGCGCCTGTGGCTCCCGCGCTGCCCCCGGGGGCCGCCGACGGGGGGCGGGGGGGCGCCCGAGCCGCCGCTCACCCCGCCGCGGAAGCCCTTCCTGCGCGCCCGCCCGCGCCTGGGGTCGCCCGGGGCCTCAAGTTAGCCCGGGACAGCGGGCGGCCGCCGCGGGACGTGAGGCGCGGCCGATCCTTGGGGGCGCAGGGGGCCAGGTGAGGCTTCTCGGGGCGCGTCAACTGGGCGAGGCTGGGAGGCGCAGGGCAGGGGCCTGGGTCGGGGGGGGGGGCGAAGAATTGGAGTCAGGCCGGGACGCCTGAACACTCCAGAGGGACCCCAGACCCACGGTGACGCTCTGCTCCCCTCGGGGCGCAGCCTCGCCTCTGAGGGCTTGGGGTTGTTAGGGCGCCGTCTCCCAACTCCTGTGAAGTGTTTTGACCCTTCGCCAGTTACAGCTCGTTCATGTAGCGGGAGCCATGGCCGAGAACAAAACAGGCACAACCCGCTCCTCCAAGTGGAGGAGACAGACTCAGATCCCAGGAGGCGCGTGGGAGAGCTGATTGCAGTTGCGGTGAGGTCTGTGGAGAAGGGCCGGGGGCCACGCAGCATGGAAGGGAGCCCCCACCTTTACCTGCTTGAAGAAATGACTTTAAGGCCGGCACCTGGAAGGATGTGTGGGTATCAGATAGGAGGTTGGGTTGGGGGAGAGAAGCTTCCCCGCGGAGGGGAAAGCCCCCCCTGACTTAGAAAGCACATCTGCCTCTATTAAGAGCAGAGAAAAGTCCCAGCTCTTCTGGAATTACTGCCATAAATCTCAACCAGTGATCACTATGTGGAATATCACTTTATAGACTATTCTGAAAATACTTTTTTAAAATTAAAAAAAAAATATTGAATGTGATTTGCAAATGATGCCCTCAGCCTTCTCTCTAAGGGTATATACAAGACGCGGTGGATGATCTCAGAGGATTTTACCAGAACCAAATACTTAGGAGAAAAAAGACTTAGGATGGAGGCGGGCAGGCTGTAAATAGGTCCCTGGCAAAGGAAAGCACATGAGCAAATACAGTGCGGTGAGATGGTACCTGGCATTTCATGTTTAGCAGGATGACAAGCTTCATGATTAGGAGTGGACAGAAAACAGGATCATAAAACTAGTTGGCTTACTGACTATCCTAATGAACTTCTTGCTTAATCTGTACAAAGTCATAGTCCTTATGTTATAAATGAGAAAGTGAGAAACAAGCAAAAAGTGACTAAGAACATAATGAAAAGCAGTAACATAAAATTGGAGTTTCTAGGTAAAGAAATTCTTATTTAATTACAGAACTACACCATTTCATTTAAACTCCACAGCCTGTTTTACTGGATGGACATTATGAGTTCTAGAAAGGACCTGATGTGAAGGATCATGAATGTTGTGATGAAACTTGAACTTCATCCTTAAGTTCATTCCTTAAATAGAAATACTGGTGTGATTCAGTCTTTAAGACTGACAAGTCTGGTGGCACGAGGGGTTAAGCCGCAACCTATGAAGCTATCTGCAGCCGCTGCAGCATCAGTTCAATCCCTAGCCAGGGAGCTACCCACATGGCTCAGCAGACCTCTCCTGACTTGACCGCTGCTCCCCTCAGCAGTGTATTTCAGTCAGTCTGCCTGTTCTGTTCCCCACCCTGTCTCTGGTGAATCCTCTCACCCCCCACACCTCTGGCCTGTACCCCAGTTCTTGTATGCATAAATAAATCAATCTTTAAAAAAAAAAAAAAGAAGAAGACGACTGACAATTCTGAAAACAATGGGAGGAAGACTAGAGATGTGAGAATGAGCAAAACAGTCAGTGGGAAGATTGCTGCAGTAGCTCCCGGAGGCACATGGTGAAGGTCCCACCTAGACCAGCATATCCAGGTTGAGAAGACTCCAGACACAAAAGTAACAGGACTTGAAGAATGACCGCATGGAGTCCTGTTGATATGGGGTTTGGTGCTATGCTCTGTGGAAGTACAAATTAGAAGAGGCCTAACTTGTAACAGTTCACATGAAAAACCTACAAATAAATAATTGCTACAAAGTGTAAAGTAGTTTTGGGCTTAAAATGAGTACAATACCCAGAACAAGGGGGTGAATGAGCCTGTTATTCTGAGCTGCTTGAACTTCATCAACATCATGTTTTTATAATAACCTTTTCTTTTTTGGGAAGGATCAGGTGATAGAGGAGAAATCCAGGAAGACTGAAAGACAGTTAAAAGTCGAAGGTGTCTGGCTTTGAAAAGAGAAAATGCTCTGGACCCCTCCGCTTCTGTCCTTTCCTCTGTTGCAGTGAGGGAAATGCCAGTCCTTTATCACAGGCCAGTTTCCACCATCCAGGCTCATCTCAGCATAATTTGTCTCCTTGTCAAGGACTTCCATCTCAGGGTATCTTCCTGACAGTGTCAGTCTCTCTTCTGGATCAATCTCTAGATACAAGCATGATCTACAATGTCCCACAAAAAAACCTGGGGAGAGAGGGCAGCTGCTGGCAGGCCGACTACATGTGCCTGCTTTCCCCTCCTGCCCTTGACTCCTAGAAATGAGAGGAAAGGCGCATGCACACAAATAAGCCGAACACACTAGAAGACAAGGTGGGATCGACTGACAGTTCTAAAATTTAAGGAATCACTTGAAAGATCACAAATGAGATTTAATTGACAGGGAAAACCACAGCCCAGAATGTATGTCCTTCTAAATAACTCTTAGGTTAAAGAGTAAATTACAAGATAAATTTTAGTCTACTTAGAAATTAATGACAATGGGGCCTCCCTGGTGGCGCAGCGGGTTGAGCGCAGTGTTGTAAAGCTGTCCGCAGCCTCTGCAGCGCCAGTTCGATCCCAGCCAGCCAGGGAGAATCCCACATGGCACGGCAGACCTCTCCTGTTTTGCCCTCTCCTCCCCTCAGCAGTGTATTTCAGTCCTTCTGCCTGTTCTGCTCCCAGCTCTTTCTCTGGTGAGTTCTCTCACCCTCCTGTGCCTCTGGCCTGTACCCCAGTGCTTGTATAAATAAATAAATCTTTAAAAAAAATAAATTGATGACAATGTGAGAACATTCCATATCAAAATCCATGGGATGCAGCCAGCAATTCACAGAAGCAATTTTATAACTGCAAGTACATTTATTAGGAAAAAAATTGATTAAAGGTAAATGAACTAAGCATTCTGTTTAGACACTTCAAACCCCACCCCCCCACACACACATCAGTAAATTTCAACTGTTAAAATAACAGCAAAACCCAGTAGTACTAATTGATAAGATTTGTTATTAAAAAAGAGAATAAATAGTCAAACATTTAACCTCAAGAAAAAAAAAAGAAGACAAATACTGTTAGAAATGAAAAAGAGAGTAAGACTGCAAATAAGATTTTAAAATTTAAACAAAACTTGACATGTAATTTATCAGTAAAATTTTAAATATTTAATGAAATGAATATTTTTAAGGACAACACAAATTACTGAAATCGATTCAAGTAGTGGAAAATCTAAACCAAAAAATAACAATGGGGGAAATAAAAAGAGAGTAGAAACATACCCTTAAAAAAGAGTAAGACTCATCTGGAATGAATGTACTCTTATCAAACCTTCAATATATAAACTTTTCCAAAGCAAAGTTAGAACGCTTCTCGATTCACTTTGTGAGACTAGTATAACCCTGATATCAAAACAGCTAAGAATAAGACAAACAAAAACCTGAAGCCAATCTTACCAAACACAGATTAACTTTCATAAAGGAAATATGAGCAAATTGATTGCAGCAATCTATTAAAAAATATCACTATAGCAAGATGAAGTAGGGCTTCCCCTAGAGATGTAAGATTGATTGAATATTAGAAAGAGCCACTAATTTTGTTCTCGGCATTAAGAGAGTCAAGGAAAAATCTTTCTCAGCAGATGAACCCAGAAACAACATGTAATGAAGCTTTACATCTACTTCTGCTAATAGGAACAAAGCATTATTAGCAAACAAGGAATGGAAAGAAGCTTTAATTAAATCAAGGGTTATGTCCAAGAAACCCACGACGACTATTATGCTTAATGAAGGAACATTAGAAGCAATCCATTCAAATGAGGAAAAAAGAGGAGGATATTCATCTGCCCCACAAATATTGAATATTCTGTGAGAGATAATGTAATAAGGCCTGATAAAGGAAATGAACTTTCATGGTAGGCAGAACAAGGACTCTATCCTAATCTCCAGAGCCTGTGAATATGTCGCCTCGTCTGGCAAAGGGACTTTGTGGATAATCTTGTGCTCTTGAGATGGAAGAGTATCCTGGATCATCCAGGTGGACCCAGTGTGAGCACAGGGTCTTTACTACTGGAAAAGGGAAGAAGGGTCAAAATTCAAGGAAGATATGTGGAGGGAAGCAGAGCTCCTAGTGATGCAAAGCTGGCTTTGAAAATAGAGGAAGGGACCATGAGGCACGGAATACAGGCAGCCTCTGGAAGGTGCAAAAGGCAAAGAAATGGATTCTCCCCTTGATCCTGCAGAAGAAATACAGTCCTGCTGACGCCTTGACTTTAGTCCAGTAAGAACCATGTCAGAGCGTTGACCTTCAAAATCAAGATAATAAATTTGTGGTATTTTGAGTTACTGAGTTCATTATAAGCTATTATGACAGTAATAGAAAACTAATCAAATTGCAAGAAATTTAAGAAAATAATCCAATTTACAACGTCAAGCAGTATAAATATGAATAAATGTATGAAATATGTGCCAAACTTACTCTGAAAACGACAAACATTGTTGGATGACATCAAAGAAGAGCTAAATAAGTGGAAAGACATTCCTTTTTTCATGGGTCAAAAGATCAAATTTGTTAAAAGGACAATCCCAAAATTGATCTATATATTCAGTGCAGTCCTATCAAAATTCCTGCCGGCTGTTTTACAGAAGCTGACAAGGTGATTCTAAACTTCATGTTGGAAGTCAGGGGATCCAGGAGAGTTGAAATAATCTTGAGAACAACAAAGTTGACAATGGCACAGGACATGCATATACTTGGAATAATGTTGCGAGTTCAGAAATAACCCCTCACACTTACAGTGAATGGATTTGCCAAACAGTTCAATGGAGGGAGAATAGTATCTTCAATAACTGATACTGGGACAACTGGATTTCTACATGTAAAAGAGTCAAGCTGTACCTTTTCCTCACACCACATACAAAAGTTTACCCCAAATGGCTCAAAGACCTAAATGGAAGAGCTAAAACATAAAACTAATAGAAGAAAATATGTCTATTTTCATGACCTTCTTTTAGGCAGTGGTTTCTGAAGTGGTACCAAAAGCTCAGCATTTAGGTGAAATGCCCAGAATAGGCAAATCTATAGAGACAGAAAATAGACTTGTGGTTACCCAGGACTGGGAGTCTGGGGGTTAGAGCTGCCAATGGGTATAGAGCTTTATTTGGGGGCCAAGGAGTGATAAAAATGTTCTAAAATTGATTGTGATAATGGTCACACAACTCCAAGTATGCTAAAACCATCAAATTATACATTTAAAATCATAAGGTATGTAAATTGTATTTCAATAAACCTGTCACTTAAAAAGCCCAAGAAGGTACATGCATACATTTCGTATTATTTTTAACATACTTACACACATATGCATACTAATGAGCCGTATGTAGTATTGGTGTATTTAAAATGTTTACATAGATGAGAGCACATTCTTTGACATCGTATTTTTTTACTCAGTTTTCTTTCATATTATCCATTAGCAAACTCTTACATGTTTGTGTGATTAAAAGCTTTACTTATCCAATCCTAAAATAAATAAATACCAAAGGAAAGTCTTCCCTTTATATATATATATATATATATATATATATATATATATACTTTGCCAACTGTCCCATTTTACATTTTATTTATTTTTTTTTTAAATTCTTTTTTTTTTTAATAGAGGCATGTTTATTTATTTATTTATTTGTTTGTTTGTTTGTTTGTTTTGTTTATACATGCACTGGGTACAGTCAGAAGCACGGGAGGGTGAGAGAATTCACCAGAGCCAGAGCAGGGAGCAGAGCAGGCAGAAGGACTGAGGAGCAGAGCAGGCAGAAGGACCGAGGTACACTGCTGAGGGGATCAGCGGGCGGCAGGAGAGGTCTGCGTGCCATGTGGGACCCTCCTCCGGTGGCCGGGGAGCAGCCGGGGATTGAACCGGCGCCACAGAGGCAGCAGGCAGCAGGCAGCTTCGCAACCCAGCGCTCAACCGCTGTGCCACCGGGGAGGCCCCCATTTTACATTTTGCCTTCAGAGTCAAAACTTCTCACAAGTTTCTACACAGACAGTTTCTACTTCCTTATCTCCCCCTAATTCAACTCACTGCATTGAAACTGCTAGGCGCATTACCACAAATAATGTATTTCAACTTAAAATGTCCATTTAAAACAATTTCCCAACATTTTAAACGGGCATGTCTTATGGTTGATGGCATCTAATCATTCCAAATGTTAGCATTTTTCTTAGTAGCACATAAAATAATGGTGATTCTGATAATAGATGGCATTTTATGAAACATGGTGCAGTGGATGGGGTTGTCATTTTACCTGATCTTTTAGCTACACAGTCCCGATTGACCTCAGGCTTCTTGAATTTTTTTCTTCTTTCTTCTTCTCTCCCCTAGCTTCCCTCCCACCCCGGGCCCTGTTCTGAATGTCCTTTGCTGGTTCAAATGATATGCACTCAATTCTCTTCCAGCGATCATTTCTCTGTGCAGGCTGCCTTGTGATTACCCAGCCCTCGGTGACAGCCGACAGATGATTGCAGCTCTTGCCCAACGACTGATCAGCACTCCACACTCAACTCTGCAAAGTTCACGACCCTGTGTGCATCTCTAAAATGAAACTCCTGCTTCTCCCTGCTAAGCCTCAACCTATTTCACAAGCCAGAAACCTGGTCATTACCCATAGCTTCTTTTCTCCCTCTCCCACTTCTTCCTCATCACTAAATTTTGTCTATAATCTGCAGAATGCATCTCATATATGCCTGCTTTCTGCCATCCCTTTGTCCTGACCACTGCCAATTCTAGATTACGTGATAGCCTTCTGTTCTTTTAGTACAATTTACAGTGGCAAGGATCTCCTTGTAAAATACGCTAGACCATTTCCTCTCCTGCTTCGGAGCCTCAAGACCTGTACTGTCATAGACTAGAGGTCTTGTTACACCTGTGTAATATTGTGACATCTTAAATGTACATTTTGGTCTTCGTTCCTGGCTCCTGGCCAGAGCTCCTAAAGCCCTTGTAATTTGCAAACTGCTCGCGGCACAGGAGGACCTTTTGTGGTATATTTGGGTCTTTACTAGCTGAAACAGCTCAGCGCTAAAAGAACAAGCAGTGTCTTTTGTTAGTTAGAACAAGCACCTTTCAAACATTGCAGTTAAAGAGGTGAATTTTGGGAAGCCCCTAAATATGGGGCTGGGTGCCAGGAGAGCCAAACCAAGAGATTAGAAGGCTGGGGGATTTCAGCTCCACCACTGAACTCTGGGAAGGAGAAACCAGATTTTGTCAATCACTAATGAACAATGATTTGATCATCATGGTTGTGCAGTGAGGCCTCCATAAACCCTGAGTTCAGTGAGCTTCCAGCTAGAGAACAAGCACACACCCTACTCCACAGGGACAGCAGCCCCTGTGCTGGGGATCCTTGGATGTACCCCTTCATCTGGCTGTTCCCCTGGATCCTTCAGTGTGACTGCCGTAATAAATCAGGAAGAGTATAGTAACTAAAATGTTGCCCTGGGTTCTGAGGCAGTTGACAAATTACCAAACGAGCTCATGGGAACCTCTGATTTATAGCCAAGGTAAAAAGACCCACTACTTGTGACTGGGACCTTAAGTTGGGGACAGACTGGTGGGACTGAGCTCTTAATATGTGGGGTCTGCGCTAACGCCAGGCAGTGTCAGAGCTGAGTTAAATGACACCCAGTCTGTGACTGCAGAGAACTGGAAGCCTGGTGTACCAAGTCAAGGCTGGCATCAGTAATGTTGGATGTAGAACAGTCTTCCAGCCTGCTCTCTGCAAGTCTGCCTTCCACCTGCCTATGCCCTCAACCCTAGACCCAGTTCTGTTACGCCCACTCACTTTCTTTGCAGCTGCTTCCTTACCCCTCTTTGTGAAGAGCTCACCTTCACAAGGCCCCTCATTAAGGCCACTCCCAACTCAGCTGCATAAGTGATTGTCCTCATAACTCTTTCCCTAAACTGGTGTCTAACTCTCCCCCTCTCCCCAACAGGAGACAACATCTGATTTTTCTGTCAGTGCCTGCAATTTATTAGGCTTACAAGGATTTGTGGAAGAAAAGTTAAATGAGAATCAGAATTACTGGTTTCAAATATCTGCAGAGCTTTCACATGAAAAAAAATCACTGGATGATTCCAGAAGGAAACCATGGGCTAGAGAAGATGCAGTGAGACAATTCTACCAGATCTCAGGTAAAAAAACACTAGGAATTACAGGTGTCCATCCATCCCTGGGGCAGTTGGATCGGGTGGAGACCAAATGAATTTAAGAGCAAACCATACCTGTTTGGCTTTCTCCACTTTCAATCAAAACAGCCCGTCTACCCTGATCTACTTCCTACAGAAAACCAAAGGAGGAAGAGGGAGTGGGCCTTCAGGGAAGCCCTGGAGAGCCTGTGTTATAACATTGAGACAGCGCTGAGACCAACAAACACCAATATTTAGATTTTATTCAATTTTATTAAAAGTTAAAACCACAGAAACAAAAACTCAATGTACACACAAGAGAACAGGGAAATGGTCAGGCAGGAGAAGACATGAGGGTGATGGCGAGCGGAGCTCCTGGTCAGGGGCCAGTCCTCACCATCATGTCAACCCTCCCTACTTGCATCCCTGCAGGTGGAAGCCAGCCAGGCCCGCCATTCCAGAGGGTGTGTGTGTGGGGTGGGGGGCTGTGTGCTCACTTCTGCCCACAGAAGCCTAAGGAAACCTTAGGACAGAGCTCAGAAGAACCCTACCATTACCGTGAACTTGCTCTCTGGCAAAGGAGGCAGAAGCAACCGGGACTTGGACCTTATACCAAGAGGGCAACAGTTCTTATAACACCCTGAATCCACTCAGTCCCCCAACAGACTGCAGGTTCCTGAACACAAGTGACTCCCATCCAAGGCACTGAATGGAGACAAGCCTCCTGTGGGCAGGGGGTAGGCTGCCGAGTGGTTCTTAAAAAATGTTGACAAAGTATGTCCACCTAAGAGGTCAAAAAGCAAAGAGGAGCCAAGGAAATAAATACCATCATTCTCAGTCCGAGCCTGAGCCCAGGAAGTGTGGGGCAGCCAGGAGGTCCACAGCAGCTGGGCCACACCATGCCCAGGAGCTCTGGGTCTGGGCTCCTGTCTGAGCAAAGTGAGCACCGCCCGGGTCCCGGCCAGAGGCACAGCAGCTGTGGGTGCTCAGAACTGCTGCAGGATCATTTTCCGCTTCAGGTCATGGCTGAACTTGTTCATCCTAAAGAGCTCACTGTCGTAAAAGGCGGAGAGGTTGTGGATGTTGATCTGACGAGCCTGCAAGGAGGTCAGGTGAAATCAGGTGAGCCGTGAGAGTTGAAGGTTATGGTGTGAGTCTAAGGTCTGTCCATTACAGGCAGGATGGGCTGCCCTCCGCAGGAGGGGGTGGAGGCAGCACCTGAATCAGGGTCTGGGTCTGGACCTGAAGTCTTAGAGCTTGGAATCTTAGCTCCACCAGTTCTAGTCAACTGTAAACTTGGACAAGCTACCTGGCTGCCCTCTATAGGGGTGGGATGCTACAACAAAGCACCCCTCCTTTGACTGCTGTCAAGATTCTAAGAGCACAGAAAGGTGCTCAGTGCATTACACTCGCTCAATAAATGGCTGTCGCTCCAGACCTGCCCAGTTTATGACGGAGAAAGGACTTTTCCGCCCAAAGGTGAACCCCAGGCAGCAAGCATTCTCCCCTAGAGCCCCTACCTTGTCCACCAAGTCCTTCTCGGGCACTTCAATTGTGTCCTGCTGGGCCCCAAAGCGGTTCCGTTGATACGTCACCTGCTCTGCCACTAGCTGCTTCAGTATGAAGAGCAACAACTCGTTGTTATCACGCCGGAAGGAAAGGTAGCGGGAAAAGGTCTGCAGGGCAGAAAAACCGAAGTCAGTCGACATGGCTCCCGAGCAGGAACCTCAAAGCACCTACAGGACAACCAGTGCCCCTTCTACCCACTCCCTTCTCCACCTGCCAGAGCTGCCAGCTCAGGGACACACAGCAGCCAGGGGAGGATGGCAATACCCAGGGCCATGTGCAGAGCAGTGCTGCCGGGCCTCAGCTCCACCTACCTTACGCATGCTGCGCATGACACTGAACTTCTGCGTGTCAATGAAGCTCTCCAGCATCACCCGGATGGCCATGTTGACGTCATCCTCGATCACGTAGTCCCGCAGGTGGATGCGCGCATGAGCCTCTGCCATGCGGATCATGGACTCGATGTGCCGCACTGTGATGGGGATGCTGCCCGTGGCCTGGAGAGGTAGATGGTGTCAGATCTTGTCAGACAGGACAGAGAGCAGGGAAATGGAGAAGTGACCCCACCAGTGGCCTGGATGCTCGTCTAACAGTCCTGCAGGGCAAGGGCCTGCCTGAGCCACCAGGTGAGCGCACACTCTGGCTGCCCCACCAGCTTGTGGTGTGCCCCCCAGAGTCCATGAGCTCTGCAGCAGCTGCTTTCGCCACTTTCATGTTCCAGCACTGCAGGTTCCAGTGCCATGGAGGTGCGAAAATAAAGCTGCACTTGGTTTCTATGAAAACTAAGTTAAATGTTGTGAAAGACTTGAGCAAGTTAAAAAGTAAAAAATAAATAAATAAAAGTAGTTATCTAGGGCCTCCCTTGGTGGCGCACGCAGTTGAGCGCCGTGCTGTGAAGCTGTCCACAGTCTGCAGTGGGGGTTTGATCCTGGCCGGCTGGCGAAGGTCCCACATGGCGCAGCAGACCTCTCCTGTCTCGCCCGCTGCTCCCCTCAGCAGTGTATTTCGTCAGTCTGCCTGTTCTGCTCCCTGCTCTGTCTCTGGTGAATCTTCTCACCCTCCCGCACATCTGGCCTGTACCCCAGTTCTTGTATAAATAAATAAGTAAATCTTAAAAAAAAAAAAAAAAAAGTAGGTATCTAGATAGCAGTGGGCAAACCAGGCCAATCTACAAAAATTCTGTGTTCTGTTTGCAAGCTGCCTTTAAATTCTCGGTCCTTTATGAGAGAAACGAAACCAAAACCAGTACAGACCACGTGCTCATCTGGGTGAGATAAAAGTCACATGTAAAAGTCAACATGGAGTTTAATCAATCAGTGGCCAATCATCAGAAGACCCAGGTCCTACCCAGAGAGCCAGCAGCACACACATTTAGGGGGTGTGGCTCAGGTAAGGCCCTCCAGCTCCCCCACTGTTTGGATGACCCTCTGCTTCTGTGAGCTTCCCCATCTGCACACGACCCTCACCAGGGACTCTTTCCTCAGGTCACTATACATCTTGGCCACTTTGTCCTGGTCCATCTGGTTGAGCTTCGGGTGGACCTTCTCCTTGGCATAGATGATGTACTTCTTCAGGACCTCCTGAGGCAGGGGCTCCACGCCGTATGTGTTGGGCATGGCCGGCACCGGGGCATCGCCGCTGCCCAGCCCCTCTTCCCTGTTGCTGGGGTGGTGTCTGACGTGGCTGCCGACCACAAATCGGGCCAGCATCTCATCCTAAGACAGACGGGAGAGAACAGGTCACGGGGTGAGTCGTGCTTGTGACCTGGCTGGACGTCAGTGTAAGCTGTTAAGTGCTGGGAGCAATGTCCTCCCAGTAACAGGCACCCTGTACCTCTGCACGCTGGGCAGCTCCCAGTGCCAGCACAAATGGCTGAGCCCTGGCGGAGCTCACCTCCTAGTGAGAGGAGAGCAGACAATACTTTTTAAAATTAACTACAAAAATTACAGGTACTATAAAGAGAAAATAGGGCAACAAGCTCAAGGCCCCTGGAGACTCCTGCAGCCAAGGTGCCAGAGCGCTTCCGTCACTTGACAATCTAGAAGAGCCTTCTGGGAAGAGAAAAGACCAAGTGTACAGCCAGAGGCCTGGCACCTCGGAGGAGGGCAATGTGGAAGGGTGGAGGATGGGCACAGAACCCATCCCGAGGATGGCTGTCCTGGGCAGGACGGTGGAGTTTATGCTGGGACGGGAGGAAGCTGCAAGCAAGTTTTAAGGAGGGGCACAATGTGATTTATGATTTAGGTTTTCAAAAGACGGGCTGGCTTCTAACTGCAGAAGGACAAAGTGGGCATGAGGGGAGGCCAGGAGACTCATCAGTGACACAGCAGCACTTTAGGTCAGAACAAGAGGGGCCGAGACTCAGGCTGCAGTGAGAAGCAACGGGATGTGGACTCAGGCGACAGGCCTAACAGGACTTGGAAGCAGATGTTATGCTGGGTGAGGGGCTGGCACAGGAAAGAGAAATCTAGGATGAATCTGGTCACTGTAGCACCCCTTGCCAGTGCCTGGTGCACCATGGCCAAGCCTTGCTCCAGACGCCAGGGTGTGTGGCTGTACCTGGACGGGGTCCACTGTGTCCCTCACCACGCACAGGACATCGAAGCGGGAAATGATGGGCTCTGTGAGGTCCACGTTTTCTGAGAAGGTCAGTGAAGGGTCGTAGCGGCCTCCTGTTAACACAAAGGTACCTCTTAGCTATAGGCGGCTCCTACCCCACATCATTTCAGTAAGGGGAAGGAGACTCGCAAGGGGATGGGGGCTCAGCGCCTGCTGTCTCTCAGGCATTCTGGACAAGACACAGAAAAGGGCTTCCCTCTGCAACTGCCTGTGATGGCGTTGAGCTGGAAAGCTTAACTGTCTCCCGAGGAGAAACACCAGGAACAAGACAGGCCGGAGCACCAGTGTGCTCTCTAACCACCATCTAACATCTAACCTGGACGATGCACTCAGTTCTTCTGTCCTCTGAGAACAGCCAAGGTGGCTCTGAGAATATAGCTCAACAAAAACCACCCTGAGTCCTGCTCCTATTCCCCTCTTCTGGCAGGAAGCACAGAGAGGAGCACTTTCTGGGTTTCAATTCCCTCCTCAGGTCTGTGACAAGATCAGTGGGCGCTGGGGGCTCCTGACCCCGGAGTCAGGTCTCCGGCTTTGTTCCCCCTCAGCCAGTGGTGGTGCCCACTGTACCTATGGGGTTGGCTGCGGCAATGACGGTGCAGCGAGCCTGCAGGGAGGTGACGATACCGGCCTTCGAGATGGAGATGCTCTGCTGCTCCATGGCCTCGTGGATGCTGGTTCTGTCCTGGTCGTTCATCTGCAAGAGATTCAGATGCCCACTTCCGGCCTGTCTCTTCCCACTGATGTCTGTTCGATGAGGCCCCAGTGCTCCACTGAAGGCGAAGCCACACACCCCAAATCTTATCCCCTACAGGCCCAGGACCCACCTTGTCAAATTCATCGATGAGACACACCCCTCTGTCAGCCAGAACCAGGGCCCCAGCCTCTAGGGTCCATTCCCTGCTGACGGGGTGCCGCTGGACAAACGCAGTGAGGCCCACAGCTGAGGCCCCCTGCCCGGTAGTGAAGATGGCTCGGCTGGACACCTTCTCCACATACTTGAGGAACTGGGACTTGGCGGTGCCCGGGTCCCCACACAGGAGCACGTTGATGTCGCCTCGCACCTTGTGCTTGCCGCCTGAAGGGGCAGGGAACAGGTAGCTGATGACCCCTGCTTATTACACGTGGCAAAGGAACGCTCTCTCTAGGACCAGTAATTCCACTTTGAACAGAACCCAGAGAAACAGGTATACTAGGAAGCAAGTAGGAAGCTGTGCTTCACAAATGAAAAAAGTAGGGCTAACTCACACTCTCCAACCAGATCAGCTAAGTACCCTGCGCTGTGTGGACAGGCTGTGCTGTGTGGACCGCCATACAGCGCCTGCCAAGAATGAACTGGCTCTGGACACATTATCACAAAATGCTGCTGGGCGCGCTCATGAAGGAGAAGCAGCAAGCTGCACACAGTCTTTGTTACCATCACATGTGCAGGACGCTTGTAAACAGAAACGTGTGCGCTATGGGACCCCATTTTCTGTATGAGTGTGCACGGCTACAAGAAAGATGACAGACAGGGAGTGGACACCCTGACTGATGCGGGGCCCCCTACAGAGAGGACTAGAAAGGGCGATGACCAATGACTTTAGCCTTTGGTGACTTTTTATGATGAAGAATATGACATAATACTTAGCCATATCCTGTTACCATGGGCAAGCTTAACTTTTTAAGAGACAGAACATTTCAAAAATAAAACAGAAGGACAAATTGGCTCAAATCACCAAGGAGGGCAGTAGTGGTGACAGGGCCACCAGCTCCTGGACACATGACGCCCAGGGCCAGGCCGCAAGCTCTGTACCCATCTGTGAATGGGTTCTCTATAGCCAGACACCCCAGCTTTAAATACGGGGTCCCGCCTTGTCTGACACCGGTATGCTGGCCCCACAGCAATCACTGCAGAGGAGAGGCGGGGCGAGCCAGTGCTGCTCACCTGGGTTTTTGGGCTCCCCTCCGAACAGTGCCAGCGCCAGGCCTCTCTTGATGTCTTCGTGACCATAGATGGAAGGAGCAATACTGGCAAAGATCTGAGAGAAAAGGGAGAGCGCAAATGGGAACAAGAACTTCCACTCTTGAGTCTGGGTCACCCCCCACCCCACACACATATACACAGCAGGTCACCTGTGCCCCAGTCCCACGGAATGGGGACACCTCCAGCCCTAACACACCCCTCCATGGCAGCTATGACTCTATCAAGCCCTGCCCTTTGACAGTGGACCCTGTAATTAGCTGGCTCTTCCTGAGAGTAATAAAACTTCAGAGCTTAACAAAACTTTGGTCTGACCTCTTTGTTTTGTCCTCTCAGTAAGGACTATCCTCGTGTGCAGAATGAGAACAGAAAGGGGGCAAGATGCAGGCCCAGGAGACAGTGCGTGTGGGAGGGTCAGACTCTTGACAATAACCACAGGACCACCCCTCACGCTGGCTGAGGCCTTCTCAAGCCCATTTCCTCAAATGGAAAAAAAGAGAAAACACGATCTGATTCACAGAATGTGTGAGCTCTGAATGAGGCCTTTGGTAAGTGCCTGGCTCCTGGGGGGCTGCGACAGGTAAAGGCGGGAGCTTCCGGGAAATGGGTGCACCAGGAAGCATTTCAATTGGAGAGTCACTGAAACCGTTCTCCACTTCTATGTGTGAGAGAGAGACCAGGCAAATTTTAAAGATAAAGCTGAAGAATGAAGAAGTAAAGAAGTGTCTTGCTGTTTGGAGAGGATTCCTCCTCTACCTGTATGTAACACAGGTGTGGTTTTACAATTCCCAACTCCCTGCCCTCTGTGTGGAGGGCTCTGCAGAAGCAGAGGGGTACACACACTGCCCCCCTTACAGGTCCGAGCAGGGGGCTGGGAACATAGAAGATAATCAGCGCTGACCTCAGTGAGGGAGAGCCACCCCCAGAGGCCAGGCTTTCTGTCCTGCGCTGCCACCAGCCAGGTGAAGAGTTGCAAGAGTTGCTCCCTCTCTGTCCCCTGGGAGCATGAAGATGGGAGAAATCCCATTCTGGGAACTGGAGCTGGGGAGGCTCAGAGTTTATCCCAAGCATGGCTACTCTGGTCCCTGGCCGGAGTGCTGTGTGACCTTCTGGAACAGGATCTGCCAGGACCACTGGCACTGGGCCAGGAAGGCTTGCTGCCATCACTTTATGTAATAAGCTAGGAATGGAGGCCAGTTTCCACCACATGTATACTTTTGCTGGTTCTAAAATTTCCTACAAAACCCAGCCCAGGAGAGGCAGTCCAGCTGCATGGCTGACAGTGGTCCTGTCTCAAAATACTATTTCCCCTGGAAAGGAAGTAACACTTCCCACAGGGCTTTTTAGAGAAACGGCTGATTCCAGGCATGGAGCAGGAACCGCCCAAGAGCAGCCCGCCTATCTTATGGGTCCACAGTGCCCGAACCCCAGTGAGGCTGAGGTCCGTTAGCTTGCAGTGACACTCACTGGTCACGTCTGGATGTGAACTATCATTTTGAAAACAGGTGAATAAAGGGAAACAGTCGAGCTTTTTTCCATAGGAGCACTACATACCAAGAGTCACGAATAAATGATGTTTCTCTTTATGGAAGAGCCAGTGAGGAATGAACAAAGACTCGGAACTGGAGGGCCAGCACTGTGCAAACTCCACTGAATGGAAGGATTAGCTCAGGATCATCGCGGGTTGCTGACTTCAGAGACCAGCATCCGTGATGGGGACCTCGAGGAAGTTCACCTCTCACAAGTCATCTTGAGGTGGCCCCGACCCAATCATAAAATGAATTCCACCCGAGTCCGATCAAGCCTATGGATCTGACTGCCAACTTACAGGACACCGCGACAGAGGAACATATATTCATCAAGGACATAATCAGCAACACCTCGACGGGGGGAAAAAAATGACCGGATTTCTTCCACAAAAAGATTCAAGAAAAAGAGATGAAAAGAAGACCCAAAGATTATGAGGCTCTAGAGACAGATCAGCCAATCACGGCATGTGGACCTTATTGGATACTGACTCTAAAGAAATGGTTTTTAAAAAAGAAAATAAGGTAACCAGGGAAATGGGAATACCGCTGAGTATGTGATGCTGCACGGTGGCTAGTTACTCGTGGTGAGGCTCACTAAAGGGGGCCTTTTCTCCCAGCAACACAGACAGGTGCAGTTATAAACTGCTATGTCTGGAAGTTGCTGCAAAATAACCTAAAGGGGCTGAGGTGGAGATACGGGAGCTGAGATCAGCAATGACTGACTAGCTGGATGACAGATGCATAGAAAGCCATTGTTTAAAATTTCCTGTAATAGAAAGTTCTAAAACATGGGCCAGGCCTCGTGTGGGGGCACCCTCAGAGCACGCAGTAACCTGATCCACCACAAATGCGTCCTCCCAAACCGCAGTGTCTGGAGAGAGCGCCTGACTGCCAAGGGGAAGTGGCTGACAAACAGGGATGTGGCCACGGGAGCTTGGTTAAGCCCCTGTGCCTCAGTTTACTCACTGATTAAACAGGTACACAACAACTCTGTTAGAGGGGTGTCGTCATTATCTGAAAATTACCTGGTCAGTGCCCAGCAGATACTAAGTGCTCAGTATATAAAATGATCCTTTTGTTAAACCTGCATCTGCGCTGGCAAAGAGTCCTCTGTGGATAGCCGCACTGCCCATACATCTTGAGGGTCTGCCAAGACTGCCAGGCCCTGAATGCTCTTTATCCAGATGATATCTTGGGGCTATTTTTATAGCGAACACCCTGGCAGGATGAGGTAATGTCTCCCTCCAGGACCAAAGCAGCAGGCACCCCCACTCAGTTTCTCCCCTGCAGAGCAACCCCTATCCGGGGTGCTCCCCTGCAGGACAGGAGGGCAAGGGGTCCTATGTTAATGTCTACACTGCGCCCCTGCACTGCCCCAGCGACTGTGAGAGTAACAGGTCAACTTAATGGCTGCTTAGAGGGGTAAGATCAGACCCAGACCTGCCAGGGGACGGCACGACACCCAAACTGGAGAACACTTGAGTTATTTCATTTAACCCTCATAATCCAAAGCGCCTCTAAAATCTGCATGCACGCCCCACCGCCCCTCGGAGCCCACCCCTAGATGGAGACAAACACCTACTGCACAGCTACCGTGAGTGGAGACAGTGCACGGAAGTGTCTGGCGAGCCAGGCTCAGAAGCTGTTTTCATCCTACCGAGGGTTCTTTATGCTTCTTGCCTCCACTGCCCTAGCTGCTGCTACCCATTTCTTGTACAAATACTCTCACTTTTGTAGCAACCTGTGAAAACAACAGCTCCTTGCTGAGCACTTCTCAGCACTCACCTCGACACAACACCGGCTCTTCTCTCCTACCTCACTCTCGAGGGTGGCGCATCTGCTCACACTAAGGATTAGGTCGAGGAAGCCGAGGAAGCCTGGCTGCAGACTGCTCAATTCTCCTCCTTGCCCCTTTGAGTATTCAGCCCAGCGCAGCCAGCGCCCACGAGAAGCAAGCAGGGTCACAAACGAGCTCATCAGGCTACACGGAGCAGGGCAGAGGCGGACGGGGCACAGGAGGGTGCACACCTGGTGTGCCAGGGCAGCCGCCACTCAGCTGCATCAGCTGTCACTGGAGACAGACCCAGTACGGATGCATCCCCGCGAGGTCAAGCCCTGGGCATCCAGGCTACATGAAATCTCCTATTTCTAAAGAGTGATACAAATTCAAAAGGAACACACAAAAACAAAACAAAACCATGTACCAACAAACCCAGACCTGTCAGCTGGCTGGATGAGGCCTGCGGCCTTCTGATTATATTGTTCATAGGACCCTGATCATTTTTGGGTCTTGCTGGCTATTCCTTCACTTTGTCCCCCAAGTTTCCGGGCGTGCCTGCCACATTGCTGTTCAAGTCACTGGTAAAAATATCCACTCGTAAAGTGCACTGAAAGACGAGGCCTTGTCTCAGGCAGGTCCAGACCAAGCCTCCCTGTGTCTTCCTGCCTTCACTTCCTACGGGGCCCAGAAAGGCCTCACGCGCAGAGATGCAGGACCTTGCATTGTCCTCTCCAGCCCTGAGTCATCTCAGCCAGAGAAGTGACAGTGAGCAGCCAGCACGACGAGTTCACCACAGGTGAACTGGAGCTGAAGCCTGAGAGACGGAAGTCCGCCAGACAGCAAGAAGGGCCGGAGGCTCTCAGGCAGATGAAACAGCAGGCAGGAGGCACAGCAGGGTGGGCAATGCCCAGGCCAAGGGCATAAAATCCAGGCATGGTTTGTCTACACCAGGTCCCCCAGGCTGCTAGATCAGCAAAGTGGGAGGCCAATGGCTAAAAATGGCCACAGAGGGAAAGAGGGTGCAGGCTAAGAGAGGGTTCTCGAAGCACACTGCTCTTTCGCCACGTGAGAGGGCGGAAGACGAGCTGACGTGTGCATAAGACACGGGCGACCCAGCTGCTCCAGACATGAGCTCAGATGCTGGTGAAATTCTATAAAAGCACCTGTCATATTAGCTCTGCCCTGGGGGTGGTCAGAGTAGAAGAGGGGGAAGCAACGAGCCATGGTCAGAGCTTCCTTTCCCCGTTACTGGTTTCACGTCTGCTTCTCTGTCTTCTCGCTTATTATCAGGGACCTGATGGCAAGAGCCATGCCCGACCTGCTCACCACAACCCTGGAACGTCTGAGCGTGTAACTAGCGAAAGGGAAGGTCATGTCCTCCTGAGGCTGGAGAAACACCCGCCTCCCCTGTGGACACCCCAAATCTCGGCAGACTCAAAAAGGCGGCCCAGACAGAGGTGAGAGAGTGAATGAGCCCCGCGCACCGAGTTACACACCAGCAAGGGTGGGCTCCGGATCACTAAACAAACCAGCCAGAAACAACCATTGATCCCAACTGAATTAGGGCTCTTTAGGAAGAGCACGGCAGAGGTTGGCGGGAGTCAGACACCCCCTGCATTCGAGAGCAGCTAGGAGGTAGGGGTAGAGGAAGAGGGGGGAACTGTGATCTTGAGAAGAAAACTCAGTGGCCTCACAGCAGGGGTGCCTGAGCAGTACAAAGAGCAGAGCACCTTTATGAATAGAAACCAAGCATTCTATTTGTTCTAGAGAAATGAGTGCTGGCAGGAACCTGACAGCCGGTGACGCCTGGGTGGCGTAAGTGATGCTGGGCTCCACAGGGTGTGGAGAGGGGAACTGTAGACCTACCTAATTCTCATCACGACCCCCTCTTAACAGGTGGAGTTGGGAGGCACCAATGACACACTCTCAGCCTTCAGAGAGGCCAATCCCCGCGCCACGTCTCTGCTTCCCCCAGCAACACAAGGTCTCCCCCTCAGGGTAAGTTTAATGAGCCAATGCTGGGAATGAAAATAAGGGAGCCCAGTTTCCAAGAGTAGGGAGTCAAGACTGAATGCGGAGGCAGCTGGGACATCCCAAGGTCTAGGTCACAGGCTCCGGTACCCACAGCACCCCCAGCAAGCCTGCAGCCGCCTCAAAGCTCATAGCTCCCGGCCTGACTTCCACCTGCCTTCTCGCCGATCTGCTGGTCCTTGGAGAGACTGATGATCATCTTCACATCCTCATCGGTCAGCTCCCCCACCGCAACCTTATTGTCCTTCTTGGCCACATGGTTGGCCAAGATGACGGTGGCAAAAACAGGAAAGCCATTGGTGGTGTTGAGGGAGCCATCATAGTTGTTGTGGTAGATGCCGGTCAGCTCCTGGGGAGGGAGGGACCAAGAGGTGAGCAGGGCCAACGCGGGCTAGAGGTGGGAGCTGGGCCCACCTCCACGCTGGCTGCACCCGGTTTCCTCTATGTCACGCCCTCCACCTCAGTCACCTACAGACACCAAGACAAGTAACTCCACAAAGCGAAGTTGAATTATTCCTAACCCCAACATCCAACTGGCTGGTCCGCCACGAGGGCCAGCTCTTCACCCAGGGACTCCAGAACAGATCTCAGCCGACTCCCTGGCAACCATCGACCTGCTCCCACCACAAATGTTCCTGCTAATTTCCTTGGCAACGCGGCTCCCTCCCGGTCACTTACGATCTCATCTCCCGGCTTGCAGCTGTCCACCAGGTCGGCGAGGAGGATGGCGTCCTTGGAGCGGGGCAGCCGGCCGGCCGCCACTTTGCCCGGACTCTCCTGAATGCGGATGCGCTGGTAGTTCTGATAGATGGTCTGCGTGGGACAGACAGACAGTCACAGGCCTCGCCCTATGGCAAGCGCTGCACTCCTCCAATCACTGATCAGTGTCCCCTGCCTGCGACCACAGTCCACGAGGGGGCGTGGGGAGTATTACATCACCGACCAGGAAATGGACCCAAGGCCACTGTGACCAGCAGTCAGTGGAGGCCCCACTCCTGCCTCTATCCTCTGGACGTCTACAACGTGCCCTAGTGTGATTCTGAGCAAGTACATCCTTCTCTACAGAATGGGGGTGCTAGCCCTGCTGTGCAACCTCACAGCGGGACTAAATCAAGTCACACACGCCTGCACTTAAACCAGTGCCCAACAGTGGGGAGCGAATCACACGAGTGTGGACTCTACTGTCAAATGTCACAACAAGTGCCACGCGGCACAACTTCACCGGTCACTTCTCTAGTTGTCTAGAAAAAAAGGCGTTAATATTGCAGCTAAAAGCCCACATTCTGGATCAAAATGCCCAAGTTCTAATCCTCTGGGTCACTTCTTGGGCCAGTGACCTCACTGACAAAATGGGTCAACAACAGCACCTGCCGTATGGATGTGATGGAGAGTAAGTAACATCACCCACTGGCTGATGCCTGGCCAAGTCCTCCAGAAACTTCAGCTACAGCTATCCATCCCGCACTAAATTCCTTAGAAACAGAACTTGCCAGTCTGCTCCTGGGCAAGACCCTTTTGTGAAGGGAGAAGCTATGAAGGTGGTCAGGCTGGACAGGGTGGGGGAGGGCTGGGGGAAGGCAGGGGCTCAGCTGCAGTCTAGCCTCACAGTGTTCCTCCCCCAGGCAAGGCACACTTGAGCTTTCAAACCAGTCAGTTTTAGGTTGCCACTAGTGTGACCTCCCTCTGGTAAAGTGGCTCCAGCTAGGGCATTTCTCAGAAGCAGAGTGGTGAAAAGGTAGCAGCCAAAAAGGGGGGTGGAGAGTCTAGGCATCCACCAAAGGTATTGTGAGGACCCTCACTTCACCGAGTAAGTCGTTCAATTACAATGGCATGTGTGGGCTGTTCAGTGCCTGAGGGGTTAAGGCCCAGGGATGCCTGAATATGAGTCTAAAGTGGATACAACCCAGGGACCCCAATAAAAGGCCCAAGAGAGCAATGCACTAGACATATCAAGAGGCAGTCTACATGCACTGCAGGGCCTGTGTAAGCGATAGCCTGGAGAGCAGGTGCCCTGCTCAGGGGGCAGCCAGGGAAGAAGAATTCAGTCTTGCTAGATCTTTCCATTTTTCAAGAGATGCCATAAACTGACATTTGAAACAAAACATCTGGCTTTTAATATTGGTTAGAATTCTTGAAATCACTGTGCAGGCCAAACCACACAGGTAGAACAGATGGCTGTGGTTCGCCCAGGGTATGGCCAACACATGATTTCATCTTCCTTCCCACGCTGCCCATGCTGGTCCCCCAACTAGCCTAAGAGGCTGGGAGGACCCTGAGTACTTTGGAACCCCCCCATGAGAGAATGTCAGCCAACAGCAGGTGCTGAGTGAGCTCACCTCCTCCATGTTGACTTCAAAGGGGCCGGCTGACTGGCACTCAGGGCAGGAGCCCGGCTTCACTTCCTGGTTCTGGGACTGACAGAAGGGCCCTAGCACGAAGCTGCACTTGTTACAGTTGTACTTGACCATGCTGAGCTGGGGCAGGACGCCTGTACAGCTGGTCACCACCCCGCTGGTGCGGATCAGTTGGTTCAGGTGCAGCTGCCTGCAAAGACAAGTGGAAGTATCAGAGGCCCAGAGCCCCCTACACTGGCCCACGCCTTCATGAGAGGTCAGAGCTGCCCATGAAGGTGCTATCTAGAGATCCCAATAACCTGGGGCCTGGTTGCCAACAGATCCATCAGACTGCACCCTGTAAGAGCCAAAACTCATGGGGTGAGGGCTTTCCTTGGCCATTGCTGCTGGCCTGCCCACACCACTACTGCCCTTTCCAAACTCCCGAATGATGTCTGAGCCACAAGATGATGAGCATCTGGACCCTCAGTCCCCATGCTGTTCTCAGCTCACCTCAGTGAGCGCAGCTCCTCCACCAGTGGCAGGTGGGAGATGCGCACATGGATTTGACTGGCAATGCGGTCGTACTTGGGGTACATGGCCAGCACAACCTCCAGGGCAGCCTCATCAAAGATCTGCAGCAGTTCTGCTGGCGCTTCAGGGAGGAAGTAAGCCAGGACATGCTCCCTGGCTGCCAGGTCCTCGTAGTTCACCACCAGGCTCTCTCGATTCTCTAGAGGAAAGAGGAGAAACTAAGCACTGGACTGGGGTCTAGGGAGGCCAAGGCCTATACCACCCCATCTCTTACTTTAAGCCAGAAAGCCCAGCTCCCACGTCTAAGTCTACTGTGCTTTAGGTACTGAGCCTCAACTTCCCAATCTGTAAAATGGGGATGTCATCGTGTACAAGGTCACTAGAGGTGATTAAATAATACATGCAGAGTCCCTATTATGGGAGAGCTGCAAACTCAAAATGCTAACCAGGCCAGAAGGGAGACTTATGAATAGATAGTGTCAAACAGAAGACAAAAGGAAGTGGAGGGGACTGTGGGGAACTGAGGTCACATTAATTATGCTACTTTCTAATCAAAGTGGTAATGTAGATCTTTCCATAAAATCCACCCAAAACCACCCCCTGTAGTCCAGACATGGTCCCTGCAGTTTGCTGGGGTGGCCTGATGCAGACACTTTTGGTTCTGGCTCCAGCTGGGCTCTGGGTTAGTGGCTTGATACTCCCCGCTCATGTCTCTAGTTAACATGTCATTAAAGGGACAAAATGAACAGGGTTTTTTTTTTTGGAGGGGGGGAAGAGTCTGGGGGACGGGTGTGGAGAGCCAGGCATGCAGAAGCCCACCTTTGCACATGTCGCTGATGCGCTCCTTGAAGACATTGTGGCCGTGACTGTCCACGTGGGTGCGCAGGAAGTTCTTGAAGCGGTGGTGGATCTCCAGCCGAGGGCCTGCCATGCTCACCCACTCCCGCACGGAGTGGCCCTTGAGGTCCTCCAGGTTCTCGATGCTCTCAATCATCTCCTCGTCCTCCTCGCCATCCTCCGTGGCCCGCTCCACCTGGCGGCGCTTCCGGGAGGGGCGTTCCTCGTCCTCCTCGTCGCTGTCTGGGGGTAACGGGGCACCTTTGAGTGAAGTCTTCCCAGGCCTTCTACCTACCCTGGCACTCCGTCCCAGCTGTCCAAGGCTCTGAAGCTGTAGCCAGTGGCTGAACCCCCTGGAGGGGGTTGCTGGTGAGACTCGTCACAGGAAAAATGCTAAAATATAGTGCATCGTGGGGTGGGGCGACTGATAAGTAACATAAGGGACTGTAGAAGGGGGCACAGATTCAGTCATTGGGATTCGAGGTTTTTGGATCTTTAGCATTTGGGGGTCAGTGGATTCCGGCCAATCTTCCAGAAGGCTGCTGTGGGCCTCTGAAGATGGAGGCCTTCAGCAGCCAACCTCAGGAAAAGTTCGGAGGCTTGTACTGAAACGGTTCCTGGTTTTGCTGCCGTTACAGCCTGGCAAAGAAGGCGAAGACCCAGAGCAGGGAACCTCGCTGCGCTGCATGAGTGTGGCCGTTCGTTGGGTTGTCTGGCCGCGGAAGCTGCTGTCTTGAGTGTGGCTTGTCTGGTGGTGCGCTGGGGTATCCTGGCAGCTCCGGAGCATCTCGTGCTGCCTTCCTGAGTCAGAACCTGGCCTAGAGCCTGGCTGCAGCATGCTCCAGGTCGGCAGATGCAGGAAGATGCCTTCTTGGACATGTGGTCTATTCTTCGAGAGAGGGGCTGTGGTCCTCAGTGGCGGGAAGACACCATTTTAGCTGCTTTTGTTTAGGAATGGAAAACACTGGGCACTGTTTCAGGTGAGGTAAAGGCCATTTTTTGCCACAGTAACTCTGTTTTTCCCCTGGTTTGTTAAATAAATCCCACTGTTGTTGCACCCTGTGCCCGATGAGCCTTATAATTGTGCGCACGGGTGAAGAACTCGGACAGTGACCAGTAAACTATCTGAGCAGTATCCTTGGCCAGTTTTAGTGCCCCTTGCCGTCCTGTATCAAAGCCAGGAAGGCCCCTTAGGGGTGCAGCTTCTGAACCTACCGTATAGGAGCCCACGGCGCATACGGCCCAGGTCCCGGCCAGCCTCCCGGTCTCGCTGCCGCATGGCCCGCTCGGCCGCCTCCCTCTGGCTGGCCGTCAGCTCCTCTACGTCTTCGTCGTCTAGGGCCAGTCCCTCCGCCTCATAGACGTCCAGCTCTGGGATGGCTCGGTAGTCCCTGAGAACACCAGATGGACCTTGTTAATACCACACTCGGAACTGGGCCTGCCCCAGAAGGTTCGGGAGTCCCAGCCTGGAGTCTCCAGACCGGAAACAGAAGAGGCTCAAAGGTGTCTCCAACAGATGAGCAGTATGTCTAGACACAGTGGATGGGATGACAGGAACATTCTGAATCTAAGATTGTGGCAATGGCTGCGCAGCTCAGAATATTTATTGAAGGGGAGTCTTAGAAAGGGTGGATTTTATATTATATGAATTATAGCTCAGGAGAGTTAGTTTCCTTAAAGTCACAACAACAAAGTCCAGTTGAGCCCAGCTAGTCCTCAGCTACCTCTATCCAGAAGTTTCTGGTTCTCCAGAGCAAAGGAGAAGCAGAGGATGGTAGAGACAGGAGAGGGCAGAGGGGCATCCTGCTTGGGAACAGGAAACTGATGGGGAGGGTTGTGGTGGCCTGTGCAGGTCTCTCATACACACAGCCTTGGGCCCCCTGAGTCAGAATAAAGACAAATACAACAGAATCACCTCTGTGAGGCTCCCGGCTCTCATACAACTTACCAAATCCTGTTTGTATATGGGGGAAAGAAGTAGAGGTCTAACCTTGCTCACTGGATATTAGCACGAAGCCACAACAACCTTTAACCTTTAGTGAATGTTCACTAGGAAGTGTGAAAGTACCTAACACAGGGTCTGGTACCAGTTAGGCCCAACAGATGTTTGCTGGAGTGAACTGAGTCTTGATTGATCAGATTACCCCACCCATCCACCCACCCACTTTCCTTTAAGTTGCAGAAAAGCCTGGGTGGCTGACTTGCTATTTTCCCTGCTGGCATTCCCAGTGTGCATCCCCCATCCAAAATTGAGACCCTTTGTATCTCCTGGGGTACACACCTCATGGAGTTGGGGTTTAACCAGGGCTTTTTAGGGTCTAGTCTAGGTTAGATATAGCAACTTACAAGGAGCTATACTGTGGTTCTGTTGACCTGTCTGTCTCCCAATAAACCCTGGCCCAAGATGCACTCAAAGGCAAGGATGCTCTGACTTATCAACTTCTCCAGGATGCAAAACAAGACCTTGTGGAGTGCAAAGCCTTGCAGGCAAATACCTCTCCATGCCATCTCCAATAAGCTCCTCTCCATCCTCTTCCTCTTCCTCCAGAGGTCCCTCTGTGCCAAGCAGCCCCTCAGACTCATCCTCAAAGGGTGGAAGGTCTCGGCCAGGGCTGGAGGTGAGGGCATCAGTGCGCCGGGAGCTACGGCCAGGACTGGAGGCCAGAGGATCGTTGTTGCGCCGCCGCCTCAATGAAGAGGCAGGGCTGGAGGCCATGGTGAAAGACTCGGATGATTCCTGCAAGAGATCAAGGAGGTGAGGGCCGGCATGGCTTCTTTTTTATCATAAGGTGGCCCTCTCTGCCCACAAGGTTTCCTCAGTGTTCCTGTCGTCCAACAATCCAAGCCCTTTTCCAGACTAAGACTGTGACAGCAGGATCCCTCTTCAGGGAATGCTCTCCTGAGCCAGTGGATTCCCAGTTCCTGGGGCCCAGCCAGAATGTGGCTTCCGCAAACACTCCACTCCCTCTGTGTTTTCCTCACGACAAATCAACGGAGGGCAGGTCATTTGTTAATTGACCTGTTTATCATCTCCCCCACCCCTTAAGCTTGCATGTCCACAGATCTGAGCACCCACATTGTGCCCAGCACACAGGAGACGAGCACAAATCCAAAACATAGAGATCTGGATCTTATGGACGGGTGGGAGGGACAGCAAGGACAAGAGAAGGGACCAAAAAATGACAGTAAGTGTATGAAGTTGCGGGACCTTGTTTGTCTCGTGCACAGCCAGCGCCAGGCGAACAGAGCGCGCCCCCAGGGCATGCGCGCGGGGGTCAGTGCCTGGTGGAGGCTGCGCTGCACGCGGGGAGCCGGCTCACGGGCGGACGCGCGGGACAGAAGCGCGCTGGCTTTGCAGGCCCGGCGAGTGCGGAGCAAGACGCGAAGTCGGCTCCGAACCGGCGCACTGGGGCCCAGCCTCCCCCGAAGCGGCGATCCGGGGCCGGCCCGGGCAGGGCGAGCAATGCGCGCCGCCCGAGGACGAGAAACGCGCGCCCCGCCGCTCGCGCCCCCGGCCGTGCGGGCCAGCGGGGGCCCCCTGCGCCCCGAGCCGGCGCGGGGGGCAGCCCCGGGGGCCGCCGCCGGACCCCGCGCGCACACCCGCGCCCCCCAGCCCGCGGGCGGGCCCACGCGCGCTCACCGCCATCCGCGCGCTGCTCCCCGCTGCTCCGGCAGTTTTCGCGCGAAAATTGGCTCACGTGACCCGGCGAGCCCGGGAAGCGCCGGGAGGAGCTGGGCGTCGTGACATCACCGTCCTCTGCGTCCGGCCGGCGCGCGGGGGGCGGGCCAGGCGGAGAGGCCCCGCCCACAACCCCGGCGCCCCGCCCACAACCCCGGCGCCCCGCCCACCCGGCCGGGCTGGCGCCCTGCCGGGCTCGGTCCTCCCGGGCGGAGCCGGGGAGCGCGAGCTGCCGCCGAGGGCGAGGAGGACCAGCCCCGCCTGTCGGCTGCGCGGCCTTGGTCTCGCGGCGGCCGCTGTGCAGACGGGGCGGCTGAGCCGCGCAGCCGTGTTTTCCGAGGTCCTTGTGCTGTCAGTCGGAGGGCACGGTCGCTGCAGCGCCCAGCAGCTCTCAGCCGGGCACTCCCGTCATCGGAGCCTCTCCGGGGCCTCATCTGGTGTTCTGGTAGTTCTCTTCATTGAGGGGTGCAAAGATGCGGGGAGCCACCTCCCGAGAGAAAGAATGTCGACAACTAAGATGTAGAGAGGACAGGGTGGGCATCCGCAGTCAGTGCCCTAGTTCAGGGTAAGCAGCTTGTGATTGCTGGGGAGGGAGTGACAGGGCGGCAGAGCCTGGTGACAGAAGGCCTCCACGTCTTCCTGGGGAGCATGAGCTTTATCCAAAGGGCCAAAGAGAGCCAGAAAGCTTTGGAGTAGGGGCGCCCAGAGCCGGTGTGAGTTTTAGAATTCCTCCGTTAAACTGAGTTGAAACAGGTGGGAGGAGCTGCTGAGGTGCTTCCTCTGGTTATGAGCAGCATGGGCTGGGCAGGCCCTTGGTGAGCTGGGTGATCTTCACCTGGTGATTTGTGCAGTGACCGGGCATCTCTGGATGGGCCCCAGGGAAGGGCCGGGAGTGGTGATGAGAACTGGAAATATGCAAGAAATACTTGAGAGGGAGTTTACATTGGCCTTGGGGACAAATGGCAGCAAGAGGGAGGCATTCAGGATGACTCCAGGATTGTGGCTTAGGAGACCAGGAGCTATGGGGGACACTGCGATAAAAATGCCACTGCCTCTGCCCTCAAGGAGAAATAGACTCCTTCAGTTATCCCACGAATAAAGTCCCACAGAAACCTACATGTGGGGCCCCAAACTCAAAGTATGCAGAATTGTGCATTGTGAGACTAAGCAACCCCCTACCCCGTGGTCATATGGCCTGGCCCCAGATAGTCTACTTCTCCTTTCTAGCAGATGGTAGGAGGGAAGCTTTCTGCCCCTTGGGGGTTAGAAGTGGTGCAAGTCGCTGGGCAGGGGTGATGATGCATGCAACTTCCTGGCAGAAACTCTAGTTGCTGACCTTGACTCCCAGAGCCCTTGGTGCAGGCAGGCTTTGCCTGGAGCTCAGCTGCTCTGTCTGATGCAGAAATTGTGCATCCTCACCCCAGGCCGGGAGAGTCCCAGAGAAACCAAGTCCCAAATGGTCACCAGATTTTCACTTCTTCACCGTCTTCTGTTTTAGAACAGAAGCCAGGTGAAGAGGCCCAGAATCCTTCCTACCCCATGTGTTACCATGGGGTGTGTATCTTGGGGCTACTATGTTAAGTGGGTGTCTCCAATTTCTAACAGGCATCAAATCAGCCGTGGGTCATTGCAGAGAACAGGGCAAATGTGATTCTGGCCTCATGACAGTTGTTCTAGTGGGTGGAAGCTGCAGTCTAGGAAGCAAATGAATGCGTGTAACCTGGATAGAGTGATGGAGTCCTAAGGAAATCGAAGGACAGACCCTTTAGCGGGGGTCAAGAAGGAAGAGGTCACACATACAAGGGATTACCTTGAAAATGTCCCAGTGCCTCTTGAAATCCCTTGAAATATCCTTTTTCTTTTTCTCTTTTTTAAGTTTCTGCTTTACCAAGAAAAGTAGCTTTACTGAGATTTAGTGTCAAGTGTTAGATTTTTATCTAAGTTCATGGAGTATATATGATGCCACTTCTATTGGGCTAAAAAAAAGATCAATATGAAGTCAGTCTGTCTTATAAAAATGTAAGAAATACTGATACTTAAAAGAGCGTGCATAAAGTCATCATTTTATTCTCTCATGGAGGTCTTTTTGTTTGGTATTTAGCTACATTAGAACACAGACCTTATGAAATAGATCCAAAAGAGACCGTAGTTGTGTGAATCATAAAATATCATCCTGGAAATTTATTTATGAAGGTGTTAGTCATAACTTATTTCAGCAGAGTGAGAATTACAGATCTCCAGGTCTTTATATTTCCTGTATCGTCAGATCTCACTATATTTAATTATGTTTTTAACCTTCATACTCAACAGAAACAATTTCTTGGGGGGGCGGGGAGGCAGACTATTTGGTATTAAGGAGAAGAGAAAGATCTCAACAGAGGTTGTCCCGGCAGGCCAGTCCTCCACAGTCTAGAATGAGGAAAGTCCTACGTGTGGTTCTAGTTGACAAAAAGCAGCCAAGAGAAGAAATCAAATAAACAAAAAAAGGTCACGCGCCCAGGAGCCCGCCGGGCTGTGAACAGACTCTGGGACCCGCAGGGTCTGGGATTTGAGTGACATGAAGGGCCACGGGCGCGGCCCGAGCAGGGGCGCCGGCGGGCGGGCGGGCGGGCGGGCGGACAGACGCGGGGGCGGCAGGGGCGGCTTGAGGGGAGCCAGGAGTGGGCCGGGCGGAGGTGCCAGGAGCGGGGGGCGGGCACGGTCCGTGGAGCCTTCCCCGAGGGGCGGCCCGAGGAATCCTCGCAGTCCCGGGGCCAGGAGGGTTGGGGCGCCCCCGACCAGGCCCCCCCTCCTGTGCTGCGGCTTCGCGCCAGGTGCTCGGCCTCCAGCCCGCGGCTTCCCGGGCTGTGAGACGAGGCTGATGACCACCGCCCCGCGGGGCTGTGAGACGGGCGCCCGAACCCCGAGGGCGCGCAGTAGCCGCCGGGGCCCCGCGGGCCGGCGCGTCGCCCCGGGCGGCCGCCCGCCCCTCCTCCTCGCCCGCGGCCGGAGGTCGCCGGGCCGGCGCGCGGCGGCGGGACGCCGGGGCGGCGGCACGCGAGGGGGCGGGCCGCAGAGGCTCCTCCCCGCAGGGCGGGCCGCGGATCGGCCCGGGCGGAGGCGGCGGCTGGCCGGAGCGAGCCGAGCCTCGGCGGCCGCTGACAGCCGGCGGGAGCGGCGCGGCGCCCGCAGCTCGGACCCTCGGCCCGGGCGCCTTCCGGGTGAGAAACGCCGCGGCTCCCCCGTCCGCGCAGCGCCGCCGCGGCGTCTCTTTAAGAGATCAGCGCGCCGCCCGGGCTCTCGGAGGTCTGATTGGCTCTTTTCAAGGAGCTGGCGCCCGCTTATCAATGGAAGTCCATTCCTATAGGCTAGTGGGGGCGGGGGGCGGGCCTGAGTGCTGCAAGTAGGGACTGTGGATGTTTTAGCAGTTTTTCGGCTGAACGAAAAGGACGCGCTGCCTTCCAGGTCGCGGCTGCCTGAGCGCTGCCCGGTGTCCTGGGGGCCGGGGGCCCGGCGAGCTGACGGCGTCCCCCGCCCGGCCTGGCCCCTGCGCCCCGCCGCCGCGGAGCCGGCCGCCTGCGGCTCTGGCGCGGCCCTTCCGGGCTCGGGCGGTCACTCCGGGGCGCAGGAGGCCTGGGTCCCGCGGCCTGGGCCGGGGCGGCGCAGCCGGTCGCCGTCGCGGCGGGTGGGTGGCCGCGGTGGCGGGGCCTGAGAGCCGCCCGGGCCCTCAGGTAAGAGGGGGCCCTCAGGTAAGAGGGGGCCCTCAGGTAAGAGGGGACCCGCCCGCTCCTGCCGCAGCTGGGCCTGGAGGAAGCGCCGCCGCGCGGCTGGGCGCCTGGCCTCTGCCCGGGCTGGGACCCGCCGGGGATGTCCAGGGGCCTGCGCGCCTGGCGGGGAGCACCCCCGCCCCCCCCCCGCCCGCTCCCCAGCCTGGTGCATCCAGGATCTCCTGTGAGTGGGACCCGCACCCCCATTGCTGGACAGGGCGCACTGCCCCTGCCTCCGGAGTGACCCCTTTCAGCTCAGAACACAGCCTCAGAGGACACACTTGGGGATGTTTCAGAGGGTGAGGGCCGGGGTATGAGGACTCCAGAGAAGGGGGGACCAGGACCCACTGGGACTGCGACCAGGCTTACTTTCTCTGAAGCTGTGGCGCTGGAGCGGGGCTGTGGTGTGCAGGAAGAGCTCTAGCCCCTGTATCTGGGCCTGTGCCCCAGCAGGGGGACAGGACCTGCCTCCAGCTGTGCCGGGGCCTTCAGATTCCTGAAAGGGCAGGCAGTGCTGTTCATGTGCTGAGATGCAGCGCATGTAGTTTCACTGTTGTTGGGGGCATCTCCTATGTTGGAGGACTCTGCTTCCCTGGGGAGGAGGGTGGGGAGTGACTTGCCTTCCTGCTTGCAGTGGGGAAGGCCAAGGGATCCCCTCCCACTCTCCAGGGGGCTTGGCTGCACCACACTGGAGATTCATTTGTTCACATCAGAACATTTTGTTGAGAACTTATTTTGTGGCAGGCCTTATTCTTGGGGTAGGGTCAGGAGCACCCTGGGGTGGATAGCCACTAATACAAACATTACCCAGCTAGGGCCACTTCAGAAGAGGCCCAGTGGTGGAAAGAAAATGCAGGCTGGGCTAGCCATGAGAGAGAGTTCCAGAGGGCTTCCTGGAGGAGGTGACCCGAATGATGAGAACACATTGGGAGAAGAGCCAGCACAGAGGTCCTGAGAAGGCAGAAGTGTAGCAGCTTGGAGAGCGAGATGGCCAGGGGCTAGAGAGCGGAAGGGAACAGTCAGAGTAAAGGGTCAGATCAATTTGGGCCTTGAAGGCCAAGGAAAGGGGTCCAGGGCTCTCCTTCCTGGGAGCTCCAGTCTGGGTTTCTGGCAGTTTCCTGGAGTGGCCTCACTAGAGCAGTGTCCCACCTCCCAGCCCCCTAAAACTGAAAGATACAGGGAAGAGCCTGCAAAAGGACTGGGCCTCTGTCCTACGCAGTCTTCCTCATCCTGCTTTGTTTCAGGATTTAAATGCGCCACAACCTTTTAGGTTGTAGGCACTGAGGTGTGTTACAGCAGCATTGAAGAAGTAGTCTCTCTCTTCTGCCCAGGGATTATTTACCCCAGGGGATTTTCATCCAGGGGTTTCCATCTATGTGAGGTTTGGTCCATCCCATTGTGCAGCTGGAAGATGGAAAGGCCTGTCTCCAAGGAGGGGAAGGCCTTTATCCAGGGGTTCACAGCAGGCCTGGCACTGCCTGCAGAACCTGAGCTGGCATGCTGTCCCACAGGCTGGTCACCCACGGAGGGAGGGACATAGAGAGGCGGAGGCCCATGCAGTAGGGGGGAAGGTAGCCTCTGGAATGTTAATGAGGTCAGGAAACACCCTCCCAGGTGGAAGAAACTGTGTGTCCCAGTTTTCTTAGTCCCAAGAGGCCAGGGGTTGCTCAGGGCACTCTGCGTCCCTAGAACTCGTCCCCTGAGAATCCGTCCACATCCCTCTAGTGTGGGCCCCACTCCCTCCTCCTGCTGCCCTTGGCCAGCTTCCCACCACCTAGTGTCCTGAGCCTGAGCCGCCCATTAAGGTCTCTGTCACTGCCAGTAACTGCCCCCAAGGCCAGGAGCTCACCCATGGTGGCCCAGGAGAGGCTCACCCCCTCTGTGCCTTTCCCCTCCCCCTCTGTATATTGGGGTCACTCATGGTCCCTCTGTTAGAGGCTGCTGTGAGTGCTAAGTGTGTTCCCTAACATGTAAAGCACTCAGCCCTGGGTCTGCACACAGGAGGTGAGCGTTGTCATTATTTTTTATGACAGCTTAGTTATTTTACAAGCTGTGACACACAGGCAGTTCTGGTCTGGGCAGTCTCATAACTCAAGTGTGGTTCTCAGACCACAGAGCAGTGGCACCAGCTGGGAGTGTGTTGAAACGCAGACCCTCAGCCCCAGATGTCCCGCTGGGTCAGGACCACAAGGTAACAACACTCAAGTCTGCCGCTCCAGCTCCAGATGGAGCCCAGGCCCTCTATGTGTGAGTGGAGAAACTGAGGTGCGTAGGGGCACCTGGCAAGTGACTGACCGGGGCCTGGGCTCTGGAGGCGACAGCTGGCTCGCAGGCCTGCATGTGGCTTTGTCTCTGAGCTCTGTACCCTGCAGACAGTGTAAGGACTTCCCTCATAGGGTCGGAGGCTCCGAGTGCTCTCTGCTACTACGGAATTAGCACCGGACGCTCTCCCTCCACTCCAGACCCTGCAGCAAGTGGTGCTCACACCTCCTGTACCACCCCTCCCCCCCTCTGGGTAGAAGAGCAGCGGTTGCCTCTGTGTGACTTTGTAGTACTTCTCTGGTCTTGCAGCAGCCCGGTTGGGTAGGTGTTCTGTCCCTGTGATACTTACAGGGGAAATGACTCACCCAAGGACACAAAGCGAGTGGGTGGCAGAGCCAGAAGTGCAGCCCGGGTGTGCTTGGCCCCATAACCTGTTTTAGACCGAGGTTTCTCACTGGTCAGTTAGAGAAAGCAGAATTAGAAAAACTAACTTAAACAGAAAAGGGAATTTGTTGGCCTTTATAACTGAGAAGTCCAGGGGGTAGGACGAGCTTCAGGTGTGGCTGACCCAAGGGCTCGCCGGAAGCTCTGTCTCCAGGCTTGTTTCCACTGGTGTCTCAGCTCTGGACGTCTAACATGCTCCTCCCACCTCCAGCCCCTGCTCATCCCCATGGCTTCGCTGCCACAAGGGGCCCCTCAGCTTCCTTGTTGGGTGCTGGGTGCTTGGTCTGCATCCCAACCCTGCCTCTGCTGGGGCTGCTTGATACTTTGTACTAGGCCAGAGCTGTTTGGGCTGCTAGCACCACAAGTTTTGCTTTGCGGGCGGGGAGTGGTGTTGCGCACCCCCTGCCAACTGAGCCCTCCAGGCCCCGGGCGGTGGCCTGGTTCTCTGTGGGTGCAGGGTGGCCAGAGAGCCCATCTCAGACCTCACATACAGGCGCAGAGGAGAGTCTGGTGACAGTGTCTGGTGGTCAGGGAGGGACACTTTCCCCAGGAGACTTGTGTGTCAGGTGTCGGGTGCCCTGGCCTAAACCAGCCACCAGCGCAGGGAACAATAGGTCCCTTCTCTGCTCTGACCAGAACTTGTCCACGGAGGAACGCGGCAGAGGGAAGGGCTGGTGTGAATTCGGTGGACTGTCCCGTGCAGGGCAGGGTGGTTGGCAGTCCTGGACCCTGATTCCTGCAAGCCCATAGTCCCTGTGTCAAACTGGCGCACCCCTGTACCCTGCTGCATGGCTGATACTGCACTATACCACCCCGACCCCAAAAGCACGGCTTACGTTAATTGAGATTCAGCTCCTGGTGCTGGTGCCACGAAGGAACACTACTGGGTCAGTGGAGCATCATAGAAGGTCCTGGAACAAAATGGGCACTTTTTAGCAAGGAAAAGGGGGGGGGGCAGTGTGTGGTGGGGACACCATCAGGGCCTGCCTCACAGCTGTCAGATAGCCCACAGCAGGCCCCGCCATCAGCCTGCCTTGCTCTCGTCCCTGCCCGCATGTGTCTGTTGGCTGCCTTGTTGGCCAGCCCCCCAGAGGTATCCCCAACCCCTCCCCTCCCGCTGCTCCCTCTGATCGAGTTTCCATGCTCTCTCGCCTGCCTGCGGGACTGGTGCAGGAGCCCCCGTCTTCTTGCTCTACTCTTCCTGACTCGGTTGTCCCGGGGCCCAGCAGCTCTCCAGCCTTCCAGGTTTGACGCTTGAGCTGCCTCTCATTCTCAGACTGTCTGGCCTGGGAGCTGACCCCTTGATGCCCAGCAGCCCCACCTCCCCCCGCAGGGACTCCTCTTCCCTCGCACACCATCTGGGCCTCTTCCAGGCGCAGTGTGGTGCCCTCTGCCTCTGCACCTGCCTTCCTAGGGCGACAGTAGAGGGTGCCAAGGGCTTGAGGGCCTCCTGAGGTGCCCTCAATGCAGCTCTGCACTTGGCAGCTGTGCATGCACGTACAGGTCACTTGGCCTCCAAGTCGGTTTTGCACAGGTAGGGAGGGTGGGAACTGCAGCTCAGAGTCACTGAGGACGTCACTTGTGCATCACATCTCTTATTTAGATTTCACTACAACCTTCCAGACACTATTGTTACCCCCATTCCAGGGGTCAGAGGACACTGGGCCACCAAGAAGAAAGGGGCAGGCTGGGACCTGGATCCAGAGACAAGCTCCCAACACCCCAGCTCCCCTCTGCTCCCAGGGCCCCAGGGGCTGGAGGGACTGATTGGGGAAGTGACGAGCTGTGTTGCTGCACCTGGCATGCAGGATAGGCTCAATAATTGGGGACACTTTTGGGATCACAAGTCAACCTGAGATGAAGGGCTGGGTCCTGGCAGGGGGCTGAGTTGTGACATGCATAGGAGTGCCACATCTTTTCTCCCGCCGTTGTGGGAGTACAGCCTGCAGACCCACTGTGTGCAGCCCCTTTGGTGCTTCACTGGGGGTCTGAGACCCAGAGGCAGCCCAGGGCACACAGTCCCTGCACTGCTAATGTGGTGGCTCCCGCTCTGACAGGATGGATGCCCTGGAGGAGATCTGGGCCAACGGGACCACCTCGAGGCCCCCACACCCAGCCGCCAACATCAGCGTGCCGCACCGCTGTCTGCTGCTGCTTTATGAGGACATCGGCACCTCTAGGTGAGGAAGGCACAGCCTGTGGGGCAGGCGGGTGGTATGTGCGTGGGTTTTCCTGCAGTATGTGTGAGTGTGTGTGTGTGTGTGTGTGTGTGTGTGTGTGTAGGTGTCAGTATTCAGGGTTGGCGGGGAGAGGGGCAAATACAACCTTACCAGTGAGCTGGCTTCTGTCCCTATCTGCTAGGGTTCGGTACTGGGATCTCTTGCTGCTCATCCCCAATGTGCTTTTCTTCATCTTCCTGCTCTGGAAGCTTCCGTTGGCCCGAGCCAAGATCCGTGTCACCTCCAGCCCCATTTTTATCACCTTCTATATCCTGGTGAGTTCTCTCCGATTGGTGACAGAAAACTCAACTCCCACTGGCTTATGCAATGAAAGGGAGGACTGACTGTCTCAGTAATGAAAACCAGCTTCAGGTATGGCTGGATCCGGGGAATTCAATGATGTCATCGGGACTCTGCCTCTCTGATCTCTTCTGTCTTATCTCAGATGAATGCTCTGCTATCTGTGACACATGGTGCTTTGCGCTAACATCCCATCTCCCTGCCAGCTCCAGCCGAGAGCAATTCTCTCCTGATGGTCCCAGTGCAGACTGGATCCCCTCTGATTGACCCATCTTGGATCCTGTGTTTATCCCAGAGCTGATCACTGTGGCTAGCAGAAAAGAACTGCTTTGGAGCTTGGAGGGTGGGGTCAGCTCAGATCATATGGAGGAGGGTTTGGGGGGAAACTGGAGAAGAAACTTGGGGAACCATTACTAGACAGATGGTGGGTGGGAAAAAATGCCTACTTCAGCCTCTATGTCTGTCTCTGTCTATCTACCGCTCCCTACACATTCTGTGAGACCCCTGAGGAGCAGGTTCTGCCTATTGAGAGAGCTCGCGTCACCCCATGGTCCTGGGTGTGTTGTCTGGAGGAGCCATCAGGGCTGAGGGTGAAATGGGCCCTGGGCTGGGTTCCAGTGCAACCTGTCCTGCCCCCTTCCTTGGGAACCCAAGTTCTCTCCTCTCTGTGCATTTTAGGTACCACCACCTAAGAGCTGAGAGCCCCTGGTCCCCCTTTGTGGCCGGGCTCAGAATCCCCAATGTGAGGCGTAGGCAGTGGGCAGGAGAGGTGAGGGCCACTGGTGGAGGCTCTAGGATCCTTCCAGTGAGGAGGTGGCATGCAGGAATGCACTTTCTTATCTGCTCTCTCCCACGGCCTCTCTGACCATTTACTCATTGGGTATTCAGTCAATAGATATTAAGAACCTGTTGTACATTTCTGGGGGGTGTGGGCAGAGAGGAGGGGCCCGGGACCCACGCTCCAGCCGTGCTGAGTGATCTCCACCAGTGGCTTGGCCTTGCTGTGCCTCAGTGCCCTCCTCTGTGACAAGAGCTGGATCTGCTTTAGCATGAGGCAACCCTTGGCCCCTGAGCGAGACAGCAGGCACAGTGCTGCCCAGTCGGGACTTGGCATCCCATAGACCTGGGTGGTTGCTTCTGCGGCCTGACCTGCTGAACGGTGTCAGCCTCCCCAAGGCTTGGACACAGTTTTCATGGCACAGAGGACAGAGTGTGTATGACTCTGTTTGTATGTGACAAAAAACCAAACTTAAACTTAGAGAAGCCAGAGGGAAGTGTTAATGGAGAAACTGACAAGTCCCAGGCCTTCAGGCATGGCTGGATTCAGGGGCTCAGCCTCCTGCACTAGGTGGCTCCGGGCCTGCATCCCCTCAGCATTCTTTCCTAGTGGCTGCCCCTCTTGTTCTGGCTCTCACTTTCACTTTCCCACCCCTGGTAGTGGAGTCAGACCCCCTGAATCATGTGTCTCTGGATTACAGCAGTTAGATGGCGATACTGAGGCACCCGGCCCTTACTGAGCTCCAGGCACCCCTCTGCTGTGTGATTCCACCCAATTTGATCCTGTCAATTATCAAATGCAGAGGGTGTGATTTTTGTCCCATCTCATAGATGAGGAAATTGAGGCACAGCTACTTGCCCGGGTCCCAGTGGCAAGAAATGGTGGAGCTGGCATTTGAACCCAGGCAGTCAGGCTCCACCGTGGCACCCCTGCGCACCCAGGCTGGCAGTATAGCCAGGACACTGAGGCCCCAGAGGGGAGGGCCAGGTGCTCCTGCAGATGTGGATGTGGATCTCCATCCCTTCGCTGCCTAGAGGTCTTGTTCCTGGATTCCATCCCCCCTCTTGCCCACCAGGTGTTCGTGGTGGCCCTGGTGGGCATTGCCCGGGCCGTGGTGTCCATGACCGTCAGCTCTTCGAATGCTGCAACTGTTGCTGATAAGGTGTGACTGGGCCTGGTGACAAGGGAGGATGGGGAGGCCAGGTGGGGGCAGGGTACTGGGCGCCAGGGAGAGGGGCCACTGGGCCCCCAGGCTGACGTTCTGCCCACTCTGTGTCCAGATCCTGTGGGAGATCACTCGCTTCTTCCTGTTGGCCATCGAGCTGAGTGTGGTCATCCTGGGCCTTGCCTTTGGTGCGTGTGCTGCTGGGGCCAGTAGTGTCCCTGCCCCTCCCTGGTAGGGGCCGACCCCACCACGGCCACTTGGCTGGCTCCTGCTGACTGACCAGCACATTTCTTCCAGGTCACCTGGAGAGCAAGTCAAGCATCAAGCGGGTGCTGGCCATCACCACAGTGCTGTCCCTGGCCTACTCTGTCACCCAGGTAAGGGGCGAGGGTCATGCAGCCCTGGTGGCTCCCTGGAGGAGGTGGGGGATGGTCAGCAAGGGTTAGCATCCACTGCCTCCCCGGTCAGGCTTGGAATGTTTGTCGGGCAGTGTTCTCCAACTTTAGGTGTAGCTAAGCACTCACCTGTGGTTGTTTGTTAACAAGGCAGGTCCAGGACCCCCCGGTTCTGATCCAGTTCAGGGTAGGCGGTGCCCAAACCTACCATTTTGATGAGCAGCTCAAGTGGGGAAAGGCAGATCTGCAGCCACACCAAGCCGTGCATCCAGAGGCCCCTTTCTTAGACTGCGTGAAGGCTGCCCCTTGCCCAGCTCTGCCCCGCCCCACGGCTGAGCTGCTGTGGGTCTAGGTGGGCAGGACGCGGCCAGAGAGCAGGCTGGAGCAGGCTTGGTGTGGAGGAGAGCCAGGGGACTTGTGCTTGGGCCTGTGGACATGTGGCAGGATCCCGGGAACCTCCCACTTACCTCTGTAGGGGACACTGGAGATCCTGTACCCCGATGCCCACCTGTCTGCTGAGGACTTCAACATCTACGGGCATGGGGGGCGCCAGTTCTGGCTGGTCAGCTCCTGCTTCTTCTTCCTGGTGAGACTCGGGTTGGGGCTCCCCTGCTTGGGCACCGGAGGGCCGGGGAGGTCCTGGTATTAATAATCCTGGGCCTGGTGCTCCCTGCTTCCCTCTCAGCCCACTCTGTCTCTGCAGGTCTACTCTCTGGTGGTCGTGCTCCCCAAGACCCCGCTGAAGGAGCGCATCTCCCTGCCTTGTGAGCAGCTGGCAGGCGCCAGGCTGGGGCTGGGCGCAGGGAGGGGGTCTGTTTAGGCCACTGTGGTTTGGAGCTGGAGAAACCTGGGGCGGAGGGAAGGAAGCCTCCGAGGGGAATCGGAGGGGACCCGGGTGGTACACGGAGGGTGAAGGGTGAGGGCCGAACCTCACGACCTGCCCCCCAACCCCCAGCGCGGAGGAGCTTCTATGTGTACGCGGGCATCCTGGCGCTGCTCAACCTGCTGCAGGGGCTGGGGAGTGCGCTGCTCTGCGCGGACATCATCGAGGGGCTCTGGTACGTGGGCAGGGCACGGCTGGCCCCGTGAGGGGCAGGGCTGTGGGCAGTGGGAGGGGCAGCCCTGCCCTGACCGCCCCTCCTTCCCCTGTCTCCAGCTGTGTAGACGCCACCACGTTTCTCTACTTCAGCTTCTTCGCGCCTCTCATCTACGTGGCCTTCCTGCGGGGCTTCTTCGGGTGAGTCCCCTGACAGGGGAGCCGCAGGGCTCATGGGCAGTGGGCAGGGCTCGTGGGCAGGGTCGGAGCCTGGTCCAGCCCTCCCTGGAATTTCAAGGGTCGCGGGCGCCCCCGCGTGGCTGCTGGCAGAGCCGCGCCTTCCTGCGCGCTGCGCGTGGGCAAGCGGCCGCTCAGCCCAGGCTCCCTCCGGCCCGGTGAGATGCGTGTCTGCACGGACCACGCACACACACTCACAGGAATGAATATACACCATAAACGCAACACACATGTACACTTTCCCCCCAAGGGGGCTGTGCACACATACTGCACCTGCTGTTTTTTCTTTCGGAATAGATGAGCGCGATCTTAGCGAGCTGCCTGAGCGCCCACTGTGCTGGGCACCCACTGTGCTGGGCACTGCTGGCCGGCCGCCAGGGGCTAGTAGACACGCTGCAGAGCCGGTATTCCAGCTGGGAGCACTGAGAGAGGAGCAGCGGGGGAGGCCCGTGTGTTTGGAGCCTGGGGCGGGGTACACTTTGTGCACAGTAGTGTTTGGAGGTGTGTCAGGGAGACGGATGGGAAAGACTGGACCGGGGCCTCTGCTTAGATGGAAATAGGCATTTTGCCTTTTGCCTCCTTCCCCCTGCCATGTGCTCAAGTCCGGAGAAGGTATTGGGGGTGGGGTGGGGAAGGGCTGGACTGAACCCCAGCCCTGCCTGGTCAGGTGTGACTTGCACGTGTGAGCCTGGCTTCCGGCTCTTTGCAAGTTGGCAGTACTGCTTCCCCCTCGGAGAGTTATGCTGAGAATTGGGGGGCCGGGTCAGAGCAAAGGGGCCGCCACAGAGCTGCAGAGGCAGCGGTCACAGTTGTGGAGCACTCTGCCCGGGTCCTGGCCTGGCCTACTGTTTACCCGCAATGGCCCCGGGAGACCTTGCCGGGCTCACACGGCCAGAGGGAAGGGGCCTGATTCTAAGACATGTCCAAGTGAGGGGCCCTCTCGAGGGCCTTAGTCGCCATTATCGAGTTTCCTTCTGTGTCCAGTGGCCTCGGTGCCCAGGGATACAAGGCCTTTCCTGACTACAGTGGGGCCCCATTCTTGTCCCACCAGCTCGGAGCCCAAGATCCTCTTTTCCTACAAATGCCAAGTGGACGAGACCGAGGAGCCAGACATGCACCTGCCCCAGCCCTATGCCGTGGCCCGGCGGGAGGGCTTCGAGGCGGCGGGGGCGGCCAGCACCCAGTTTGACTCTGCCGGTGGGGTGGCCTACCTGGACGACGTCGCTTCCATGCCCTGCCATACCGGCAGCATTAACAGCACGGACAGCGAGCGCTGGAAGGCCATCAACGCGTGATCGCGGCCGCCCCGGCCGCACGGCCTGCTAGGCCTGTGGAGAACAGACTGGAGAGGAGGTCTGGGAGCACAGAGTTCCTGGCGGAGGACCGTAGGGACGGGACCTTCTGTGGAGGCGGGCCCTGTCTGCCTCCAGCGTCTGGAGACCTCTGCCTGCCCTCCGGTCGCCCCAGGCCACCTCTGCTCTAGCTGCTCCCCTTTCTACCTGCTCTTGCCCTGCTCAGTGACGTGGCCCAGACTTTGACCTTCCAGGGCCAGGCCTGACTGGCTGGCTGAGGGCACGGCTCTCCAAAGCCTGGCACCGGAACTGCTCTGGCCCTCCTCGTCCTCTGTCCCGTCCCCATGGCGCTTCGGCCTCTTCAAAGCCCACTTTGGCAGGTGGGCTGAAGTGTGTATATTTTCTTGATCTATTTTTTAATAAAAAGCAAAGGAGCAGCAGGAGTCGCTGTGGAGGGGCTGCAGGAGCACTGGGCTGGTCCCTTTCAAGAGCCCGAAGTCCTCACTCTTAGGTCCTAGCACATCTCCCCACCTCCTGAGCCCCGGGAGGCTCAGGGCTCCTTTGCACAGCCGAAGCACACTGGCCGGTGCTCAGGCCCTGGGTGGCTGCCGGGGAGTGGAGAGAATGGGGCCCCAGCCTTTCCTGCCACGGGGCCCCTGTTTGAGTGGAGGAGACAGATAAGGAAAGGAGAGCTCTGGTTACCCCTCTCCCGCCCCGCTGACGAGCATGGGGTAGGGAATGAGTCCTGCAGCTCCATCCTTTTTGGGCCCCTTGTGCCAGCCTCTCCCTTTCCCGCACCCCAGTGTCACCGTCTGTGGAATGGGTAGAATGCCGGCTGCAGAGGTTTTCCTAAGGGTTGGGAGGCAGTAAGTGTGAGTTGCTGACCTGTGGGATAGAAGAGTGATGCTAACTGGGATTGCTTCGAGCCGCAGGCTCGTGCCCTGCACACGGTAGGCACTCAGGAGATCAGGTTCTGGGGGATGACATTTATAAAGGCTGGAAATGGGGCTAAGTCAGAACAAAGCCCTGAGCTGGTAATTCATGAACAGGAGAGGTTCCACGTGGCCACATCGCTGCCCTCCAGGTTTGGCTTGGGATGTGGGGGCAGCCAGAGGCAAGAGGGAGTGGTCAGTTTTATGACCCCACTGTCAGAGGGAGCTCCAGTTCCAACGTGGCTGCGACTGCGGTGGCCATGTCAGCTCCCGTGTCCAGGGCCCGAGGGCTGTCTCAGGGCCTGGACGCTGCCCCGTGAAAGGTACAGCCAGTGAGCTGGACTCCCACGCGGCCGGGGGACACCAGCTGCCAGGGGCTTCTCCCAAGTGTCCCGCTTTGCTGCAACCTCACAGCTTCTGCTGAGGCCTATCAGACGGGAGGGGAGCCTGCAGGAGATTCTAAGCAGGGCCAGTGTTGGGGGGGTCAGGGAGATTCTAAGCAGGGCCAGTGTTGGGGGGTCAGGCGGGGGAATTTGACAGTCAAGTCTGGAGCTGGGCTCAGTATCTGCAGCCGTTCAGTCACCACAGTGACAGCAGGGCTTGCTTGGTGCCATTTTCGCCCAAGCAGCTGGGTCGGCAGGGGGTGTGGACAGAAGAAAAGAGACTGGAAACCTGGGGCTTGTTCTGTTTTTTAAAATTTTTTTTTTTTTTGCTTTTTTGTTTTAAAAAAAAAAACAGCTAATATATGCGCATGGCAAAACCTAAAACAAAAGGCAACTCCACATGGTGCCCGCTGATCTCCCCCTTGCTGGTCCCCCATCCCCTCCCTGAAGCACCAGCCCCCACGCTCCCCCTAGCCCCCAGGGAGCGCCTGCTGTGAGCACACGCCCTGAGTGCCACCCCTGGTCTGAGGACCAACCTTTCATTTGTTTTCCCCCCTTGACAGTGGGTCTTGGGGCCCTTCCCTGTCAGGCTGGGCGAGCAGCCTCACCTGGCTGCCGCCTGCAGTGGTAATTTATTGAACCATCTCCTCGGGAGGGGCTTCCCTTCCAACAAAGTTTGTAATAACGAGGCAGCAATAAAAACCATTATAAATTTGCTTTCGGTAACCCATGCGAGTGGAATTGCTGGAGCACACAGTCTTAATTAGTTTTAATTAGACACACAGTTTTCTGGCAGAGCCTAATAGCTGCCCTCCGACGTGTGTTCTCTCCTTCCATTGTCATAGAAGCCCTGGTTTTTTGTTTTTTTTTTTTTTTGGTTTTGTTCTTAACTGGGTACATAGCTGCCTGGAATAAAGACTCTGTTTTATTCCCGCCTTCCTTGAGGGTGCATGTGGCTATTTAACTAAGTATTGGCCAATGGGACGGAAGTGTATGTGCAGAGGATAGGCTCTGCTCTTTCCTGCTAACTGGGATGTGGCTGTGACGGCTGGAGTGGTAGCAGCCATCTTGAGTCACAGAGTAGTGTCGGAGTGGAAGGCTCACATGGCAGAGCAACAAGATAGAAAGAGCCCATGTTCCTGACTGGTACAACCACAGTAGCCCTTACCTTACCTTCAGACAGCTTTTTGAAGGTTTAAATCACTTCGGATCGTTCTCTTCCAGCGGAACCTGAAATGAATCGCAAACCTTCAAGAAGACTATGCTGATTTTAACTCCTCTCAGCATAGCCTCCCTGACACTGTGTGCTATTCAAATTTTCCATCTTCCTGCGAAGCCCCGCTTATGCCTATTCCACTAGGACAGCATCTCTTGTGCTGTGTCTGGTAGGAACGGGTATCGTGTAGAGGAATGGCCAGGATGGGGCTTCTGGAACCACATGAGGCTCAAGCTCTTATTTCACCTCCTCACTTGCTAACTGCTCAAGGACGACGGACCTTGAGCAAGTTAGTCTTCTCTCTGATCCTCAGTTTCCTCATGAGACACAGGTCACACATAGTCATTCTTCTAGTGCACCCAAAGGTTTTATGGATCGGTGAAGCACCCAGGTAAAAGGTGACATTTCCCCACCTCCATTGCATTCCCTCATGTGACTAAGTTCTGGTCAATGGGATATTAGCAGAAGGCTGACATTTTCTTTAGAAGAGGCTGTTTACAGGGAGCTGACTCAGCTAGGAGATTTACTCTTCTATCCTCCTGTGTTTCTCCTTCCTGCTTCCTGGGATGCAGATGTGATGGCTGAATCTCTAGCAGCCATCTTGGACCATGAGGTGACTTTGGGATGGTAAAATTCAAAGAGAAAACTCCGGGTCATGCTCTGTCCCTCAAGGGCTCATTTGAGGAAGAGGAGTTAATATTTTGAGATTCTGATTTGTGATTTTCCTTCTGGAACTTCATTCTCCCTCCAAGCCAGTGGGAGTTTAATCCTGGGCTTCTGTGCCCATGGACTCCTGAAGCTTGTGGCCAACTTCCTAACTCCATTGTCAAGTGCCTGGGGTTGCAGAGGACATTTAGAAGAAAAAAAAAAGAAAGAAAGAAAAGTAACAGATGGGGTTCCCTTGGGCATGAAGTCTGTGTGTCCGTAAGATTTGGGGATCCAGTGGAATGGCACCCTTGCAAGTTTAGAGAGGAAGACCCTGGACACAGGAGCTTCTGTTATTGCAAAGGTCCTGCCATGTGTGGGTCCTCGCAGCCAGGAACCCTGGTGATCTTAGTGCGCGAACAGTGCCCAAGGGTGTCTTATCTGTTCGAGCTGCCATAACAAGTATCACAGACTCACAGAAACATATGTCTCAGGTTCCAGAGGCTAGAAGTCCAAGACCAAAGTGCTGGCAGGGGTGGTGTCCCCTGAGGCCTCTCCTGGGCTTGCTTGTGTGTCCTCACCTGCCCTGTCCTCTGAGCATGCGCACCTCTGAGGCCTTGGGTGGCCTTAAATTTCCTCTTATAAGGACACCAGTAGGATTGGATTGAGTACACCCTAGAGGGCTCATTTTAACTTGGTTACTTCTTGAAGGGCTTATCTCCAAATATAGTCACATTCGAGGTACTGGGGGTAGAGCTTCAACATAAGGATTTTGGGGGACACAATTTAGCCAGTAATAAATGACATCGATGATCTGACATCCCGACACTGCAAGATCCTGGGACCTTGCTCAGATTCACGGATGAAACAGAAAATCCCCAAGAATGCAGTGAAATCTTCCACCCACTCTGCAGATTTAAGTCCGAGTAGGAAGTAGGAACATTCCGGAAAGTCATGGGTAGGTTTGTGGGCTGGCATGCACAGAATCCTTCGGGCTGCGTACATATTCTGCTTGTCTCCTGGACGCGCCGTGGGACGCTGGGGTTGTACGTCACTTCCCCTTTGAGGAGGAGAATGGCCACAGGACTTACCTTGGCAATGCAACGTGAGTAGAGGTGGCATGTGTCACTTTGGGTAGAATCAGTCACTGCCAATGCAGAGAACCCCCCAAAGGACGGTGTGGGAGGGTTCCGAGAGACCCCCTGTTCATTTTATGACTGAGCTGGGTCCAGCATACACACCCTCTGGGTTTGGAGAAACAAGTGGTCCCCAGTCCCTCTTTCTTTTCATGTGACCTTGGAGGGGGGCGGGGGGGGTGTCCTTGCTCTCTGTGCCTCAGTTTCTCCACCTGTAATCTGGCCTCGAGGATCATGCCTCATTGGCCTCTATAAAGCCGGGAACCCCATTCTGGGCAGGGCCAGGTGCTGAGCAGCTTCTCCATCAGGGTGTCCACCCTGCTTCTCAGCCGGACCTTCCTGGGCTGCAGGGGGTTCTTGTGGGGAGCGGCCCGTGTAATTGGCCCAGAAGATCAGGAGGCGCCTCTGGTTGCCGGAGCGTGGCCGGTGTTTTATTTCTCATATTGTTTGGAGACAGTGACTCAGCTGAACGCATCCAGCAAATCAAGACCCAGTCACCCGCTGTGAAGAGCGCTTAATGCCGGGCTCCCGTCGCGCCATGGCATTAGGTGCTCCGGGCCCTGGGATGTCGAATCAGTTCCACTTGGCCGGGGCCCAGCGGCATTCTGGGGCAGGTAGGCCTGATTTGAGGTGGAAAATCTGAGACTGCTTCTAGGAGCCAGCCCTTCCCGTGGGCTGGGGCTCTCCAGGTAGCCCACTGCTTACAGTGAGGACTCCACTGTGGGGGCTGCCGGCTGGCCCTGGAAACTCTTGACCCCACACTCAGTTGGTGGTGGCAGCACCCCATCTAGTCATGGATGCCACTGCTGTGAAAGTGCCTTCTGGAAGGTTCCTGGTCTTTGCCAACACTGACTCTCCCCATCCTCATAGACAGAGATGGCCACGGGCTTACATGATATTTAAAACAATTAAAGAAAAGGTAGGCAATTCTGAAACGTGCCATCGAGATAGATGTCATCTCCCAGACTGTGCTTCCCACTCATGGCATTCTGCAAACATTTACTGAGCACCTACTGTGTGCCAGGCTGTGTTTGGTGGTCTAGACACAGTAGGCAGACAAGAAAACAGATGACAGCTTCCCGTTGTATGGTCTTTTGTGCCAACTCAGTCTTCTGATAAGAATCCCCCTTTCCTTTTGTGTACTGCCCCCCCGAGTCTACTCAGGGCCCCCAGCACCCTGAGGGAGGGCACGTGCCCAGGTCTAACCCATGAGCAGCTGCAGCAATTGGCTCAGGGATGCACATGACACTTGACCGAGTCGATCAGAATCGCTAAGCTGTTTTGGGACCAGGAGAGCAAGACTTTTTCTTCAGGGACGGCTGAACTGGTGGAATGTGGTCCTGGGATTGCTGCTACCCCCTTGGTGAAACTTCTCTGAGGAAGAAGCCATCCTGGGACACAACAGAGACTGGAAAAGGAACACAGAAATGAATCATCATCCCGTGCCCGGATCCAGCCATGCCTGAGTAGGGATCAGCCAAGGTTTCCAGCACAGGTGCTAATGCAGCTCCTATTTTGTTCAAGCCAGTTTGAGTGTGGCTCCTCTCTCTTGGAGCTACTGGAGTTCTGCCAGGGAGATGCTGGGGAAGAAAAAGGAGGCACAGCTCTGCCAGAGGCAGGGTCTTTCTAAGACAGAGACTCCAGGTGAACCAGAAGAATGAGCAGGTATTCTAGAAAAGCAGAAGAGTGGAACAGGAGGACAGTCTAGGCAGGGGAACCTAGGAGCAGAGGCTAGTAGAGCAGGGTAGATTTAAATAGGGTAAGACTCTAAGAATCTTGGTTCAAATAAGAAATCTAATACCATTTTAGCTTTTGTTAATATTTTCCTTCATGCAAGTATCCACGATACTCTTATGGTTTGACCAAGAAATTCCAGATAATAACAGAGCCAAAGTAAGTATTATCATCAGGGTGAGAAATGATTGCCTACGACCTCCTGCCCCCACCATAGGCCTTGGGAGGGGTGCTGGTCATAACGTCCCAGGTTGTGGCAGCAAGGCCCAAAGGCAGGCGTCTTGCAAGCCATCTTTGTAGAGATAACCCTTCTGCAGAC